GCTGAGGGAGCGAGTTACGAAGCGAGCCCCCTGGTTGGCGACAGCATCATGGCGCATGTGAATAAGTACTACAATAACAGTCTAGACAACATTGGCAGGGGAGACTCGTTTGTCTGGTACGGCCCTCTCTGGGCTCAAGCCGCAACCGCACCATCACGGCTGTACAAGATGTTTTCTACCGAGGGAGGCTGCAGGGTGCCCTTAGTAGTAAAGCCTCATTCAGGCATTAACAACCAGCGTGGCAGCGATGGCAGCGGTGTGATTACTGACGCCTTCTGCACCGTCATGGATATCGTGCCTACGGTTCTGGACCTCGCAGGGCTGAAACACCCAGGCACAGAGTACAATGGCCGCAAGGTTGCGTCTCTCCGTGGCCAGAGCTGGAGAACCTATCTCGAATCAATCAGCGGCTGGAGCCGAAAGTCCCCTATCCATGAGGCTGATTATGTTGCTGGGTTTGAGATTGCGGGATCTGGAGCCCTGCGTCGCGGCAACTGGAAGATTACGTTTGTACCTGCACCCAAGGGTCCTCAGCGGTGGGAGTTGTTCAACCTTGATGCTGACCCTGGTGAGACAAACGACCTGAGCAAAGAGGAGCCAGAAAGGCTCAAAGAGATGCTCGTTTTGTGGGAAGAATATAGAAAGGAGGTCGGTGTCGTTGGCCTCGCTGGTGAATACCCGAAAGCCGTTCAGGGCGCACAACAAACCACGCTCAAGGACGAGATGGAAGATCCATATGCTTGGATCAAGTATATAGGGCGGCCAGAAATAACGCCAAAGGAGCTGGCAGAAATTGTCCCAACCGCATAAACAAGATACGCTTGGGCAACCCGCTGTAATAAAAGAAGAATTAAAAATAATGATATAGAACAAATAAAAACGAGTAATATGGAGCAATTGCTCTCCATAATCTCCATAACAGGGGGCGAGCCACTGTTCCTTGGCGTGCTAGTACCCAGTCCTTCACGTTATACTTCTTCTGTAATGGATGAAAATTGTTCTTTTGTCGTCCTCCAGAATCTGGTCGGACAAGGCTGTCATATATTACTCGAACTAATGTCGAAATTTAACCATGATGGCGGTTCCGATATGTCCCACGATATGTAGTTGGCCATCTCACCTGCCATCCGGATGTAATCCTCTGCAAGATCTGATAAGTCTACCATTTCTTTTGGCACTCCCTCCTGCATCTGAGCCCCAACATCCTGGTCGTTGACTCCAGTAGGCGTAGGTTGTGTTGTAGATGCTAGCTGAATGCGGTCTAGAGAAAAGTCCGCGCTTTCCAAGACACCGCCGTTTCCAATGCCGCCACCGACGCTGCTGAGCGCCCCCTTTTGAGGCATGGAGATGATGGGCGGTGGGCGGACTGTTGAGGGTGAGACGGGATGATCGTTTGCGGCTGGTGATGATCCTCTTCGTTGCTTTGTTTGAGCTCGAATTTCTTCCTTGGCAAGGCGGAATGGAGCCAGGCTGCTTAGGAAACCAGTATCTTCTGGGCCTGTAACCTCGGCCTGTTCTGAGTCCATGGATCTAGAGAGAAGAAGGGTACAATGGTTAGACAGTTCTGGTAGGATTTGGGGAAGGGTGACGAACACTGGGCTTGGGTAAGCTTGCCACTCGGCCACTACATTGTTGAAGTCGAACTTTTCCAGCAACGGTAACAAGGCCTTGTGCTATTGTAACAGTTAACTTAACCATATCTTCATATTATCGGCGGAGAATATAGACTGACGTAGGGATTCGGCTTGTCTTTCTGAAGGTGAAGAATGTCTAGTGCCCTCATGTTTAGCTGGATATTGTAGCTCGCCCGCTCCCTTACATCGATGGCATTGGACGTAGCCGTAGCAGTGTGAATGATCTGAATCTTGGTTGATTCGAATGTCGCCATGAGACTGTGTAAATCGTCGAAAACACGGACGCCATAGCTGAACCCAACGCGCACAAGTCGTGATATTTCGTCTGCGTGAAACCGACACCGTTCTTGGCACTGCCTGCGAAATTCGAGAGGAGCTGAATGGAAAGCGGCTGATAGGGGGAAAACGTATCCTGGGAGTGAAACTCGAAGTAGGTCGCACACAATTGAGTGGTAGAGGAAATGTAGCATGAAGACAGCGCTGATGATGCTGAGTTCTTTGTGAACGTATGCGTTGAGGTCGGATATGACGAGTTGCTCGGGTAAGCCAGCGTACCATATTTCCAGCCGCTGAATAATGTCGAGAAGTGCAGATCCAGGGTCCCATATGTTGGCCTCCTGACTGTTGCTTCTGATCAGTCTATAGATATGGTTAGTAATGTGCCTAGAGATAGCCACACTCTCTTTGCAACAGACCTTAATACCCGAGTCCGAAGCTGCACGAGATATATCGTATGAGAGCGAAGATTGAGGTAACTTCGATCTGGGAAAGGCTCAAACGTGCTCAGCTTTGGTGCATTAAAGTCGAGATACTGCTGCTCCTGGGCAACAAAGTTTGCATCCGAGCAAGGTAGCGGTACGCATGGATAATCGTCTTTCCAGTACAGATTCCCGTCTACTCCACCACCCAGAAAGCTATCAAGAATATAGCAAGACCATAGGAGTCGTCTTTCAGTCTCCAATTGAGTCATTTGGGTAAGTCCAGGCGAAGCAGGTACCTTTTTGGGAGAGTCAAGGCTGAGTAATCTCATGATGCGAAGACAGGATCCGAAGACGACAAAGGCCAGAGCATGCTGGTCCATAGAGATGGAATGTTCACATATAAGAACCATTGCCTATGATTCAAGATTAGAGAAGGACAACCAAGAACGGCAAAAGCCACACAAACCATCATTGTCGAAAGGGAAGGGTTTGCTATCTCCCTCATAGCAAGATCTCTAGCTCGCTCAGCCCAAGCCGCTCCGGGAATGCCGTGAAACGGATTGTTAAACTCTGAAGGGGTATCCAATAGATACATTCTATTGAACTGATCAGTACCAAAAATCCACATCAATGCATTGGGCGCTATTCTCACCTTGCTCCAAGCGCAGCAACTATGTAGATGACAGCCTCTCCAAAGTCCTCACTCAGTGTGCCTCTATCCAACGCTTGATAAAAGGTTGGCTTGTGGATGAATCCCAAACAGCGTAGAGTAGATATCCGATCAAAGAATTTATCGGCTAAGGACTGTAAATGAAACCTGTCTTGTGGTAGGGCATCCGCAAAGAGCCTGCAATGAGACGGCAGAAGATGGTAAGCTTTTGTCGGGCCTGAAGTCTCATGATGCTTTATCCTTTCCCCTTCTTCCTCTATTTTTTTTAAACTCTCGATTATACATACCATTGAACACTGGGTGATAAGTGCGCTGATAGGGATACGCCCATTAAGTTGGCTTGGCTCCCAGGAGTAGAAACGCTGCCGCTGCGATTGGACGTGGTTAACATTTGGTCGTCTACTGGCATCGATGACGAAGGCGATTGGCTGGTGGCAGCGTCGTATTTGGCGTCATATTTGGCATTGTATTTGCATGCAAAGCCCTTTCTCGTGCATCGCTTGCAAGTCGGCCGCGTGCGAGAGCAGCGACTCTTTGTCCGGCGACACTCGTCACAAGATCCGACCTTGCGCTTCTCAACTCCAGACGCTCGGTAGATGGTGTCCACCGAGTCCTGGATCCTCTGCCGTGACCCATCCCTGTGCGATAAAATCGCCGCCGTGTCACTATAACCGGGACAATTTACCCCAAGGCGATCGCAGTTGTGGCATGTTGGTGTTTTGCGGTCGCACCGAACCTGCAGGGGATGTAAGTACATGTGCTCATTGCTACCTGAAATTCTGAAATTGAATTGGACGAATGCGGCAAAAAGCAATTCGAATAGGGTTTGGTCAGCTTCCCTTTCGCGAACGGCAGACGACACATCCTGTTGACATCGTATCTTCCTCCGGGGGGGTGATTATGCATATGAAGGTGGGTGAGTGAAGAGTTTCAAGGCAAAATAAATGGAGATCTGGGGTAGCGGAGAAGTGGAGATGAGCATGACACATGCGATCACAAAATGGACAATAGAAATGGCGTAATGGAATTGTCCAGGATGGAGTATAGATGGAGTATATACGAGTATACGGCATGTAAGTAAGCACTGCTGTTAGAAAGCGACTGTAGTCAGCGTGCGGCCCCTATTATATGGCATTACATTCTCATCTTCAATGTTGGTTTATGAAGCAAAGGGAGCTACCGCAACAGCATGAAAGATATTCGACAGTGAGAGTCTCGCACTGTTCAGCCATCAGCACCTTGGGGCTGGACCCAGGCGGAAGTCGGGAGCGAGATGCTTGATTCCGACTCCTCCCCAGCATTTTCTACCAATAGCTTTCGGCGCTAATTGTCTTTAGCGTTGCGGCTACATTTTACTAGGGCTAGCAAGGGTTGCTCTGATGGGGACTTGCTTTGCACTCGTGATGTCTCTGGTTTGGTGGAATTTGTTCTCTTACTTAGGCTATGTGTAAGAATGAATAGCCACTCCATGGCCGTACCAATACTCATACTGTACTCCATAACTGATGCGTCTGCACCATATTAGTTAACACGTTTTCCCATCGTCTTACAAGTAGCGCAACTCTTGTTATTGAGTTGGCAGAAGAGGAATCCATTTCTACCCTTACAGTTAAACATCTCTATCACTTAACCTAGAGCTGGTTTCAAAAAATATGAACAGACCCCTCGCATGCTAAGTAAAGTTTACAGATCATACCTCAAAGGATCTAGTACTCAATAAATCATGGGTATATTCTCCATAGTATGTGTGCCTCTATGGTTACCGATACGCCGCATCACCTAACTTATTGCAACTCCTCCTTCTTTGCCATAAACCCTTTTCTCTCTCCTTCGTATACTATGTACATTTCTACTAGAAAATGTAGAAGAGAACATGTTCAGCTTCGTGTGTCAAGGGAAGTCAAGAAAACAAACAAATGAGTAGATATATATAAAGCCTGTACTCCCCTTCCCTAAACAATGGTATAATTAACCAGAACCGTAAAATGTTCTGCATCAACTTTCAGGCGTCTCTTCATTATGCGTCCGTCTGCGAATGCGGTCCATGCGATCAATGGCAAACGCTCGTCCCGCTAGCCACATGTCGTGGAACAGGTTCTTGGTAGCCGTCCAGGACGTGACGACGTAGACGAGGCAATTCCAGAATCCTTGCAGCGGAAGCACGAAGACGCTCATAAATTCCAGTGGAGCGGAAACGGAATTGTGGTGGGTGAGAGAGTATAGACGATTGGCGCTAGACGGTATCCATGTAATAAGCATGGCGGTAAAGAAAAGGAGAGCGCACTTGGTATACGACCAAGCGGCATTGTCTCGCTCGTGATTTCGTCGGCGAATGAGGCGAAGAGCTCGTGATGTTGCTGAGTGGGAGGGCTGTCGTGGCTGCGGTGGGTTTGACCCTCTGTGAGGAGGCGTGGCGTAATCGTAATAGGTTGCGTGTGGCCCATCAGATTGGTTCGACTGAGTGGATTTATTAGTTGCAAGATGGACTGAATGAGGCCTCGTTGCAGTTTCTGAGCTCGAACCACCCGCATAGCTGTTGGGTTGTTGGAGGCCGAGGTTATGTTCAAGCTGTGTTGGATCAGGGTCGTGAATGGCCTCCATGGTGAGGGTCGGATCAGTCGCAGGGAAGGATGTCACTTCATCTATTGAAATGGGGTCGAGATCAGACGACTGGAAGACGTAGACCTGCTTCCGGACTTGGAAGATGGTACGGCCAGCCCGAATATAGATGGCGAATATGAAGAGGATGCAGAACCTTTGGCATGATTAATAAATGTCGCTGTCTCTTTTGCTTATCGCAGTTCATATTCAAGCGTCACCTACCACATCGGGGCGTAAAAAGCCGCCACCCTGAGAACATCCCATTCACGCGATATCCAGCACCATGAGACGGCAGGGCCATAAATCCGATCCCCTCCGCGATCTTTTACGAAAAGAAATGTGAATCCCGGTATGAACGGAATGCCATAGCAGAGTAGTAAATAGATGGGCTCTATCCTGCGCAGATCTCTGGCTTCGAACTTGTGGTAAAAAGTGAGATAGACGTTAATTGCCATGGATAACGTCCAAAGTACATCAGCTGGTAGGAAGCTGTGATTGATTGTTAGTCTAAGTTGTGCTCGCGGCTCGGGATAGCTGGAATAGAGGTTCGGACAACATACGTTTGGATCAAAAATGCTTGCGCCTGACAACCAGCCGAGTCCGGCTCGTCTATAAACGATCGACCCATCATTGTGCCAATATTGGTCAAGATGTTGCCAAACGACGCATAAAAGATTAGGCGGTTAATTGATTTGCTGAAATACTTTGAGCAACAAAACGTGAGAATCGTAAACGCGCATGCCACCAGGGATACCGTTGAGCAAGTGCGCTCAATGACGATGAGGGCGTTGATCTGCTCCTCCGTAAGGCCGGCCATGATTTGATAGATTTGGTAGCTGAATACATCTGCAGGCTCAACCGTGGTAGATTGCTCGCTCAAGGGAGGTTTTTGCTTCTTCTAGTTTTCTTTTTTTTTCGTAGGTGAATATGGTGGCGATGGCGATACCAAAGGGTTTGCGCGGAGTCTTTGGAGAATTGTATGATGGACGTGTGGCGATGATAGCTGGTGTTACTGATGTTCTGACGGTAAAGATTAGCCTCCTCTTGTCGCCCTCGAAATCGAATCGAGTACGAGTCCAGCGAAGCTGTGTCGCGGCCTTGGAAGAGGGCCTTTAGCATCCATGCTCGGTCATTCTGGCGCTGAACTAGGACGAGGAGAGCTCAAGCTGATAATGAGACAAACAGCCGACTGTCATTGCGCAAATGGACCGTCGCAAGCGTTGGAAGCCGGGTCTGAACAACCTGGATTGCACCACCGCAGGCGCAAGGCGAATCTCTTGCGGTCAGCTCTCTCTTTTTCTAACTCTCGGGCAGATTCTCGCGGTCGCAATCTCGTTTAAGGCTCTCGGATCTCAGTTCCCCCACGGCGTGTGGCGCTAAGATGCCATTAATATTACAACCTGGCACCTGGAGAGACGTGATCCTTCTGCTACTACCCTGTACGGAAAACCCTTGCCGAGTGTCCCATGCCAGAAACAATTGCTGGGAACGAAAAGCTGAAGCGGTGAAATATGACAGCCCAGCCCAGCCCAGTTAGCGGAGAGACCCCAAAGAAACCCCCCCCTTCAGCCCTTGAGAAATTGCCGACAGGTTGGCCGATCCCATCCCAATGAGCTCCCACCTTTATTCGCTGATGCTCCTGTGTCTGCCAATCATTGGCTGCATCCAATTGCTGGGGGTGGCTGGCATGGCTTGTCTTCAACGATCTTGCCAGGCTCATCTTGGTCAAGAGGCGTGTCCTCTCCCCCCTCGCAGGAATTGGGACGCAAAAGTACAGCACACAACCAGCTCAAGCGTAAGCTCGGCACGGAATATACGAACTTCTCCGTACTAAGAACCCTCACGTGGATGTGCGTAATCCCTCCTTTGGTCAACGTTCGTAAGACAACAACAGACACACTGCCAATCGGATATCGTGCTGTCTTCGGCGCTTAACGGCCGATCTTGTCCCACACTGCTGCAGTAGCACGTACATAGCTACCAGCATCTCGGCATCGCCGCTCGGACGAGATGCTTGCCGGCTGCCATATTCATACATTGACTGGGCGAAGGAGGCTTTCCCCCGACTCCCTCCCTCGGGTGACGGTCTGCGAGTAGCATTGCGACTTCTACGTCAGCCAAACATCATGCTAGCCAGAATACATTTTGGCGTCGAAAGTATCGAAAGTAATTGGTGCCCGCTTCATGTGTTAAGCCTTATTCTGTGCAGCTAGACTGTATTAGTGCCGCTTTGGTTTTTGTTGGATCTGCCCTTTTGCGGACGTTGATGAGGCTGCTTGCGGCAGTTTCCAGCTTGAGCTTTCAGCCAGCCGAGGAGCAATTCACCTCCTCCGTTTCTTCCGCGGCAGAACTAATTACTAGCTTGCCAGATTTTGCGCCGATTGTTTTTTCTGCGATACGATTTACCGACAATACAGCTCGAATTCCGAACCGCATTTCGTGGTCCGAACATACAAGGACGCAACCTCTTGACAGCCAGGTGGAGTACGCGTAACCAGATCGTGCATCAGCTCGGTGACCCAATAGAGCAGAGCAAGCAATGCAAGATGAGAGGATCGACTTGCTGCAGTAAACTGCTTGACTTGACCAAGGATCAGCGGTGACACCGTGAGAGACATGGCAATTTTATTCAAAATTTCTCTCTAGCTGAGTCGCCGAGTTACAGCTATAGCTACTCGTACTAAGCTGCCCACAATTTAACAATTCCGCGGATAGTTAGGAATGTCTCAGACCCTACCCGCTGCTATTATATGGTTAAGTACTAGTAAACCACGGCTCAACAAATTAGAGACAATTTGAGTCGAAAAGGTATAGACTAATAGCTGCCGATTCCTTCAATCGGTTAGTTTTTGAGAGCCCCTCAAGTCAATGACAACCTTTCCCAGGTGTTTTCGGTCCAACTAGATGCAATGAGCGTCAGGAGAGTAGCTGCACAAAATGGGACGTATTCCACCTACCATATACTGATACGCCTCGCGGGCCTCGTCCATCTGAAAGACCTTCTTGTCAATAACGGGTTTGATGTGGTTGGCATCGATTGCCCTCATGAGAGCTACGAAATCTTGGCGGTTGCCGGCTCCAATAGCTCGAATGGTAGCTTGGCTGGCAAGCACCTCGACTGGATTAAACGGCGGGTCTAGCGGCTCAGATGAGTCGAGATGGCCAACGAGGGAGATGATGCCTCCCATGCGGACGGCCTTGAGGCTTTGGCGCACAGACGACGCACCCCCTACCTAAAATAGTTTCAACTGCATGAGAGCCCGGCATCGTGACCAGGTTGCTGGACGGCACTGCTTACCTCGACTACGATATCGACGCCGGCCCCATCCCTTGTCAGACTCTTGGCCGTCTCACCCCAGTTCTTGTCCTCGCTGTAATTGAGCACATGCGTGGCCCCCAAACCCTTTAACAGTGGAATCTTTTCTGCTGAGGAAGTCGTAGTAATGACGGTGGCGCCCGCGGCGACTGCTAACTGTGAACGAATCAGGGGATGCAGCCAAACTCTTTAGAGAACAGCTTTACATACCTGCAGAGCAAATAAGCTTACTCCGCTGGTCCCCTGAGTAAGCACAACGTCGCCTGGTTGTAAATAACGATCCCCGTAGAGCGAGGTCCATGCCGTAACGCCAGCACACGGAAGTGAACTGGCCTCCATCAAGCTCAGGTTATCTGCAATACGAACAAGGCTGTGCTCAGGATACACGCCGTACTCCCTTAGAGTTCCGTCTACAACTGCTCCGAGAGAAGATAGGACGGCTGCTGGAGTTATTGATCCCGCTATATGATCCCGCATGAAGGTCGGCGCAACTCTATCACCGGCACGGAACGCGGTAACCTTGGGGCCTACTGATACAACTATACCCGCTCCATCTGATACAGGAACGACGTCCTTTTTCAACGGAAAGGGATTTTTGCCCTATGAGAATGTATTAGAATCCGTAATACAAAGGGGAGATAGATGACATCGAAAGAAGCGAGAAGGCGGCGGACACTAACTTGTGCGATCAAGATGTCTCGATAGTTGACAGATGCAAAGTGAAGGTTGACAAGTACATCATGGTCGCCAATTGTTGATGGTATAGTGGCAGAAGACAGGTGAAGCGACTCAAGGCCATTTGCATCCCTCAGAACCCATTGCTTAAATGTGTTTTGTGCCATTTTGTATCGATTGAAGGTGTAGACAGAATATTAATTGCTGCGACGATGAAGGAGTCTGCAAGGCTTTCTACATGAGGCTATTATTTCATCCCATAGTTTGGGCGATACACATAGGTTGGTCTTTAAATAAAAAAGCGCATCCTTTATTGCCTTATTTTTCTGACGAGTGACAAGTCCTTCTTTCATACACGAATTTAGCTGTACTTTAAATTTTCTGACAGATATGTATGATTCTGACGGTTAGTGGTAAGGTTTCTGACAACGGGGTGCGTGGGGCTGAATCTACAACGTCGAATCATGCCACATCCAAAACTTATATAAAACCTGGAAATCTCTCCTCGAAGCATTGTAAGATCAAAAACTCAAGATTAACAACTTTTGCAAATCAACAACTCAATTCCTCCGTTTTACACAATTTATATATTCATCCCCTAACATGAGCGACAACAAGAGTGCTTCTATCCCCCTTAGTGGTGTGTGGAGAGCAACTGTCTCAGCAAGAAGAAAGGAAGGCTTGACGAAGGAAGAATTCTCTCGTCGATTTGCTCGTCACGGAACACTGGCTGGGCCAGTTGTGGTGAAGCATAACGGCATCTCCTACTTACAGGTATGCATGATCGGAGATGAGATGACTATGTAACAGAGATTGCGTTGGCTGACTTTAAGAAATCAATAAAGCATCATCTTACGGACACTTTGGCAACCAAGTTCAAGGAAGAGCTCGGTCCCCAGCTCGCACCGCACTTTCCCATCGCTGAGATTGATGGCATCACCACTCTCATATTTCCAACTGCTAAAGACTTGGCTGCGTTCTTTGCCGATCCTGCTCACAATGAGAGTTTGAATGCCGACGTAGCTGAATTTGCGGACGTCACGTCGGTGCAGTTTTCTGTAGGAGACGAATTGGCTGTGGTTCAAGATGGCAAGTTGTTACTTTGATTGGCTCTAAACACCTACAAGACGCCAGCAATGATTGTCTAGGCAGGATATATGGATACATATAGCGTCAATAGTGCTATTTTGTGATTTATTTAAATTGTAGTTTTTCTTATAAAAAGAAAATTTAGTTTCTCTTTGTACCATCTGAAATTATCTATAATGTTGTTTTGCTCGAGTATCCCCAGCACGCAAAATGAAGACCCAAACTTGTAATACAAGATGATTTCTTTGGTGGCGCAGGTCGAAGGGCGTCTAGAAACCTACCGCAGTAACCCACTACAGTACGACATTGTAATAAAGTCTCTGCTTATTGGGGCCATCATTGTCATACAGAAAACGGAGTTAGAGACATATTGAAACGGTTCTATTTCCGCCTTAGTCAGTGTAAGAAGACAACTCCCGCGGAGTTTGAATTAACAAAGACACAAACATGACATAACGGCTCACTGTCAACGAAGACGGCGCATTGCTGTGTAATCAATACTGTAAACTTTAGTTCAAGGTTAAAATGTCTGCTTTGCAACTCGCAACTACAGCAAACATGGCTGAAATTCTTGCTTTTGTACTCCGTACCATTGGACCGGAACCGGCGGCAGCGGGTCTCGGCTTTCCTTTCTCACCAAAGATTCATGGAGAGCCGACTCCGTTGGTACTCCTGACTCGGAAATAGACAAGTTGCTGGATTAGTAACCAAACAACTACAGTACTGTCAGAGGCCCCGCTATTTCTTGACACAGCCGTCAGAATCTCGCTGTCAGAAAGTTCCCATAGAAGCTGCTGCAGCCAGTTGGTCGGTTTTCCTCCATCTGGCAATTGGGCTTTGCTTCCGATTTGCTTCCGACTCATACCGAATTTCCAAATTAGGACAGGCAGCGAGAAAAGAGCTACGAAAGAGCCTAGCTTGCCAACAATGCGAGACACTTGGGTACCTTTTGTGCTGGGGCCGCAGGATGATTGGTCTAAAGTGACCAATGGCGAAGATCGCAAGAGAATCCAGAATCGACTCTCACAAAGAGCCAGAAGTGAGTATTGCACCAACTCATAAGCTGCTGTAATAGAGAAACTAGATGATGAACTGGAAAATTGACATTATTTATTTTCACAAGGAGCTCAACTGAAAGCCAAGCGATCACCGCCCAAAACTAGCTTTGTAAGAGCCGTGGATGATGTTACAACACAATCTTCACCCGATACAGCAACTTCATCTAGTAGTGTGCTGTCGCTGGTCGGCGACTTGAATGGCGAATCGCTTTTATCATCACCAGACGGCAGTAACACCGCATATCCTTTGGCAACAATAACAGAGGCTGGTACTGATGAAGACATACCCACTCAGTCTCGGCCAACTGAAGCTTTAGTCACAACATCGCGTCATTCACTACCTTATCCTGAAACTCCACCGCTCAACCTGAACCAAGAATTCCTTTTCCTAACGTCAACCAACATTATTGCTGCTTATATAGCAAACGCAACTCTGCTTCAGATTTCTTGCACCACAACGCACCCCCGGACTTTCCACATAACTACCTCCTCTGCGCCTGCATCACTTGAACCTACGTTGTTACAGAAAACTATTCCCCATCCTCCGGTAATAGACATTATACCATTTCCTGGGGTTCGTAACCGGCTTATTCGCTCCCTTGACGTCATTGACCTGGGAAAACTGTCGCAAGATTTGGTTGATGGTGCGTTCCGAGTTTGGGGTCACGCAGCGTGGGACGGCATGGGGTGGGAGGTTACTGAGGCTTTTGCCAGAAGGTGGTGGTTTCTTATGGATGAGCAATTAATCAGCGTGACGAATTTCTGGAGAAGGCAGAGACTGGAGAACGAACTAATCATGAGAAATGACGAAGTGTCCGTCGAGACGTAGAATAGTGCCAGGTAAAAGGAACGGCGTGGTTTCAGTGGTATAGGATGTTCTTCATAATCACACGCCTCTATTTCTGCCAAGACTGTTTCAGGGACGGTCCGATCTTTGCTAGAAACACAAGAAAGTGGGTTGGTGATGGGAAGATCGAGCGCTACTATGGTTGGTTTCGCATTTTTCTGGACCATTCAACTAGTTAGGGCCCTTTCGCCTTGTACTTTCAACACCTATTCCTTCTTCATCCTTATGACAATGCTGGATCATAGGTATAATAATGCATAATCATCTTATGACATGAGATAGTTGCCGAGTTCATATGCTGCTGGGAACCATACCCTCCGGGGGTTACAACTACGGCTCACACTGCACCTATGGAACTCCGAGATCATTACAAGGGCAATCTAAGGAAAGATGTTCGCGACCTAAGATCTGCGGCTAGTTATAGATGGCAGTTCGAAACGGACTGCTCAATGTCCATGCGATCTCTAGATAGTTTCCTGGGGGAGGGTAGATGCGATGCGATCCTAGCTTTGGAAAGCATGGACCTCCCTGTTTTTATTGAAATCGGCCACGAGATCTGAGATCGATTGTTAGATCCAGCACCAATTTAGACCCAAGACAGGGCAATCTTGGTACTGGGGCAAGGCAATCTCTCGGACTAGCCGAGATCATCAACACAGAACACCGTGCCTCTTGAAGGGACTAATTTCAACATCATTTGAATAATACAACTACAAGAGAAGCTCAATTACTTTTAGGAACAACAAACAGGCACTGTTCTCAGATAATTGCCACGTTGGTGATTGCGAACTACGGTACCAACCCACATCCAAGCGTACACTAAGCATCGGGAAGATGGATCGTCAAGATTTCGCAACAGCAGGAGAAATTTCTTCGACCGATGACTAAGAAGGGCGTGCAGCCGGTGCGCGAATGCAACACTGGCCCCTTTCCCCTAGCAGGTCGGGTAAAGAACCCCTTAATCGCGCAAGTTGGACCGCTATCTCCCCGTTTCTTCGGGCTCCACGATCGTGATCAAGTAGTAGCAGTGGACTTACCCCAGTTTTGACCGGGTATTGACCCGGTATTGCTTGCATGGACTCCACAATACGGTCCGCTTAAGACTTCGAGATGATTCAGTTCGGCTGTGATTTGTCGTCACCTCCCTCAGTTGCGTGAAATCTCTGAACATGGACCGTTTCGAAAAATTCTGTAAAAAGAGGCACCAGAGTTTTAGGGCCTTTTTTTACGAAAAAGCCGATGGGGAACTCCTCAAATGTCTAACGGGGTCCACATAAAGTGTTTGATATGTTGGAAGTTTCCGAACAATTGATTCATAAGAATTCTTCTAGAAGGCCCATTGTCAAGCACAGTACTGGGATACTGTCCAATACTGAGGAGGCTGTTGACTTTCGGAGTTTAATCTCAGGTAGGAAAACGCGAATAGAAAAATTTCAAGCGTTCGGAGAACCGCAATTGCCCCCCAGGGGGAGGAGGCAATGGACATGGTAACAATACCTACTGTATGGATCTTCTCCGCTTATCCACCTCTTCTCGAAGGCCCAGAAACGTGACGCGGCGTTTTACTTGTGCTTTTGACATTCGGAAGTTGCCTTGAAAGTTCTTTTGTTTCCAATTGTTCGGTTGTCACATGGTGGCGCTACTTACTCGGTGTGGTGGCGCTTTACATCGACGCCTCACCCACTTTTGTCGTTAGACGGCGACCAGCCGGTTCAGATTTTTCATTGATCAAACGTCCTAAAAAATCTGAACATGTTCCGTTTCGGTATAGTTCTCCGGGTGAATTGCACTGTTGGAATCTGAGGTACTTGTTATTTCGTTGATGGATGGGAAGCACGAATGTTGGCTGGTCACGCGACCACTTACAGACATGGCAGTAATTACATCGTGATGGCGGTTAGACTTGGTTGCTGTTGGGATGTCTAGAGTAGATTTTATATATCACATTTGAATAAGACTTGGGCACTTTACTGTACTTGCTTGTCTCATATCCGTGGCCATCATTCTCTCCTATTCTTTGCATGGTGAAGGTATGGCTATTTCCCGTTTAGGCTTCTACACCCGAGCCGACTTCGGACAACAAGAGCAGGCGTTTGACTTTTGACAAGACATCCATCAAGAGCCACTATTCACATGTAGCTGACCATTCAAACAGAGAGTTGAACACCGATGACCGAAACAATAAAGGTGGAACCACGTGGAAGCCTTCGAGGCTAGGACGCGTACCTGCTTTCCCCCCCTGGTGGCAGCCGCTGTCACATCGGGGGGCACAGAACGTGTGTCGATTCGGGTTCCTGAGTCCAAACTGTCTTCAGTTTAGGTGCGTCATTTAAAATATGGACCCTTTTTACCCATAATGGAAGTCTGTTGCCCACAAGCACTAAGCTTGTCGGTTGCCACACCGAGTCACCGTGAATGTCCCGAGAGAATGGAACGACTCGCCTCCAGACACTGTGATGGAGATGGAACAAACGAGCTCGACCCGCAACCCGCGCGGCTCTCAAGCGTACCGTCGGTCCGTATGGAATCGTAGCTTCGATGGGCATGAAAATCTCTGAAGCTGCGGGGGAAAATGGGTCGTCCCATAGAGTCGAATTGGATATAAATATGGCCGTTGATCCCTCCCTCAAGGACAGAACTCTTCACTTCATTCTACAACACAAACAATCATTTCAATACCCTTTTCAGCTTCGATTCATTCCTTCATATTGAAGCTTGTGTGTCATTCCTTTTGCACACATATCCAACTACTACAACTTTTCGGTTCGACAACCACTTCAATACACTCCCTCTTTACAAAAGCATTTAACTTGCTTCCCACTTTCCAAACCTTCAAAATGTTCACCACCATCGCTGCTCTCCTCGCTGCTTCTGCTGCTTCCGTCTCAGCTGTTGCCGTCCCCCGCGGTAACAGTGGAAGCGCCAGCGTCACCCCCCACGAGCAATACTCCTCCTCCGTCGGTGTCCTGGGCTGCCTGATCAACACCAACCGTGTTGCCTACTGGCCCATGGGCGTTGGCTGCGACAACATCTGCGTCAAGGTCACCAACGGCGACCGCAGCCTCAACCTCCTCAAGATTGACCAGTCTGGCGGTGCCTACGACATCTCCTATGATGCCTGGAACTACCTTGGCTTCGGCGAGGGTGCCGAGCAGGACCCCCACACTGGCGGCGGCATCGCCATGAACTATGAGTTTGTCGATGCCAGCGAGTGCGCTGATCTCATGCACGGCGGCAAGTTGCCTCTCTCTGCCTCCAACAGCATGAACTACGTCGCCAGCTGCATGAGCGAGCCCAACAGCTGGGTCAACAAGAACCACCAGCTCATCAACATTGCCGATCCTCTCTGCAAGTACGGATACGACGAGACCTGCACTCTGGATCTCAACGTCAGCAACCAGCCTTCTTGCCCTCACACCCTGGGTGCCCAGGTTGCTTACTCTGGCAAGGGCGTCACCAACATTGCTTACGGCACCGGCAAGGCTGAGGCTGCTGCTTAAGTTGTGAACAATTGATTTGGTTCTATACGTCTAGAAATGTCATTAGATCAATAGAAGTTTGCTTTAGAATGATAGAAGTACATACAATAAAAAGTCCATTATGAATCTGGCAATGATCTATTACTAGCACACTCTCAATGTCTCATTGTTAACACTTACTCTTTTGACACAATTGACTTACTACTAATGACTTGCGTGGCTTGTGAAGCTGAGGCCTACAAGACTCGGATTGGCTGCAAAAAAAGCCATCAATCAAAGCTGCAAGTAAATGCTAGATGCAGTGGCTGGATGACGTCTTTGGCTGACAATGAGGATTCGGCGCTCGGAGTGGGTGGTCGGATAAGATAAGGGACGAGTTATAGTCGGTATGTAAATATGTCATTGCTAATATCGTTTTCTGTTTATAGTGATAATAAGGCGAGTATATGTAACAAATGGATAGATCGGACTAGAGGGATTGAGATGGGGCGAGCTTGGGGTAAAAGTGAGACCGAATCGAATGGCTTGGACGGAGCATGGAGGAGGATGTCCGTTTGAAGATATGTTGGCTCCAAGCAATGAATGGGGAAGCCCGTCACGGATTATTCTATCCATCGATGATACCTCGGTAGATCGATCATAGTATCTGATGCCTGTTAGCTGCCAAGCAGGTATAATGTACTCCCAAACTGCATGTATCACCAATTCATGTTGCTACAGATGCACCAGAGACGTCAATATTCTGCATCCTTACGAGATTGCCTGCGCGAGACGCTGCAGAGACCCGCCTGCATGTTCCAGGTTGCATTGAACCCCTTCTCTCGGCTTCTACGACCCCTTCTCTCCAATTCTCTTTTCCCGCGCCAAAAAAGTGCGTCACAAGCTGCGAATTCCCGAACCTGCGCACTCCGAGCGGCCGACCCCACCGCATTGCTTTGCTAGCCCGGCTCTTAGTCATTTTGCGAGGACCGTCGCCCGGAAATTGATAATCAGCATCAAACAATCCCGCGCGCTTGTTTTTGCGAATAGAGGCATTGACCAGAATAAGACGGTACGTACGTCGCTGCAAACCCGGCAAGCTGTTTCTGTTTCTCTCTCTCTCTCTGCATTTACGCTGCCTGTTCCTGTTCACCTTTCCCTCTTGGTTTTGCTGCAATCAATCCGCCACAATCCAGTCGAGTCAGACATTATATCATCCCACTAATAATGCCCTCAGCTCTCGAGACACAGGCCGTGCGCCCCATTCACTACAAAATGACGTCGGATGCGAGATCTTCTGCTGCCGACAGCACTCAGCTGCCCTCCTTTTACTCTCCCCGAACCGCTGCAGTCGACACTCCCCAGAGCCGTGATGGCCAGCCAATCGACCCTCTGTCGCTGTCGACCAGCCGCATCGACTCCCCCAAGACTCAACCGCCCCCGCCGTCTCTCCTCTCACCAGCCTTCACTCCGCCGGCCACCCCGGGAAACCAGACGCCTACAACCGCCGGTCTGAGAGGAATTCCGGTCGACAGCTCGATTGCAACCGGAGGATGTGGTAGCAAGAAGCCGAGATTGCTAGAAACATTACCCGAGGTACAATGCGTTGTCCGGGCCCGCATCCCAACCGTCAACGGAACCGAAATGTTCCTCCATCTATACACCAACAATGTCGATAACAAGGAGCATTTGGCCATTGTGTTTGGCAATCACATCCGGAGCGAGTCCCTGGACGCTCCCCGCGAGGGCGAGACCGAGCTGGACCGCATGATTCGGGGCGCCTACACAGGCCGGCTGTACCCCGGCCGGACAACCAGCGGCATGGGCGGCCCTTCATCGGAGACGGAATCTCAGGAAGAAAAGACGCCCAACACAGATATACCTTTGGTGCGAATACACTCAGAGTGCTATACCGGAGAGACTGCGTGGTCTGCGCGGTGTGACTGCGGCGAACAGCTTGACGAGGCTGCACGACTCATGGCGCTGCCGGGTAATAAGGCGGGCGGCATCATCATCTATCTGCGACAGGAGGGCCGTGGTATTGGTCTTGGAGAGAAGCTCAAGGCTTATAACCTGCAAGATCTTGGATCCGATACCGTCGAGGCGAATCTGCTGCTGCGACATCCTGCTGATGCTCGAAGCTACGGCTTAGCCACCGCCATGCTCAGGGATTTGGGACAGAAAGAAGTGCGTTTGTTGACCAATAACCCGGACAAGATTCGTGCCGTTGAGGGACCCAACCGAGAGGTTGTTGTAAAGGAGCGAGTGGCCATGGTGCCGCTATCATGGAAGGGCAAGGGCGGCTTCCGAAGCCAGGAAGTGGAGGGCTACTTGAAGACAAAGGTAAGAGACGAACAATGATTTGTTTATTGAATGAGTCGTTTTTACTGACACTTGCTGTTTAGATCGAAAAGATGGGCCACATGCTAGATATGGGAGGTCTCTCCCAGTAGTTCAGGCATCACCAACGAGGAAGCAGACGATGTGTACTATTTTTTTCGTTTCGACTATCGGGCATTTCGGAGCATAAATGGAGTTTTTGTTTTTCATTTTCCAGTCCAAAATGGAAATCATGGTTTTCTTTTTTTGTCAGTTGACCTTTGTTTTTGGGTCACGTATATACCAGTTTGACTGCATAGGCTGGAGGAAAGCCAACCAAGTCGCAAACCTACATAATTGCCAGCCAGCGATGCCGAGCACCCAAAATGATGATTTATCTGGATACAACCTAGCTGGATTGAGAAAAAAATAAGTAAATGAATAAATAAAAATCCACATTCAATACAAACAAATCTATAGACATGAAACAGGATGGGTAACTCCTTTTCTTTTCTTTTTTTGGTTCACGGTCCGTCGGTGCCTTGAGATCCCGGGGCCATAAGATCTCCAGCTGGAAGTCAATTGAAGTTCAGGCGTCACACGGGTCGAATCCCCACCGCTGTGCGGCTCCACTAAAATTTCAGCAGGACGAGGCAGCAGCAGCAGCTGATTGATGGCGCTTCTACAGCGCGTCAAGGCTGCACCTCCAGCGGCGCATTTTTCTAGGTATCAGAGCCCTGGGCAGCATCAAACCTTAAACCTCCACTGATTCATCTCCAAATTTCTACCGTCGCTCAAATTTCTCCAGCACTTCGAACAACGTCTCCTCGCCTCTTTCGACTTTTCTGCCTCTTCCAAACAGCCCAAACCCGACCCGTCATGCCGCTGCATTGACGTCAACATCGCCGCCGAACATGCAACCTCAGGACATCCGCCTTCGGCTGGTGATCCGCCGCCACGGTCTCCCAGAGGTCAAGCTCTTGTGGCCATGTTCCTGCTCCGAGGACCTCACCGTCGCGAGAGTTCTGGAGCAGGTCAACGAGGTCGTGCCTCTCGAGAGCGGCGAATGGGGCCTTGAGGACTATGCCGTGGAGCTTGCCGATGAAAAGGGCGAGACCTTTGAGTGTCTGCACTTTCAGCAAGTTGGTCGCATTCTGAAGGACGAAGACCAAGTCCTGTGAGTACTTTTCATTTTCCTTTTCCTTTTCCTTCGCTTAATCTGCACCTGCCTCTCCCTCTCTCGTATCTAACCTTGCTTTCAATCAGCATTCGATCGCTCCTCACCGAAGACTTGAAAAGGCGGCGGCTCAGCGGACGGCATCAAATCTCTGACGATGGACGGCATTTGGTTGATGGCCTCCCTTTCGGCAGGGCTTGGCGGCGACCTCCCCATGACCGTCCTCACATCGAATTACCCCCACGGAAACGTATTCGAGTCTCTTCTGGGGCTGAGGATGACGAGGAAGAAGAACAGTCTCCGCTAGACGCACGCCAGTTCCGATATATGGTCCCCAAAATTCCGCGCGTCATCGACCTGAACCAGGACCAGTATTACGACGACGAGGATGATGAGGATGAAGACGATGACGAGGATTTAGACGACTATGAAGAATATGACAATGACTCGAGTTCAGTGTCCAACAGCCCTCCTTACGGAATACGCCGTGTCGAAGATATATTAGAAGAAATGGATGAGGATACCGACGAAGAGGAAGACGATGAGGATCTGGAAAGGGAACTGCAATTGCTAAGGGAAGAAGCTGGCGCCGATATCAACAGCCTTCAAGCAGACAACTCCAAGTCTTCTCAATACGAAGAGGGAGATGATGAAACAGACTACCAGCATGACCCAAGAGACCTAGATCTGGGTCGATGCTTAGATCCATTGGGGAAAGTTCCAAGTCCATTCGGCAGGGCAACTTCATCTTCAGCTGCCTCAGCTGCGAAAGATTACACCAACGTACCTGTGGAAATCCTCATAACGGTATTTCAGACGGCATTCCCCGAGTTGAACGCAGATATCAGGGACATTCTCAACCGAACGAGCAAGGATTTGAGAAAAGCGTACCTATCGCTTAGTATGCTTTGCGAGCCTCTTTGCACTTTTGATCAAATGATGGACGACTCTTATTTTCATCTCGCTCCATTCGCTCGTCGCGATGGGAGTGGTAGCGCCGCCAAGCCGGTTGAGCAGGGCAAGTTGCCCCCCTTTGACACTCTCAAGGGGGTAACTAAAAAGCCGATGATTGAAGAGGTCGATGATTCGGAAGATTCTACAACAAATGGTGTTCCAATCCCCGCCCCAAAATCGAGGCAGAGCTGGTTTATGAAGGGCGACAAGTCTCCAGACTCGGAGTTTGACGATGCAAAAGCGATAGAGGATTCCACGAGCGAGTCCGAAAGTGATTCGAAGAGTGCTTCGGAGAGTGACTCGTCAAGCGACCCCAGCGATGCTTCTCTAGACAGTGAATCGTCAGGCGGAGAAGAAGACGGCCAGGTTAGCAATCATCCTGGGATAACCGTTGTCAATGATGAGTCAAGCGATGTCTCGTCAGACGAAAGCTCCGATGACGACAGTGACAGCAGTAGCATCGATGCTGGGCAGAATGCTCACACTAGCCCCAAGGATCAGGTCGAAAGCTCGTCCGATGTGAGCAGCAGCGAGTCTAGTGAATCGGATGCATCCGAGTCTGAGTCTGAGTCTGAGTCCGAGTCGGAATCTGAATCTGAATCAGAAGTGGAAGAAATTTCGTCAAAACAACCGGTGCTGGTACCAGCTCAACAACGTTATGCCACGATTGCACTTCAACCTCAAGTGAAGACACCTGCCAAAGCGGAAGTCACCGGCCTTACCCGAACGCAAAAGCGAAATGCTAGAAGGAGACGCCTCAAGGCTCTGAAAGAACTGGATCCCGAGTCACCCAAGTTGGCAGACAGCACTGGAGAGGACGCCATGGGCGAAGATTTCTTAGCACGAAAGAAAGCTCTACTGGCCGCCATTCTCGATGATTCTCACGCGGGTGACGATGCACACAACGAAGCTAAGATGGGAGATGCTCCTTCTTTGGATGCGGCGCCAGAAGAAGACTCGCGAGAGACTAAGACGAATGCCCCGAATGTAGTGGGGACAGAGGTGCCGGATCCCAAAGATGAGCCAGCAAAGCGCCACGCTCGTGTTGATATGGGTGCAGGCCGGCGACTGGTGTTTGGTGCTCTGGGTTTAAAGGCCCCAGCGAACAAAGCGGACGAGCAAAAAATTCGCGACAGTCTGATGAAAGATGTTCGACCCCTTGTCAACCCACGAGTACAGAACGCCGGTGCAGACGATGCCAACGACCAGCCGCAGGACGATAACGATAAAGAGGATCCGGATGCGTGGAGGGAAAAGATCATCTACAAGGCCGTGGAATGCTGCCATGAGAACATGACACTCAGTGAGCCTCCGTTTCCCTTTGTCCAGCGCTGGGACCCTCAGCAGAATTATGGTGCCATGAAGAAACGGAAGCGCGCATCGGAAAACTACCAAGCCGATACATCCTACGATGACTCGACATATTACTACGACGATGAGGCTGAGGAAGAGTACGTGGCAGAGACCAGGAAAAAGAGCAAAAAGAAGAAAGGAAAGTCTGTGGGCTTGCAACATGGCAGCGTAAACCAGGACGAGCAAGACGTGGTACTCGACTATGACGAAGCACCCGCCAAGAGCAGCCAGTTCACAGATGTGGACGACCTTCCCTCTTTGCCCAAGGATATCAAGGCGCTGCCTCTTCTGGAGCCCGCGTCCGCTCAGCCTGGCATGGTCATTACATGGAATCAACTGGTCATGTCAAAAGCTACGAATTGGCAACCAGAGATGTTGCCCGTTACTGGTCTGATAGTCCCTGGAGGCGAAGACGGTGCCGTCCACGTCATTTTGGCAAGGCGAGACCGCGAAGATAATGAAAAGACCTACGACGAGATCACTGGAGAGCGAGTATACGGCAAATTTGAGGTTCCCGACGATCTAGAAGAGGGTGATGAAGAAGAGGACACAGGGTTCAGGTCGCTACAGTGGGCAGAGATGATTGAGCCTCGCATTCTGCAACAAACACCAGCCGATGAAGTGGCTCAAACCTCCGCAGATGCTGTAGCAGCGACTGTGGAGGAAGAGATGCCGCCGGCCCATGACAAGGTAAGCGAATTCCAGTCGGGACAAGATTCCTTGGAGAGCGGATTCAGCACGGGACAGGTGCGAGCTGCTATTGAAGATGATTTGATGCACGATTCTCTTGGCACACAAGCCAACCTAGAGACGGCTTCAATACAGTCTGGTCAACGACTGCCGAGGCTGGACCTTTCCATGTCTGAAGTGCAAATATCCACTGCCAGCAACAGCTTCGAGCACATTGGCCACCACCACTCCAAAGTAGTAGACGCCCAATCGGAGCACGTGCTGACCGCTGCCGCCAATCCCCAAAATGCATACTCTCCAAAGCTGAATCGTTGGGTAGAGCGTGGAGACGAGACAGCTGCTGACCAAGAGGCAGAACTAGGACCTAGCCTAGCGGATGCCGTAGCAGAAGACCTCTCGAATTCTGGCACGCTTGCATCGAAGAAGACAGAGTCGTCTGAAGATAATGGAGGAGGAGAGGAGGAGAGAGATGAAGAAGGACAAAACTTGACGGATGGTGGCAACGGTGCATCGATAACGAGCGACTCAAACTTGGTCATTACCTCATCGCAGTTCAGCGTCCCGAGTGGGCGACAGCCACGAACGAGCTATTCTCTTGCAGAGGGCGCGCACGACACGATTATTCCCGAAACATTACCACAACTACGCGAAACCACACCGATAGAGAGTCACTCAAAGTCTCAGAGCACACCATCTAGCCCCGCTAGCAGCAGCCCGTTTCCATCACTGGAGCAGATATTCATGTCAGCTCAGCCCACACAAAGTTCCGGGAGAAAGAGAGAGACGCCTTCGTTTTCAGCAAGTCAATCTGTGCCTGCACGGGATGCAGAATACGAAGAAGCGATGCGTAAACTCGACGAGGGACATGAATCGGATGTCTTACCCGCAAAGGAAGAGCCAGAGGAAGAGGCAGTAGTGGAGAGAAAACTATTTCCTAACGCGACGCAACCACCGTTATCCGCATACGACTTGGATCCAGACCTTTCTAGACCGCTGATTTCTCTTTCTCAATCTGAAAAGGCCAAGGAGAGCAAGTCACAATTTGCTATTCCGGCTGAAAGTCAGATTATTGTCTTGAGCTCCAGCCCAGCGTCAAGCAACGGCGTGCCTGATGAGGCCAATGAATCAGACAGTGAGAAGGGGGACCCGGTGCGGAAGAGAGGTTTGCTGCCTACGGGCCCTGGATGGGTGAGGAAGGGTCCCCGGCACGAGAGAGATGTGTCGGGTAATACTACGACAAAACCCGCGGTGACAGCTCCATCTAGAGTCAGTCGGCGAAGGAGATTAAATACTGAGGCTCTTGCGATGGCACCACTTGTGAGCCCCGTTAGCAAGCATAAAGGGGGGAGAAGGAGATAGAATATTCCTAAGGTGGCTCTATATGTGGCGGTAATGGTAGTTACTACTTGGGGTATCACGAAGAGCCTGTCGGTGATGATACCATGTATAGATTGAACTCTGTATAAACAAGAGACAGAAATATTAATATTAGAAAACATAGGTGTTCTCCTTACTGTTTTATACAGTAAGCAGCTCTATAAACAGTTACAGTCATACATCATACTTCAACTACCTAATTTCATTGTTGTAACTCGCGATAATAACAAATCTCCAAGCCATATTAATAAGTAAGCACCGCCATACCATTAAAGTCCGCAGCAGCCCCAAGAGAACTCGTGTTGTAAAGTTCAATAAGCTTAGGAATGCGCTTCTCGCTGCCACTCAGGTCGATGACTGATACCGCAGAGTTTCCCTTGCGGGTATAAAGATAATTTCCCACAAAGGCAAAATCAAAGGAACCGCCCGATGTAGCCGGAAGAGGGATAACGTATTTGATGTTTTCCCTCGTGGCATCCAGGACGGTGATGTCGGCAACTCCGCCGTCGCCTAGGAAGACGAGATCGTAGGCGGGCACGTATTTGATCCAGCAAGTGGCCATTTGGCCGGCGACGTCGATGACACGGCTTACGCTGACTTTGTAATTGGGCGTGATGTCTAGAAATGCTGCGCCAAAGGTGGTGTCTGCGATGACTGCGCGTCTGTCCGAGATGAAGGTCAAAGCAAAGTCAGCGTGCAACTGTGTCGGTCGTGAAATAACAGGATGGTCGCTCGGCACACCGTTTATCAAGGGGTAGACATAGATATAGCCTGGAGTTGTGTTGTTATTGCTGCCATCCCCCTTGACGGTGACGAATATGGCAGTCTGGGAAGGGTTGAAGAGAATATCAGAGACAGTCCCTGCCGCTGCGGGAGGAGGCGTTGGCTCGTCTACTTTCAACGGCTTCAGCTTGCCCAAAGGCTCAAGACGGCCCTGTTTGGAGATGGAATAGCATTGGACTCCAGGCACGGCACCGCTGTTGGCTACACATGCAAGTCTATGCTTGGCTGACAGTGCCACTGTGTTGGGATACTCGCCGGCGGTTGATACGGGCTTTCCGGCTAGTACAGGTCGCGAGGGATCGTTTTCGGGGATTTCGAATAGCGATACTGTGTTTGAACCGGAATTCAAAGTGAGTAGCCATGGGTAATCGATAGCGAGGGCATCTTGAGAGTGCAATCCAGCTGATATCAGTTAGCATATCAAATCATATGGTCTCAGCTTGCATCGTATATACTGCTTACCAGGAACGAGTTGTCCATTCGCGCCGGCAATACCGAAACCTTTGCCGCCAGTGGACGTGTGGCGTGGTTCAGACAGCTTGCCATCTCGGCCAATGCTGAGTGAAACCACTGATGATCCCGTAGGGTTATCTTGGAGGAAATATAGTTCGCCTTTGCTAGGATTCTGCGGCTTAGGGGCGGCACGGGCGAGTTGCACCTCAAGCGCAAGGAGATGGAGAGATAAGGTGAAAAGCTTCATGCTGATCTTTGATATAAATAGGCACAAATAATAATAATAGCTTTCAAAGGGGGCGAGAAAGAACGAGGAGTTAATTATAGAATAGATAGAAGGTCTTGGTGATGCTATAACTGAAAGATGTATACCAGTCGCCCGTCTCTCTTGTTCTTTTTATATACTTTTCATAGCTGCCCGACGTTTTGTTTATTGATGCCATTGCCTATAATGGCCATTGCCTATAGTAGCTAATCGCCAGGGGAAATCCGCGGTGATGGAATCATTGCTTCTTACTTGGGCAAATTGTGGGATCCTTGCGGAGTTTCATGCACAGCATATATCTACGGCACATCGTAGCCGTGCTAGCGCTTACAAGGAAGGGGAGCTTTCGAGAGGGCATTGGGCTCATAGAAATGCTTGTATCCCAAGGTGGTAATGAACGGCCAGGGGTTCATCTGGAATCGCCCGCATCGTCGGCAACGACAATAGGAGTGATGAAGCTATCGTCGTATAAGTCGCTGCACGGTTTGCGCCTAATTGGCCCCGAAGCGGTGGAAATTCAGCCCGAGATACTCAGCCTGTGTTCACTAGACTACGGCATAGGGCTGGGAAGAGTAAACATTTTTTGGAATCCAGCATAGAACATATATGACATCTTCACTCCTATTCCCACGGCATAGCCGAGTTTCTTGGGTTTTCGTCTTAGATACCTCAATTGAGGTAGTCTTGTTCTTCGAGGACGGCCATGCTATACAGCAAGCTTATCAGCCAATAACTGGAGGCGTTGACCAATATTCGTTACGTTTTTAGCGTGACATAGGAAAGCTAACAAAAGATTTGTCCATATTATATGGAGAGGGAAACGCAATTGCGATTTCTCGTGCCATCAGGTATTCGTGTGTAATAGCCCTGCTATAGCGCTGGGGAGACCCTTCAGTATGTAGGGTAGGGACTCAACCCGCTGAGTATTTTCCATGTTGTTTCATCGTTCTTGCGAGCAAACAAGCATTCTGGTGCAGTATCACTTCTTGGCGGTATTACTAGCACTGTTAGGCAGCTTCATGGAGGCAGCTGCAGCCATGTTTGCACTCCTTTTATGGCGACGCGTTTCACCACGTCGAGCATCACATGGCTGAGGTGTTGGTGGCGTGATTGGTTGGCTGGCTTCAATGTGTTTAGTGCAGTGAGCTGGCCGAAATTTAACCCGATGCTAACATGAAGGGAAGAATTAAAGTGTCCGTGTATTACGCTGTAGTGTGAGCACACCTGGAGCCAAAGAATGGGACAGGGCTGATGTGTGGGAGGAGGGGGGAGGGACTTGCATGGACGGGGGGGGGTGAAAGGGGACGATCGCCAGCCAACCATTTGAGGCTGAAGCGGTGCGTTTTGGGATGTAGCATTTCGTTGGAGCACAGGCGTGTTTTTTCGGGGTTGGTTGATGATGGATGGGGGATTGATTGGTGAAAGAGAGGAGCGACGACGATGGAGATTTTTAGGTTCAATTTTCAGGGAGTGCAGAGGAGAGATACTGTGGTGCAAGAACTGGATTTACTTGGCTTCAATTGTTCAACGAACGACGCATCATGGTGACTGATTGCGGTGCCATGAGAGGGGATATAAAGAGCGCTGATGAAGGACAGTGAAACATTGATGAGAATGCTGCGGTGCTGTGTGTTTTGTTTGACAATAAGAGGTTGTCAGCGTTCATTCGTCGGGCACGAATGAATGGCGGATTGACTCGTTCTAAGTTGTTTGCTTTCTTTTGTCTTCTCTGATTTAAATGTCTCAATTTTTTTTTCAATTTGTTGAATTTCTCTTCTTCTTATTTTAAGCTTTTCTTTTTTGTTTTTTGTGTATCTCGGGTCTGAGTACAACAAACTTTCTCACTCGCTCGGGGGGCGATATTGCGATTGTCACGATTCCCCGATTTAATCGTCTGCTCCGGCGCCTGATTTTCCATTGCTCTGCACTTGCACTGCGCAATTACATCAGGGCGGTGTTTCAGCTGGAGCGAAGATCTGATCTCGAAGCAATCAGCTTTCCTTGTTTTTTTTCTTCTTCCTCATAGCTTCATAGTTTTTCTCCCTTTACAGGGTTGAAACTCGCTGACGTCTACGATCTTCCAACTGCACGCCCAAAAAACTGCCCCGAGCTTCAGAGTTTCCGCAGTGGGGCCGGCCTATCCCAGCTCACGCTCACAGGCGCTGTCATGCGACACCCAAAGCGCCAGTCATGGTCTTGTGCCCTTTTCTGCGTTTTCTTTCTCTTCTTCTTCAACATTCTCACCAGCCCGGCTTTTGCACTTCCGGCGACGCCGTCTGCCTCTATTTCAGCATCTTTAATATCTTCAACATCTCCGGCAGTACAGACGCAACTCACACCGTCGCAGAACAGAAAAAGATTCTCTTCAGCAGCATCAGCGCCATCGCCGGGCCTCGGCAGCGAGACCCCACAAGCCACCGAAGGCGCCGCTCCAGCTCCAGCTCCAGCTCCAGCTCCAGGTGCATCGCCGGCGACCTCGACAACAGCGCCCGACGAGAGAATTCCGCAGCATTTGATACAGATTGAGCAGCTTGAGGACGCTGGAATAAAGGCGGCTGCGTCTCTTCCTTCTCCTCCCCCCTACAAGCCCATCGTCACGCCGCCGCCGGACCAAGACTCCCAGCTGGCCAAGATGGGCTACAGCATGACGACATTCTACACCTGCGACACCATCGGTGGCCAGGAACACTGCGGGTGGCACGTGCCGGTTCTCAAGGCAGATGCGCCGACGACGAGGACGGATGTTCGCGTGGTGCTGGCGGTGGTGAGCTGTTTGGCCGGGATACTGGCCTGGGGGTTGGTGTGAATGTGATGTGAATGAGGGAGAAGAAGATGCTGGACTTGGAGTATTCACGACAGCACCCATGGGACACACACACAAAACACAACCAAAAATTGGCCTACGAAAACAAAACTTGGTGCCTGTATTTTTTTTGTCTTTTTGTTTTAACCGGATGGACGGTAAACGGATCGAATGGCTTCCATTGTTGGAAGGGCTTCCCTTTTGGGAGCTATTGGGCGGACGGATGGCTGGCTGGGCTTGTGCTTTATTTTAGGTTGTCGATGATATCATTGGCCACTGATGGGCTACTGTTGGTGTTACTGTTACTGTTATGAGCTGGGCGTTTGGAAACGGATTATACCTCTTGAGACTGGATTTGTGTACTTTTTTTTATTATCATTACTCTCATCGCTAGACTGATACAATTTTGGCATCATGCTTACACTGCATCTCGACCGTTTGCCACCCACCAGGTATTGTTCGTCCGTACCTATACGAGCTTCAAGGGCCGAAAATGCTCAAGAGTTGAATGCAGTGCAACAACAGAAGCTCCACAGCGGGGTTCCAACTTTGGTGGCGGGGCGGCGGGGTAAAAACTGCTGCAATAGCGCAGACCTTACAGGGCCAAAGGGCAGTAGAAGCGCTGAATAGTCGAGCTTTGTGAATCCAAGCTCCAATCACAGCTCCATCATCACAAACGCCTTTCTTTTCCAGGTTCCTGCTTGTCGGTCTACCTGACACCGATTTTTTCCAATCCTCCCCCCTTTCCCATATCCCTTCTGTTCCTTTCGTTCCTCCAACCAATTTGAGATACCCATATTCTTCATCATCATCAACATCACCATCACCGAAAATGCAGGTCCCTCTCATCCGTCTGCAGTGCGGCGTCAACTCGTACGAATGGGGCAAAAAGGGGAGCGAGTCGGCCGCCGCCAGATTTGCCGCTGCCACGCCTTCAGACAATCTGTCCATCCAGGCCGACAAGCCCTACGCTGAGGTACATGACATTGCAATCATTCAACTCTTCTTCTTCTTCTTTCCTCGCGCTCTCTGCGTCTTCTACCGCTAACTCTTCACATCACCGCAGCTGTGGATGGGCACTCACCCCTCCAACCCCTCCAAAGATCTCACCACCGGCCGAACCCTCCTCGATCTCTGCGCCGAGAACCAGCTCCTCCTCTCCCAGTCCGTCGCCTCCAAATATGGCTCAAAACTGCCCTTCCTCTTCAAGGTCCTGTCCATCAACAAGGCCCTCTCCATCCAGGCCCATCCCAACAAGAAGCTCGCCGAGCAGCTCCATGCGCGGGACTCGAAAAACTACCCCGATGATAACCACAAGCCCGAAATGGCCATTGCCATCACTCCCTTTGAGGGACTCTGCGGATTCAGGCCTCTGGGAGAGATTGCCCACTTTCTGGAGACGGTGAAGCCATTGAGGACTCTGGTCGGAGAGAGCGAGGCGTCCCAGTTTGTGCAGGCCGCCAAGCAAGAGGGCGGTGATGAGGCGGCCAAGAAGAAGGCCTTGCAGACTGCATTTGGAGGATTGATGTCGTCCTCTCCCGAAGACATTGACAGAGAAACCGCTAGCCTCGTTGCGCTCGCCGAGTCTGAGGGCGCCGACTTCGCTGCCGGTGGTGTGTCATCGACCAAGGGCGCTGTCCTCGCCGAGCTTGTCACTCGCCTCAACGGCCAGTTTGGCTCCGATATTGGCATTTTTGTCCTCTTCTTCCTCAACTTTGTCACGCTACAGCCCGGAGAGGCGCTGTTCCTCGTCGCCGATGACATCCACGCCTATGTCTCTGGTGACATTGTCGAATGCATGGCAGCTTCCGACAATGTCGTCCGCGCCGGTCTTACACCAAAGTTCAAGGACGTATCCACCCTGGTCGACATGCTCACCTACAACTACGCGCCCATCGATGAGCAAAAGATGACTCCTACCGAATATCCCTATGCGACTCTGAACCGAAATGCCTACAGCTCCGGATCTTCTGTCATGCTGTACGATCCTCCGATTGAGGAGTTTAGCGTTGTGCGCACTCTGCTTCGCGGAGAGGGAGCCAAGGCCACTTTTGACCCCTTGGAGGGACCCAGCATTGTCATCTGCACCGGTGGCAAGGGCACAATCGCCGTGGGACCGACAAAACAGGAGATTCAGGAGGGTTACGTGTTTTTCGTCGGATCCACCGCTGAATTGGTGCTGGAATCCGCCGTCGGACAGGACGAGGAGTTTACCACGTTCAAGGCATTCTGTGAGATTGATGCGTCTGGAAAATAGAGGCTGCAATTACCTCCTTCAATTCTTTTCCACGATATCTAAAGATGAAACGAATTCATGAGCAATTGGGAAATTTTGGTAGGGCAAATAATACAAAACAAGCTAGAATTGAACTTGAACAGCATTCAGTCAGGTAGAACATGTCATGTCGCGTCTTGTCTTCCAGATGCCCACTACGTCACGTCATTGCCGCTCCTCCGAATCTCGCTCTCATATGAAGCTGTCATTCCTGAGCGCCTTATTTTAACAAGTCTTTTCGTTGAGTGATGCAATGCCTGTATATCACTGCACTTCTGCATCCAATGGCCTGACTCACAGTTGATCAACATCTCCCGATGTATATCGCATCTTCACGTGACGGCTGCCGGATGACTCATCCACTGCCCCTCCATGAAAACATATTCAAGAAACACCTCCCCCACCACGGTCGTGATACTCAAATCCCGTATCAACCTTTTTGTTATCCGCAAACCCAAAATGGCTGAAGAGACCAAACCCGCCGTTCCTCCGGCCGAGAATCCTGCTGCCGATGCTGAGGCTGCTGGACCCTCAAAGAAGGCCGCCAAGAAGGCTGAAGCCAAGGCCAAGAAGGAGGCGCTGAAAGCCCAGCGAGCGGCCGAACGAATTGCAGTTGCTTCAACCTCCAACGAGCCCGAAGAAGACCCCGCCAGAGACTTCTACGGCCCCGCCACTCCGGCCCTGCTCAAGTCCTTCTCGGCCGACGCTGAGGACGTCACCCTTCGATCCATTAGCGAGTCTCATATCGGAAAGAAGGTCGTCATCCGGGCATGGCTCCAGAACACGCGCATGCAGGGCGCAAAGATGGCCTTTGTCGAGCTGCGCGAGGAGGGCAATTGGGCCATCCAGGGCATTGTCGCGGCTACGGGCGATGCCAAGGAGGGCGACTCGACCCCCGTCATCAGCAAGCGCATGGTCAAGTGGGCGGGAGCTGTCAACCCCGAGAGCTTCGTGACGGTCGAGGCCAAGGTCGAGAAGCCTTTCGCTCCCGTCAAGAGCTGCCGCGTGTCCGACTTTGAGCTGCACATCTCCAAGATCTTTGTCATTTCTGCTGCCCCGGCTACCCTGGGCATGACCTTGGCCGCGGCGAACCGAGCAGTCACAAACTTTAGCGATGAGGAGGTCAAGCCCGAAGAGGGTGCCCAGGAGAAGGAGGCTGAGGGTGGCCCTCCGGCCGCTTCTATGCTGACTCACTTGGACAACATTGTCATGCACAAGCGATCGCCCGTTCAGCAGGCTATTGCCGTACGTCTATACTCGGACAGAGCCGGGCGGTTTCAATGCGCTAACTGCAAGGTTTAGGATATTCGTGTCGAGGTCAAGCACTTGTTCCGTGACTACCTGAGGGAGCGCGGCTTCAAGGAGTTTGAGCCGCCGTGCCTCATTGGTGCTGCTTCTGAAGGTGGTGCCGGCGTTTTCTCCATGCCCTACTTCAACCAAACGGCCTACCTTGCCCAGTCACCGCAGTTCTATAAGCAGTTTGAGATTGCTGGTGGCCGAAAGCGCGTCTTCAGCATTGGACCCGTGTTCAGAGCCGAAAACTCCAACACCCCGAGACACATGACTGAGGTATGCCTGCTCCGTCCTCTTTGCTGTTTTCATCATCTGTGATTTGCATGCTAACTCACTAATCTTCTCAGTTCACTGGTCTCGATTTGGAGATGGAGATTCGCAAGGACTACCACGAAGTCCTTTCCGTACTGGAAGGCGTGCTGTTGCACATTTTCCGTGGCATTGAGAGTATGTTTCTTTATCCCGCCCGTTGGCTTGCTGCTCTCACGAACGTCACTGTACTAATCAATTGCTACAGAGAACTGCGCTGCCGAAATCGAGGTCGTTCGTTCCGTCTATCCTTCCCCCGAGATTCTCCTCCCCGAACCTGGAAAGGAGCTGCGCTTGACCTTTGCAGAGGCCCAGAAGCTGCTTCGTGAAGAGGGCCCCGAGGAATTCCGCAACGTTCGTGACGATGAGGATATGTCAACACCACAGGAGAAGGCATTGGGTGCTCTGATTCGCGAAAAATACAAGACCGATTTCTTCGCAGTCGACAAGTTCCCCGATTCCGCGAGACCCTTCTACGCCAAGGTCGACCCTGCTAGCGACCCCAAGGAGCCGGTCACCAATGCGTTCGACATGTTCCTGCGTGGACAGGAGATCTTGTCCGGTGGTGAGCGTATTGCCGACCCTGATGAGCTTGAGGCTCGCATTCGTTACAAGGGAGTCGATCCTACCAGCGCTGGAATCAAGGAGTATATTGGAGTCTTCCGCGAGGCCGGTGTGCCTCCTCACGGTGGAGGTGGTATCGGTCTTGACCGTGTTGTTGCGTGGTATCTTGCCCTACCTAGCGTGCACTTGGCCGCTTATTACCCAAGAACGCCCAAGAGACTATTGCCATAGATGTCCTAGAAAAAGATGGTACAAAAGATGAATAGAAAGTTTTGAGTTGTCATCTAAGCTCAGCTGAACCAAATGTGAGGCTATTTCGTAATGAACTGCAATACTTTATAGGTACCTATGATTTGAACTTGTGACCTCCTGGGCCTATGTCGCCCTTGAACGCCTGACTTTTGAGTAATCCTTCAGCAACAATTTCATCCCGATGCTTCTCCAAGTCAGTGACATCCCAATTCGCAGCAATAAAGCGGTTTCTTAAGAAATCCGCCTTTCGCCCGCTGAGATAGATAGTAAGACTGCCGAAAAGCTCGACTGTATCTTTAGCATAAATATGTAGTTCAGGGCGCAGCACTTTGCTAAGTGCCATGCCTGGATGCACATTAAACACTCGCAGGTTACCGTATTCTGCCATTTAACGTATGAGCGCATGTCTACTTCATTTTCAATGGCATCAAACTTACCCTCATGCAACTGGCTGAGGATCATGTTGGTCGCCAGCTTCGATGATGTATATGAGGACTGCTGCGGACTCGCAAAATACGATGCTGCAGTACCGGTTTGGATGAATGTCGCTTCGTTGTTGGCTGATACCCGAGCAAGTTCTCGTGCAATTAGGAAAGTTCCCTTGACGTTAATCTCCTACAGACCTGGTTCAGTATATTAAATGATTGGGGTCTTCATTAAGTATGATTGAGGGTACGAACAAAAGATCGCCACCACTCATCGACAGGAGCATCGCCAATTAGTTCTAGAGGCCCAAGTACTCCAGCGCAGTGGACAACGACGTCTATCTTTCCAAACGTCTGGATTGCTCTTTGGAATAGATTGTGAACATCGGTTTCAGAAGAGACGTCTGTTGCAATTGGTAAGAACTGCGTAGTTGAACCAATTGTTTTCAGGTTTTCGGCAACTTCGTCGATGCTCTGCTGGGTTCTCGCTGCGAGTACTATGGCGAAGGCATTTGCCGCTGCCCATTGCTTTGCTGCGCCGCCCTGTGCCGGAGGTCCTTGTTACTACGGGCGTTCACCTTGTTAATTCACATAAAGGGGCAGAAAATACCCTGCCGAATCCGCTGCCTGCTCCGGTGATTAAGACTACTTTTCTGTGTGCAATTTGCTGGATGTCTTTATTTGATGGGCTGATGGCGGGGTATACATCTCGATGGATTGTAGGCGTGAACTGCAATGCCTCTGTCCAGAAATCGGGATGGTTAGCGTCTAAAGGCATGTTTCAATACGAATCAATGAGTATGTGTCCAATGGGTAATAACGATAGCTGTCTATTGTGTACCTATACTATAGGATTCTTTCCCCCCAGCTACCCGGGCATATTAACGGTCGCTAATCGGACTTGGTCCCGACCGGAGTAGAGGCGGGAGACCCATCTCCGGTGAGATCTCCGAAGAGTTGACCTGACCAACAAGCCAGGCTGACATCTGAATGGGATTTAAAGAATGGAAGACGAACTATATCTCTTATCTTGGATAACTCAAAGTCTCAAAACAAGAAAGTTACATTATTTTATGTGCGCATCTAGGGTATGCGTCTGAGACATGGAGCACACAGGCGTGCTATTGTGCCGTTGGCTTGGGTGTGGTTGTGTCAGAACAATTGAGACAGGTTAGAACGAGCACGACACATCTTTTCGACATGATGCATAATAGATTTCAAATACTGAGCCTGACATTGACCATTCGTGGTCCCTAACGAGGCCTCGAAGATGCACAGAAGCACCGAGCACGTGTCAGATTAAGCACCTGCTTCTGGAAGAACTAGCTGTGTGACCCTCAAAAAGGGTTCTTTCGCAAATGGAAGTCAAGGGTCCAAATGACGTCACACTCTCAACAGGCAAAGAAGGGATGAGGCTGAGGCCGAATTAGGTTTGCGATGTGGAATATTGGTGGTGATGAAGCGCGTCATGGGGTGAGAAGCCGGAATCTCGGAATGTTCTGCTGGGCATCGGCAATCTTTTTTCGCAGGGTCCACAGATACATGTACGCGGAAGCCGTGCACCCACTGTAACTCTGCCTTTGATCTGGACCTCATGAGGGTTGCGAGATCTGTTGATTTCCAATGCTAGTAGGCGGTTAGTGGCTGCTACTAACTTGGTTGCAGCCTAGTAGATGGCCTCAGTCGCCTGACGGTGAAGGAAAGATGCAAGACATGGCGGTCTGTGTTTTCTCGACTCGAACGGCTGTCGGAGAAACTTGATCACGGCATCTTTTGGTCGTCGCCCTGATAGTCTGCAGCGGGACCGCGCTGGGATGGCGTCCGGCTCGGTTAGCCCGCGGCATCAGTTGGATGAGGTTTTATTTTTCCTCTTCCCTTTGTCCTCTTTCTTGATGTACGCCTGACCGAGTCATCCGGCAGGTGATGACACACGTGGAATCAATGAGCCACTTTCACGTTGCGGGAATATGGAAAACACTGCTGGAAGCTGTGTATTGCACATGGCAAAACACTGATAAGAATGGTTGAAGTTGCTATCATTCTGTAGGTACGCGTAAGAGAACACGCCTCATTACGCCTACAAACCTTGTCAGCTGCTCCAATCTCTAGCGAGAGCTTTGCTTTGAAATGGCTGGGCGCTCTCACCGTATTCGTGCTCGGTAATTGATCCATGTGCCGGCGCCGGGCTATTCCGCAATGGCTTGGTTAGTACAAGGATAATTTCACGCCCCCCTTTGCCGAGAACTGATTGGGGGTCTTGAGCTTAAAGACCTACCTAGGGAACATGGGATGAAAAAAAATCTTGAGCTCATTCTCCTCTAAGACTTGCTCTCATAACCTTTACCTGTGTTGCGGAATATTATACCTGGGATTACGGCGTTTCATCAGCTCGACTTATTCGACCACGAGAGAGAGCTACCGACTGCTTTCTAAGACGCTTGAAAATTGGGGCTATGGGGGTACATGAAGATCAGGAAACAGGGGCTGCTGAGCCTTCGGTGCCAGCTCAGAATCCAACACAGGATTCAACACGAGATTCAACTCAGAATCCAACATCTGATATAGACGAAAAGGAGCGGCAACGACCTGCTGCAGAGGACACAAAAGATGAGGCTAGATCAAAAACTGTACCCAGCTCACGATTCACGGGTCATCAACTTTTTTACATCTTTGGCTTGGATGGTATTGGCGCGTTAATACTCTCGGGTGGCATCAACTTCGCCATTGCCTATGGTAAGCTTATTCCATCTCTCGACTCCATCTACAACACGCGTTGCTAATTGAGGTAAATCCAGCCATGTATACTAGGCAAAGTAAACCTATTCGTCTCTGGCAGCTTCCCAATACGTTTGCTGGCGATGCTGCCGTTACCATTATTATCCAGTGTATAATTACCTGGTTCGTCGAGCTTTTCATCCTTCGCTACGACCTTAGCCAGGGCGCAGTGCAGCCCATCGGCTTCATCCCGCAGCCTACCCACCCATGGCTACGATTCTTCTTCTTTCTCCCTAAAGACCCAACTGCCGAAATTGAGCGAAAACCTCGACCATGGTCGTTATTGGAAATTATTCAGCAGGCTTTGAGAGGCTTTAGCTTTGCTGTTGTGAGCTTTCTCATACTTTGGCCCATATTCATGGGCGCGCTGACTGCCTTTGGTGTGAAAGATGGAGGCGACTATTACTACCATAACAAGTGGGTGCCTCAAGTGTTTAAGCTGATATTGGGTGGAGTGCTGGGTCTGCTCGTCACACCGTGGATGGCCATGTTTTGGTTGGTCAAGGCTGGCTGGGAACACAGAAGGGAAGATTCAACGACTGCAGAAGTATAGACGTGCATATGACTTGATGAAACAAACATAGACTTATAGATAAGACTTTTTAATGACCAATACTTAATGCGCATAGACGATCAGGCTACAACGGGACACAGCAGTGTGAACTGGCTGCATAACCAATACCTGGATGTAGCCTCAGCCGGTAGCACTCACTTGCACGCATGATTGCCTCACGCCTTATCTGCCTACCTGTGTGCCTAGTGTGCCTAACATGCCTAAAATACTTAAAATGCCCTTGCTGAACTTCATGCATCCAATGATTAATTTGCTTAACTTGCCTTGGTCTATACGAGCAACTGAACCTGGAAAATTGAAATCAACCGTAGCTACATATCAGAACGAAGTCCAGAGTTATGACTTGCGAAACTACAGACAGTTACGCCTTCAAAAATGCACTCGGAGAATGCCGAGTGATTGAAGAAAAGACGTCCTACTTAGAAATCTTTTCTTATTCGGTATGGGCACTATCAACGAGAGTCATCCGACAGCATACTGAGGGTGATTTCCGCAGGATTCTAGGCTCAACTCAATTGACCAAAACCCTCTCCCTATGAGCGAATTTAACAATTTCCTGCACAGACAGGTGAGAGAGCTCTTTGTCGTCTTTTCGCATCTCTACGGGTGCATTGGATGATTGACTAGATTCTCCGGTCGCAGAATGCCTTCGCGCCGGCCATTCTGCCAGACGACGTATACCTCGTCACCGGGCTGCGATTAATGTATGTTCAATTGTACTGTTACCAATTAAGCAACCAGGCCCCAAAGGCCGTGACTAACTCTTCAAGACTCCAAGAGAATGCCCAACACAAGGACACGTTTGCACCTCGGTGCATCAGCATGCCACGTGAAAATTATTCTGCAATGGTTCAGGCTCTACACCTCCCTGAGATGGCCATTGAAACATCGAGTGTTGTCGGCCCATTCTTCTGGAGTACTGTGGATCGTGATGATAATAGCAGCACCCGATTGCGTCAGTGAATATCCAGTGCTTAGCTACTCTTGGTCTCTGATGAATTAACACACATATAGATATCATATTTCGTAAGAGTGATGTTCGGCAACGGGGCAAGACAAGGGGTTGGGAACTCACGTTGAGCCATGAGCTCAGCACAGGCATCACGACCGGCTTTTACAAGGGTACTCCTACATCCAGCATCTCAGAATCCATCAAGCAGCTCAAGGCTTGCACCACGGAAATAGGGCATGCAATGCTTCTCCCATTCATTATTTTCAGTCACGAATCTTTGTTGACCTCCGAAATTAGGCAGCGCGACGCGCGAAACTGGGCGAGAAAACTTGAGAACGCTATCTCCATGCACGATGAAATACTTAGAGACGAAGGATACTTGGATAGCGAGGGTGGCATAGACCTTGCCAGTGTCCACAGTGACCTGGTGGAGTGTCAGGCGCAGGTGCTGTGGCAGCCTCCAGCCTCTTACATTGCCATCATTGACTATTTAGAGGAAGCAGGGCAGCGTTTCATTCACACACTCCCTGAGTCGAGGAAAACCCCTGCGGTGGAAAAGTTCCAAATGCGAATGATTGCGAGGCTAGAGCTCTACAAGAAGAGGTGGGCGGGGAAACAAAGGTACGCCCATACGACTATACAGAGGCTCGAGATACAACGCAGCGCCGTACGTATACTATTCATTTCCCACCGCTTTCTATTGGTTTCTTGACGAATGATTTCTAGTTGTCCAACATTATGTCTCAAAGGGAGAGCAGCTTAAACCTTCAGATTGCTTCCGACTCCAAAAAGTTCGCCCACACGAGCGGACGCGAATCCAAATCCATGAAGGGGATATCACTCCTTGGTACCATTTTCCTTCCTGGGACATTTCTAGCAGTAAGGAATAGGCTACATCTTCCAGTTCCATTTTGTATGTAGGTACGTGACTAACCTTCAATTTTTATCCTAGTCCATCTTTTCAACAACGTTTTTCGACTTTGGGAATGCCACAGAAATGACTGCTGTGGTTTCTCCTAAATTTTGGTTATACTGGGTTATCAACATTCCGTTTACTTTAGTTGTTGTCGGCCTGTTCCTTCTGTGGCAAAGAAGACGACTACGGGCATATATGCGAGAGGACAAACAATTAGAGCAAGATATTGAGTCAATGGAGCAGAACATCATAGATTCCTTAAGAAAGCGGACGATGTCTAAAACTCACACCTGGGTTGAAAGTAATGAAAGAAAGGCTGGGCTTGCAGCTGATGAGGAAAATGGCCATGGAGGTTTCAAAGAGCCTGCAGTTACTGCTGTTATATCCTCAAATACATTAGCAGTCCCTAGTGTAAATATTAGTTAATGATATTAGAATTGGTATATTTTTACAAATGCAAAAATAATAACTAAAAACTAGATATTGTCTGAAATTGTTTTATACATTGAACATCTTTTATTTTTTTGAAAGCGTTCAATCTAACATTGGCCGATTCCGGCCTTTGAAATGGGCCTCAAGTAGGTATCTCTTCCTAGTTGCTGATCCCATTTTTGCCTGGCGGCCCTTTTTCTCATATGAATCGTTAGAATTGAGCACCAATTGTACTGAGCTTTTTCTTGACAGAGAACGGAAACAAAGTCAGCCGAAACGTCTATGTGAAAGTCTTCGTTGCATAGGTATATTGAATCTTCTCTGCAAACAATTTTTCACAGGTATACAAGTCATTCAGATGTCCCTGTCCGCCCCTCTGATCTCTTTTGGACCCTGACAACTGTTTTGCGAGTGATATCCGCGCCAAGCCAAAGTAAATCTGGTCGACTATCTACATCAAGAAAGTTAGCTTTGTTTACTCAATCGTTTGATGCAATCTCCTCACAATGTCCGCTCGCATCCGCGAATAGCTTGGCTTTGGTGGCATCGGTCAAATCGATATCCGCAATGATGAGTTCCTCTCCTCCAGTATTTGCCTTTTTAAGAACGCGTCCGTCAGGACCAATGATGGCGGAACAACCCCCAAGAGGCGTTCCCATTATGGGGCTGCCTTTAGTCCTCATCACATCAATCCCTGCGTCGGTGAGCACCGCTGTGGCATGCAGGACAAACGATTGGGATTCGATCGCATATTGTTGCGAGTGGTTCAGGGCTCCTATGTATTAAATGGTCAGTAATAGGCATGTGATAATCTGCAGATTCGACAAACCTTCAGCCGACATGGACCAGAAGCCAGAAGATCCTTCAACAAACGGATCTAGTGGTGGCCATCCAGCGACGTGTATCTGCTCGTGCTGGGAAAAAGTAAAGTACTTCAGTAGCGGCTGATTGTGCTCCCAGCATGATAGACATCCTACCCTACCCACACCGGGTAGCTCGATGACATTTGCTAGGCTGTCTCCAGATCCATCTCCATAGATGGTACGTTCCATGTGTGTTGGCTTCATCTTGCGGCGCCTCATCTTAATCTCGCCGTCTTTGTTGATCAAAGTCTGGGAAATATACACAGAGTCTCCATCACGTTCGGAGAACCCGAGCGATACACTGATTTTGTTCGAGGCAGCGGCATCGCAGATAAGTTTCATTTCTGGACTCTCGATCTTTAGCGAGTTTTAGACGTATCGAATTCCAAGTTCAAAGTCAACAGGCCGGTCCCTGTTTTATATCAAACAACATAAGTTAGTGAGTAGTTGGTTACAAAGTAATATGCTGCATCAATCGCTCAACCGCTCACCAAAACCATGCTGGATATCCGGGAATCCAAGTTTCAGGAAAGGCGACGAGCTTGGCGCCAGCCTTTGAGGCCTCTTCTATAATAGAGCATGTTTTGTTCACAGTTCCCTCAAGATCAAGCCACACAGGCTCATGTTGAGTGACTGCAACTCGGACCACGGAGGTATTTGCGGCTGGGCTCATATTGAAGTTTCCAAGTTGATAAGACGTAATAATAATATGCTGGAAGGTATACTATGACAAGTAAATGCGGCATTCCCCGTGTGCCTTCGTGAACTCTTATATAACTGCCTCCGTATGTAAGACAATGCTACACCTATTTCTCACACATTGCGTGTAAGTACACAATACTACGGGCCAATACAGGTAATTAGTGGAGATGAACCTTCCTGTGGGATGAACAGAACATCTCCGCGGCGTTAGTAATAGAGAAGTACAGGCCGATTGGCTGTACGTTTCGGAATCGATTGAAGAGCCGGAATCCCACTGCTCTAAATTAGATGACGCTAGGAACATAGTGTTCTCGGAGGCTAATCACAAACTTTAGGTCGTCAACTTTTAATCATTTTAGGAAAGTCCTCCTCCAACCTTTCATAGGGCTATTACTACATTACTCGTTTTGAAGGCCTTCAAAACATTGTTACTTAATAATGAAGAATATTATCGAATCAGGTTGCTACGCCGATATAATGGAGGATAGAAACAAGGAATCACAGCATACAAAACAGCACTCAAAGTCTATCAATCTTTTATTCTCTACCTGTTTTCGCAAAAAGAAGCCCAACATCCAAGAGCTTACACATCTCCATCGGCACCATGTCTGTTAAAGTTGCGGTTGCGGGCGCCACAGGTTCTGCCGGAATCCCGATTATTAATGAGCTGTTGAAAGCTGGGCATCATGTCACCGCTCTCAGTCGAAGTATAAGCAGTAGCTCTTCTAAGCTTCCCAAGCATGCAAATTTGGACATCGTCGAGGTCGATTACGACTCTGTCCCTTCGCTCACCGCTGCCCTGAAGAATCACGACGTTGTTATCGCCACCTTGCCGGTTGATACTCCAATCGGTAGCCAGGACACGCTCATTGATGCCGCTGTTGCTGCTGGTGCGAGTCGCTTCTTTCCAGCTGAATTTGGCACCGACACCGACAATGAGAAATGCATGAAGCTCCCTGTATTTGAAAACAAGATGCATGCTCTTGAGTATCTCAGAGAAAAGGTGGCCAAGCATCCCAACTTCAATTACACTGCTATTTGCACTGGAGCATTCTTTGACTGGGGCTTGGAGGCTGGCTTCTTAGCTCACCCTAAGACGCATACTGCTACTATCTACGATGATGGAAACCTTCCTTGCAGTACAACTACTCTCGCAACCATTAGCAAAGCTGTGGTGTCTTTGATGAGTCATCTTGAAGAGACAAAGAATCGACATGTCTACATTCATGATGCCGTAGTTACGCAAAACAAGATCATTGAATTAGCTAAGAGAATCGACGGTAAAGATTGGGAGTTGAAGTACGTCGACTCGGCTGCTGTCTTAGAAGAGGCACAAGTTGAGTATAGGAAGGCAGATTCTGATTATAAGAAAGGACTTATGCCGCTTCTGCACATTTCAGTGCTTGGAAAGGGCTATGGAGGAGATTTTTCAGGGCGCCTGGATAAGGAGCTACTTGGCATCAAACTCATGAGCGATGAAGAGCTCGGGGAAGTGATTGCCAAGTACTTGTGACATTAATAACAAGTAGCTAGTTGCTATAAGTGATCTTAAAATTTTATTTATAAGCAATATTGCTTTGGCCGCTAGTATGATGAAGTCAGGATGCGGAATCGGTCATCCCACTTGTATACTAATACACGGAATAGCAATACGTGTTCATGGTCTGCCTGCAGTGTTTTGTATACTCCTCTTTTCTCTATTTTTCGTTGCCTGTCGCTACGATTAGCGCATATATAATGTATTTAAAGTTGGTCAATCGGGCTGCCTTTGACTCTTCTCAATGGGTTTGTTCTTGATTTATTGGTTTGCGTAATATCACACCCTGTAGATCCATCGTACTACTTTCTTACAGAATGGACGCTGGGCAAAATTCCAAGCAGCTTTTCAAGCTCAATGAGTGAGCATGTTTGTGACTGCATATTCTGCACTCTCTCTAACAGAAGCTAAAGCCAGGCTACCACGTATAAGCGACCGAGCTTACAGGAGCTTCTTGAACGCAATGCGTACGTTAGAAATCGACAGCCTGAATGAAACATGCTAATTCAAGCTGTAGCCAAAGAGCTCAAGACTTTAAGCCTATACTGACGTTCGATGATATGAGCAACTTGCCAGTGGAAAAGCAGATACCAATGCCAAAAATATTCATTGGTGCGAACTATTCCCTTTTCTCAAGCTAGTGTTCTAATACTTTTCTCAATAGTTAGTTGCGACGATCCTCGAATTATTGCCTCGGATTTCCTTGGCTTGAAGCAATGGGGTATTAGTCTTTCAATTTTTGTTTCACGAGCAATCGAGGGCTAATCCTCTTACAGATGCTGTTGTAGCTACCGGCGTTGCAGGCCGTATAGCACATCAATTCGAAAATATGCTGTTTTTGGACCATTTTCTTCATTTTGAAGACATAATGATCATCCACCATACAAGTACTGCAAAGCATAAATCTCCATTCTACCGTAAATAGCTAATATTCTCCGAAGACTGCTCGGCTGGAATATTCAAGAACGACGAGATTCACAAAGCCCTAGAAGAGCGGGCGCCCGGCCATCCAAGCATTCGGCTCCCCGGATATGAAGAGTAAGAAGAATTGCTATTGAGTCCCAGAGATTATTTACTAACTAATTCTGTGATCACTAGTCTTGAACAGAGTGTTCGGGATGACATCGAATTTGTTAAAAACTCGCCACTGGTTAGAAAAGAGCTTGCCGATCGAACCACGGGATACATCTACGATATACATACGGGAAAACTTAATCCTGTGATTTAATTGGAGGTCTTCTAGATTATGCAATACAGTATTCCTTTGACAGATTATATATCCTCCAAGCTATTTAGTGAACTGCAGCCGTACATCGAAAATAGGCCCAAGATTTTAAAAGTCGGCGGATTTCTAATGGCGGGGGAGCTGGAATAGGGATGCTGTACTTTCTGCTTCCTTGACCTTTGACACATGAGACTCTACTACTTATCACAGCTACTACTCTAACATTTATTAAAGCAAGGTGATATTAATTTTCATCAAATGTTTTGAGCATTGAAAAGAGATTTATAATTTCATCCCTCCATTACTGTGAGTATCGTTAATTGCAGCAGCTGCTGGGAATCACTTAGCCCGAGACCAATTCAATAAGACGTCGAGATGACACCACAACTTGTGTTTCATTATCAATCCAATGTTGAAACGGGCCCTAAACAGATAGATACATTATAGCTTTGAGGCCGCCTGTGCGCCTTCCGGATCATGAGCAACCACCTCAATTTCTATGAGCATATCATCCTCAGCTAGACGTGCCACTCCTACAGCTGTCCAAATCGGTTGATGCCCAGGCATATAATTTCGAATATTCCTCGTCACAGCCTCCAATGCCTCGTTGCTTATCGGCACATGGTAAGTATTGATGCGATAAACTTGAGACCAGCCCTTGCCACCGGCGTCTTTCAAGGCGATCTCAACATTGGCGAAAGCCTGGTCAATTTGTGCATTAAGGTCTTTTTGGTATGCGCCAGTCTTAGGGTCCCAGCCTCCTGAGAATGTTCATCAGCACTGAATGCATTTCTGAATCGTGTCCAGCGACTTGAAGTCTTTTGGCCACCTACCTTGACCAGCGCATTCGATTCGGTCTCCCACACGCACGGCCTGGCTGTAAGCGAATATCTCTCTGTTTCTCACGCCGACGCCCTCGTAGGAATAATACTTTAGATGAGACATGTTGCCGACGATTCTACTGCTGATGTCTTGATGAGATGAAGAAAGGATGCGAGTTGTAAGAAAGTAACTTTAAATTTGCTCAATTCACGGGGAGCGCCCTTCCGTATACATAAGCACCGTGCTAAATTGGAATGTTATGTTTAGCCACTTTTCATGCAACTGTTTGTAATATGTGGGCAGCCCGATTTACAACCGAATTTTACAGCCGAAGTTTGGAGCCGATCTCTGTAACCGGCGTATTCGGAGCCGAATTTTATAACCGATTTTTGCAGTCAACAGTTATATAACTTTGCTGTGCTGTATCCATAACATCTTTCGAGAATTGTCAATGCTGGCTTCAACTGTGGTCGACCTACACTCGACACAATCAGATGGAGTGTCATTCACTAATGTTTGAGGAGCGCTCTGTGAAGATCATTTCGATATTTAGCTATAGTAGATGCCAAGCTGAAATAGGAGCCGGTAATCCGATGAAATGGCTGTGGGCAATTGTATCGCCAGACCCAAACGCAACCTGTTAAAGTAGCGGTCCATGATGTATGACACGGCTGAAACTGCATAGACTATTAACTATCACTTAAGCCTTGGCGACACCATTTTGCTTCCAAAAGAGAATCCTAGATGCTCCAAAACAACAAAATCCAATCATTAGCCCGGCTGCCGAATACGCGATAAGCCCCATCCATCTGGAATGCAGGCCGTTCCCCAAGATCGCACCAGCAATTGGTGTTCCAATAAGGAGAGAAATCCCAGCGAACCAAAAGGACATTCCCATCCTGGTACCGATGTATTTTATATCAGGAGACAGCGTTATTATGCAGCTGGGTAGCAAGCTAACAAGGGAGCGAGAGAAGAGTCCGTATAGTAAAGCGAAAAAGATAACGCCCACTAGATTATGCAAACCAAACCAACCAAATAACACAATGCCAGATGCAAGACAACAAAATGTAATGACGTTGAGGGAGCCGAATTTGTCCGCCATGAAGTTGGGTACAATGCGGCCGAATATACTGCCAACATTGAGCATGGTTACTATGTATGGTCCAAACTCTAGCCCAGAGTCGTTAAGCTGCTGATAGAAAAGCTCCAGGTAAAAAAATGCGATGTATAATGTAAGAAATGCGAAAAAAGCCCCAATTGCCATGAAGATGAATGGTAAGTCTCGTACCGCGGTTTTGTCGATCAACGGGCGCACACCAACTGGCCGGGTGTGATAATGCATAAATGCGATTGGTATAGCAGAAAGACCGAGAAGAATGAAACCAATTACTCGAGTGGCCCATCCAAACCCAATTATTGGCTGAAGCTTGCTGAAATTGATGGAAAATATGATTCCACCTATTGGTGATCCAGTTGAAGACAACCCAAATGCCAAAGCTCGCCGCTTCTGGAAATACTGAGCCAAGACAGCTGTAGCGGGTAGAACGATAATTCCCATACCGATGCCAGCACAAATACCCTGTGCGAGAAGTAATTGATAGTACTTTGTGGAAATAGATGTCATGAATTGAGCAAAGACAATGAGAAATGAGCCAGTCATGAGTTGTACCCTGAGATAGCCTGCATCGAAGAGAGGTCCCGATATAACACCGACCCAATTCAAGAGTGCACCTTGTAGTGATCCAATCCATGATATGGCCGATGGTGAATGTGACTTCAAGAGTTGTTGTTCATAAAACGTCTGAAAGACGCCAAAGGAATTAACTAACCCCCAAGAGAGACTGAGAACTGCCCATGACCCAAGCACTTGCAGCCAAGCATCAAGGCGTTCGTCCGATACAGATATGGAAGTTGGCGAAAGCTCCATATTTGAAAGCGCCTGAAAAAAAATACTCAAATTCTAAGAGTGCGAATCAATTGGACAGAGGAATGGCTGATTGCTCACGTCCTCTTACTTTGTAGATACATAGCTGAGAGATATATATAGACTTTAAGAAGCAGCGATGAATGACTGCAGATATACTACATATTGTTGAGAACTTTATACAATTGGTTGCAGGTACAAGGGTCGTGTTTTTGCCTAGCAACACCAGCGGATCATCGGCATCTAGGGGTCAATGTTTCTCAGGGGAGGGTAAGCAGGAGTATATTTCTCCATGCAGAGGTACAAATGGTCATAAAACAGGGAATAAAGGAAAATGATGAAGAAATGAGTCAAAGTTTTGTTCAATATCATTGTTTCAATAAAATATTGCCAAGAATCTTGAGCAATTGCAAATACACGGCCTACAAATTCGTACAATAATGCTCGTGTTATCATGATACCTTGCTACTGAGCGGCGGATCCCTTGTATACTAGACAGATGCTGGAACTAATTGAATCTATTTACGAAAAGTGAATCGCATTGTGTTTTACTTGAGAAAACTCTAACGAGTCAACATCTACCAAAAGGTTGTGTTGCAGTTGCGTTGCAACTGGGAATGAAGATCTCGGCGAATGAGTCACACCGAGCGCCTGCTGTTCTTCCCCGCTACTGAGAACAATACAAATCAGATAAAGTGGATTGTATAAACAATGGATGCTACATCACGACCGTCGACAGCCTTTGTGCCACTATAGATTTATGCTCCCAAGGGATGACCTGTCAGCCCACGAGTTTCACCAATTTGAAGCCGCTGGAACGAAAACCAAGAAAGGAGTTGCTGGGAAGTTCATCATTGCACGTATGGGTCTACCAGGAGGACTTTGATGAAGTAGTTATGCCTTATATGAGATATATAGTATGTATCCTAGTAGTCGGATCATAATGCTCACAAGGTAAAGTTGTTTCATTGCCTTGTTTCGCCATATATAGCTTTCTTTTAGACTTATCGTGTACGTAGAGTCTCCCAATCCTCCGGAAGCGATTCATGCTAACATCAGCCAGCTCCACGAGTAAGCATGTCAACGAGTCGTCGTCTCGTTCAGACTTCGACGGCAAGTGAGAGTTCCAACAATCTTGCCAGGGGATATAGTATAAGCTATCTTTAGCCGCCAACGCAGCTACGTCGTCGTTGTTAACTTGGAAGTCGAGAGTAGCCTCTGCAGTTTCTTTCTAGATAGACTCAGACCAATCTTCCATTTTCTTGGAGCTGCCGCTGGGGCTATCCGGAACGACATAGAAATCCGTCATTTCGCCGTCAAAATACGGCTGCAACCGCATCTTTTTCAGTGTTCCAACAACTAGAATTTCAATTATCGGACTCGATAAAGGCCCAAAAATGTCGCCAGTCCAATCTTCAATTGGCGCATTGGAGCAGTCTCGAAATTTAATACATCTCACACTGATGATGAAACCCACATTGTCCTTCATATGATTTGGCTCAATTGGCACCGCAGTTGATGCCCACGAAAAGCTTGGCGCTCGGTAAACATCCCCTTTGTCATTTTTAAATAAAAACAGACGGTCTTTTGTATCTTCGACGACAGCGGTTGTGAGAAGCCGATGTCGAAACCACATCATGTCAGAGGCCAAATTCCGGAGCCACAGCCCGGCAATATAGTTGTCGTCCACTGATGATCGAAAGAATTTTGCGATTCCAGAGAAAGCGACAGTGCGGTCACTTGCGTAGGTCAGATAGCATCTGGAATATTTGGATAAAACCTCGCCCCATGCAGTATAAAGCTCAGTCCCTGGAGTAGCTGGAAGGAGTGTTGCTTGTGGACTCTGTAGAGCCTGAAAACTGCTAAAAGCGGATTTGAGAATGACGTCTCCTTCTAGAAGGGGTTCCGGAAAGGTTTTTGGAAACCTTTCAGATAATGTAGTTTGACCACACTCGAAGAAAACTTCGCGGGGGCCGAAGCGGAGGTTTCTTGAGCATAACCAGCGTTCTTGCACTACCCAGCCCCTAACACTCAACGGAGATCTAGACACCTGATCTTCCCAGAATTCGTTCTCCACTAGTACGCATTCTTCTGCAACAACCACATCCCGATTTGGCTCTCTTTTGACTCGCCAGTCAATTTTTGGCTTATCAACCATCCGAAGGTCTCTCTGAAAGTATAACCCACGTTTAGGAGATCCCCAATCAGCAGAGACATTGCAATACGAGTTCATGTAGACCTTATCCATAGTAAGTGCCTCAGTTCGCCAGTCGTTACCGTTGTCGCCCTCCTGGATGATACACAATGAATCTATCCAGACGTAGCGAATTTGGAGGCGCTGGGCAAGCATAATGAAGTCTTGGAAAGTTTTTGGCAAGATTTTGACGGAAAGTCCTTGTGCCCAGTTGATGATGGTTTTGGTGGTGAGTGTTGGCACTTTGGCATCTCCCCATCGATGGCTTAATGTCATGTATTTTTCGTCTTTGTCTATAGCTTGAGCGCTATGGACAAGTGAAATTGAAGAGTTGCCCTCGGGGCCAACATCCAAGAGCCTAGTCGGATACCAAGGGACTTGACTTCGAAAACGAGTGCATTGCGTATGATCTTGCTCACATCGGCGGATCCAGTCACCAATTTTAGCAAACGTCTCGTCCGATGCCGTAGAAGTTGATGACACGTTAATGTCTATGTTGAATCAGCAATTGGCAAGATATTTGGAGAATTGCATCTTGTAAGCAACTGGGGATAATATCTGTACTACCTGATGGTTCGCGTAGAAGAGCAATTATAGACCCTCCTGCGCGGCCGTTGTCATCACTGCCCTTGGGTTAGACGAGTCTCTCCAGAGCTTCAATGTCTGGTAAGAGCTTAGATAAATCTTCGTGGGAGATCTTTAGAGCATGAAGATACTCTTTATTGAACATAGGCCACATGCGGCGATGGCCAGCCCAGACATTTGTTACGCATCGCCGATCGGGAGAGAGCCACGCTCTTTCAGCGACCCTCTCTGGGTTTGAGGTGAAACGCGCTATTCGTTCCACGTATCCTCTCGCTTATGCATGGCTTATAAAAGAATTGCGAAAGATTCGCCAACATATAAAGCATTTTTGATCTACCGATTTGAGAAACTCGGCCAGAGAGAAATGATGAGGGTATTCCTCAGTCACATCAGCGATGTAAAAGTCCAAGACTTGAGTGCGAAAGAAATCGTGGCATGTTGCACAAAGCGGCATGCCTGCTATCTCTTATATTAAAGCCGTAGTTAGCAGAAAAGACTCAAATGGAACTATTCGAGGGAATGGTCAGTAGACAACATTTAGTATGTAGTTATACTAGCTATAAGTACATCATGAGACTAAAATACCAGGATAGAGGATCCTAATATCACGTAAGATTGCGTACTGGTATGTCGACTATTGTTTTCATCTGTAGCAATATGGAGTACTGCGTCGTAAGTGCCTAGGTGATTAGTATTCATGCGTAAAAAATCCCCGCAAATGAACACATTCTTCGGAAGCCGGCATCCTTTAGAACAGGATCAAGGCAGCGAACTCCGAGATTTGCCTCTAAGAGTTGACTAATGTGCAGGGGTAATATGTATGGGTTAAGGTCAACTGGAGAAGTTATGTGAGGCTCACTTTCAACGCATCATCGGTGTGTTAGTCTTCTCACTTAGAGGAACGAGAGAGTAGTGATATCTTTGCTGGTAAGCCGCATGTTTAGGACAATCGAGCATTATGGGCAGTCAGCCTGGACCAGTTCCTCGATGATCATCTGGATAGTATACGTTTTGTTATTATGGTGACTCCCTTGTATCCTTATTTGCTCACAGACTTCAATGCCTTAAAGAGATGTGCGTATGACGTTTCACCTATCAACGGTGCCACTTGAATAGGACAGTGTAATGGGCAAATTAGAGGTCGAGGACAGTAATGCCTACAACCTTAAACGTAATAGATGAAGATAGACGTGAGATAATAATAATGATCTCATTTGGCAGGAAGTATGTATGACATTAATATTCAGCTTGCTACGCTACTAACCCATCAGCTAACCCAAGCTCGTTGGCCGATAATGCCAAAGTCCAGCACAAATGACTTGTTATTTGATCCAGGCTTCAGCTTGAATTTCAACCAACTGCTCCGCAAATGCCAGTCTTGTAACACCCACTGCTGTCCATGTAGGAAGGACCTTGGGGATTCTCTTTTCCATAACAGCTGTGACATTTCCAAGCCCAGAAGCAAGATCTCCCACGTGGTAGCTGTTAATCGAAATTAGGTCTGCAAGCCCATTGCTAGAGCCAGCAGCCTTTAGTGCCAAAGTGAGGCTATCGAAAGCATTGTTGACTTGAGTTGCAATGTCCGTGACTAGCTCCCCGGTTTGAGGATCCCAGCCTCCCTGTCCCGAGATTTTTACATAGTTCCCAATGCGAACCGCCTGCGAATAATGAAACTCGGTGCTTAGGTTTTGTCCAAAGCCTGGAGTGCCTATGAATATAGGATCTGCAGCGGCATCACCTGATGTAGGCTTACTAATTGCCAGGACGCAGGTGGCCAGGGATGAAATGATCAAAGATAGGATAGACATGACGATTCAGAGATGTAAAGTAAGTTAAAAACGGAGGACTGTGTGGTGGACGTTGAGAGCTCATGAAGAGTGAAACTTCTACATGGTGATTTCTGTTCTTTAATAGTTGGAGTATTGACCTGCTGTGGACGGGATGATGGAACAGTAAGCGGGAAACTGGTGTCTAACACTGTAATATTGTCATTCGTAGTCAGCGGGAATGCAAGGGACAGAGCGAACGGTGACACGGGTGAGATTAGTGAAACAGTCTCCAATTGCTTACACTATTATACTCCAACTGCAGCGACGGGTATTTTATCTATTATAAATAAGATAGGTATATTTAGTAATAAAACACTATAGAAAGTATATGTACTTTGCAATCTTAGTAATACCTGAAAGTTTAGTAACGCCTGCAAGCTTAGGAGCCAAGTTGCAAGTCTTTCACACAACAAGCAAATCTACTGTAGCAGGTTCCTTCCCTTCCCCGCAAATGTATTATAGCAAGATAGATAGATCTGCTGTTAGCGACGACTATCTCACTTCTACTTTCTTTCTAGCCCAAGCCTTAACATCCGGACATCTAGACGTGTTGCCTTATTATCCTCTCCAATTTCAAATACCCAGTCATCGAGCGACCTCTGCCCGTATAATGGCGCACCCAACCCAGTCCAGGCGAAGAGGCATGGGTCTTCTAATTCTCCTGGCTTTGTTTCATTGAAGAATGTAGCCCTGAAGCCCAGTCGAGATTCATAGGTCCCCGACCCGTTCGTGTGCCGGCTTACCGTTTTCAACTGTGACGGGTATAATCGCCCTGACTGCCCGGCTCCGTAAAGTCCAATTAGTGGGCTCTCAGGACCAATAATCTCCACGCCATGGCTGATTAGGCTGATAATTCCAAGTCCCGGGCGGCCCTTGTCTTCAACGACGATGACTGCTGAGCTGTTGGTGGCCTCATCAGCATACGTGCCGTTGAAGTTAACAACTGCCTCGTGATTGGCCTGATCTTCAGCCGCTGGGAGAAATATATCGCCAAACGCATTAAACAGTTCAGTGCGAGTGTCGGACGCAGTCGAATTGATTGTTCCACCAGCGAGCACGACCCAACCAAGGCCATGTTCTGGCGATAGCACTAGAGCTGCATGATAGCTTCCTAAATCGCCTTGTTTCGTGTAACACTGGACGATGCGATCGTCTGAGAATTCCAGGTTTCGAATCTCCCATGGACCACCAACTGCGGTGCTTATGTAGCCCGTTTGGATCAGGGGCTTGAGCCAACGGCGAGTTTGAGCTGGTGAGATGAGTGTGGACTCGAGTATTGCTCTGCCGGCTTTGACCATGTCATTGACGGAGCTGTACATCGATCCCGAGGGGGCTGTTTGCCCAAGGTTCAAATCCCAGCCAACCTCTGAGGCATTATTACCGGGGATAACTCCGCCAGATGACGGGGTGTCGTCAAAACTGCTATTTCTCATGTTCAAGGAGTCAAATATGCTCTTTGTAACAGCGTCCTTGACGCTTTTCCCCGTGATGGCCTCTTGAGCATAGCCAAGCAACGTAAAGGCAATGTTGCTATAAGCAGGCGAATGTGCACTCGGAAAGATGGGATGTTGCTTCAGAAGATAGAAAAATGTCTCTGTTCCGATCAGCGTCAGCACTGTGTTTCTTCTTGGTGGACAAGAGGGCTTCCCTACCTTTGCGTGTGCAAGGCCGCGTCACCCCGGGTACTCCACAGACCGGTACTTCGATTTTATCAAGGACGGGAAATCCTAAGCCTTGGGCCTGGAATGAGGTAATCTCTGCTGATAAATCGCCGTCGGTTGCTATACACGTTTTTTTATTGTTAGCCATTGATCTGATGGCAGCTGTAGCAATGCCTGACTTACCATCTCGAGCTATGCCTGCCGCCTGGCTGGCGAGCTCACCCAGAGTCACATCCTCCCATCTGACATGGTCAATGTCATCATACAATCTGTAACCCTGGGAACTGTTATAAGGGAAAGACAGGTTTGCAAGCTCAGGGACATATTTGGTGATGGGGTCGTTGAAGTAACGGTCACCGGCTTCGATAAGAAACGCCCATACGCTGAAAACTTTTGAGACGCTTCCAATGCGGAATATGGAGTCCCCGTTGACCTCTTTCACCCCAACGTCGATCGGAGGCGTGTAGTAGTGTTCATAGAGGGTTCTGTTCTCTTTGGTCGAGAAAAGGGACACACCCCAAGCCGTATCATGCGGTTGAAGATTAAGAGTTTCGTCCGTCAGAAGGCGTTCAAACTCGGTGATGGCACTTGAAAGCCTCTGGCTGCCTGAGAGGTGTAATGGTTGTGGCCAACGAGGACCGGCTAGGACACAATCGTTGAACTGGTTGCCTGCAGCAACTACAGTTGCCGCGGCTAATAATAAGGCAGCAGAAAACATTAGGAATTGGAAATATATTAGCACTTGATATAAGATTGTAGGTTTCCTTCATAAGATCTTCATTTCAGCAATTGGAACAGAGGCAAGTTAAATAGTTTTTTCACATGCAATTGGCGACCCCAATTTACCAGACTCTTGCCATACGTACCCGTATAACACAGCCCGGAAACTCATGACGTCTAATTTTAGTATGAATGGCTCGGATATGCCCCACCTGACGGATTTGCCCCATCCTGTCCCGCGCCCTGACGTCGCACTCGGGGAGTCGTAAACCTGGCTTGAGGTCTGTAGAGGCGGAGGGCCCTACAATACGAAAAATGAAGGATTCATGCGTGCATCCTTCGTCCAAGGCTACTCCCTAAAGAAGAGATGGTGGCAACTTCGCGGTCTGACGCTTGCAAAGATGGAACGAATGGAGGAAAGGGAATATGCATTGGGTAATGGATACAGGAACTCGCGTAAACGAAGATAACTTTGCTTGAATGGAGAAGTTCTCGGATAAGATTTCGGATTGTATGATATATGGCGTTCGCTGGAATTACATACATGTATTTACCAGACGAACACAACACGCTCTTCAATAAAACATCCAGCATAACCCCGTTTAAAACCCTTTACTTTCCACGGTCCCAAGTTGCTCGAGCCCGACCATGGCCTCACAGGCTTCCCGCCAGGTGTTGTCGCCCTCTACTAACTGGCTTCTCAAGTACGCCCAAGTTATGCGCTGCACGGCTCCCAGCATTTCCGGGCTCTCGTCCTCGGTCTCTGCCACATCCCAGCCATTGATGCCACCCAGCCCATGCTTTCCGCCCTTGACGGTGAACAGGTCTTTTGGGCCCGGAGCTTGCGTGTAAGGATCCGCATGCCACTCTGCGCCGCAGTTCAGGTGAGGGCTTATATCTTCGTCGCCGTAGACGACGAGAGCTGGTGTAATCATTCTGCTGAAGTCGGGGCCGTAGAAGGGGGTCATGGCCTTGAGTGTGTCTTTGAGCTTTGCACCACCCTCCCCGGTTCCCCCAAGAATAACACCGGCCTTTATGCGGTCGTCGAAGAGGCGTACCGGAGGACCGTTGCCACGTGGGTCGGTGTTGTCCATACCGAGCAGCATAGAAGCAGTGAAAGCGCCATAGGAGTACCCAGCCACGGCAATTTGGGTCTTGGCGAGACGTCCCTTGAGTGCTGGAACAGCTGTCTCGATGTCATCAAGGTGGTCAAGTACATGGACTAAATCTTCCGCATTCGACTGCCAGAACATTTCTTGTCCCGGCGGAGCGCTGTCAAGTCCGAGGAACCTGGACGACAGATGCGTGGGCTGGAGAACAACAAATCCATGTGCGCCCCAGAACTCGTACAATGGCGCGCAGGAGTTCAAAGACGAGAGCCAGTTGCTTGGTCCATGGCCATGAGAGAGTATTATGATAGGCAAGTTATCTCCCGTGACAGGGGCCGTTACTCGCAACTCGATATCAAGACGTCGGTTGGGCGTGGGGAGAACTATGGGACTGACAGACATGACTGCCACGGGCTTGTTGACGGGGATCTTGGCGGCAGCGCCAATGAGTCTGTGGTTGCCGAAATGCATCTCGAAGGCCGGGAGTTATTGATGCCTATGGTATAGGTACAGGTCTCGGTATCTGTGCTTTAGTGGTCTTGGTCAATTGCACGCCAAGCCAATGAGCCACAAATTGTCTGATGGTGACACTTTGGACTCTATTGTAGATGGAGCTTACACATATCGGCACGCCTTTACTTCATTATATAGTTCATGCAGGCGAGGCTTTTGTCAGTGCTCGGACGATTCTAAATCAGAGGCGAGGCCACGAAGCTGCTGTTGGACGGAGATAAGACCTAAAATACGACACAGTCGGTAAACTCGAAAAGTCCAGTAGGCGGTTAACCCCGAGCAACACTTAGCAGTCACCATACTTCTAACCGGAGAATCTGTATGGACTTATAGGTCTCGCCAATGGAAAGATAACGTGCAAACCAATTGCGGCCCGGTCGTTAAGTTGACCTCCGGTTCCGATGTTGTAACATATTGAACTTCGCTTTGAGGTTCGACGGAGACACTAAGACAAAGGGTGACGTTTTTATAGAGATGAGATGCATGGCCACTAAGATAGTAGTACATCCGATGGTTTATCTATATTCTTGAACCAATTTGCTACGCCTGAAGAGCAAGTGGGAATATTGTTCAAAAATTCTCTTCAGGTTGATGGTGGTAGATTTGGTTGATCAATATTCATCATCTTAGTATGCCAGGGGGCCGAAGTAGCACCTTATGCGGCCGACTTATCCAACTCGACCAGATACTCAAACAACTTCTCTGACACTGTAGCAAACGATGCTTCGTCCATGGCCGCTGCAAATTCGTCTTTGCCCGTGCCTTTCCCATCTGTACCCCATTTTCGGCCAAAAAAGCCTACAAAGTTGTCGTATGTCGTCTCTGGTTTCTCGCGGCATAGACCACACATAACGCCCTTGAGTCCTTCATAATTAAAGCCAACTCGAGGGAAAAGTTTCGTAACCGCATGATACTCTTCCACAGTAATCACATTTTTAATGCCGCCAGGCGTGTACTGCGGTCCAAAAAAGTCCGCACCAATACCCAGACTTGTTAGAGCCACCTCAGGCTCGGCCTCCGGCGTGATAGTAAAGGTCGTATGAAGCGCAATTGCATACCATGACTGTTGGATACGTCTTTCATTCCAGTCATCAGCAGTGGCTAAATTTCCTAGGTTGCTGCGAATAAATTCCCGTGCGATATTTGCTCCATCCACCTCGAAGCGCTTGTGAGCTGAAAGGAGTTCTTTGGTCTTAGCCCAGCCCATATCGTGAAGAATACAGCTCAGTGTAACCAGTTCAAGGTCCGCATTGGCTAAATGAGGTAGCTTTCTTGCTAGGATTAAGGACCAGTATGCTGATCGTACGGCATGATTATGAACCAATGGAGTACAGTGCTGCTCAGAATACTTGAAGGCTGCTTCTGCAAGCGATGACCGTGGAAATGCAATATTTATCTCAGGGATATCTGGAAGAGAAGTGGTTGTCATTGTGAAGTTTGAGATTGAAGGAGTTTCTTGAGTTGGTTGAGTGGGTGGTATAGAGAATAATGTCTTTGACAACTGTTGTCGAAAGGAGGGTGGTATTTATAAGCCGCACAGTAGGAGGCAAATTATGTAAAATATCCGATTCAGATCGGATACTTGCCGGCGACGTTTATGCAATTGGCAGCTTAGAAATCACACCTAGGAGACGATTGTTTTATAATTGTTCAATAAGTCAAGAATGCGATTCAGAAATTTCTAATCGGAACCCAAGTGGGTGGTTATTGTCATATCACTGACAGCCAACAACATAGCAACCAACAGCAGAGTAACCAACAGCATTAATGTGTGTCTCTAGGTGCTATACGATTTAGCGCAACCTATTACGCACTGTATATTTAAATTCAGCTAATATAATAAAATCTTCCATTAGCATCCGCGATGAAAGGGTCTTTGATGAGAGGGGGAAACGCGCCTGCCGCAGTCATTGGGCGGCACTTGACCTACATTGTTGATGGACGAAGCAAGCGGTTGTGGTATCCCAAGAAAACAATACTTTGGCAAATTCTTTTTCTTTTTTAAATATGTGCAGAATTAAGACTATATCAAGATAATATGAACAAAAGTGAAGCCTCCGCCTATAGAGACAAGACCTGCTTATCTTCCGCCAGTCTATCGCTTAACTGCGCCCTGTCTACATCTTGAATATTTACACACTGCTCAATTGCAAACACAGCAGCTGTCGCTGCGCTCTGCCCCATAATCATGTAAGTCGGCTCCATCCGAATAGCTGCAAAAGCCACATGCGTGCTGCTCATCGTAACCGGGTTCAAGAAATTGACCACATCGGAAGATTGTGGGATAATGCTGCCTAGCGGGATAGGGAAAGGCTGTGGAACTGGAGTATGGACCAATCCCTCATTGTAAACTTCTGAATCAATGACGATTCTCTCCGCTTCATGACAGTCAAGAGTATAGGACCCAAGGCCAATGACGCTGTCATCAGCAAACGTTTGAGGGGTCTGTACGTCGCCTTGTGTCATAGTAAAATTTCCTTGCATGCGTCTGGCTTCGCGAATGTAGATTTCATAAGGCCAGTTTTCGTTGGTGGTCCATTCGTCTTTGGCATACCCCCAAGTGCTTGCAGAGTCCCTAAATCTTTGAGGTACCCGTGGATGGTTAGCAAGTGTCCAGAAGAACCCTTGCGTGTAAGTCTTGTAGGTCTGGCGAATCGCCGCGCGCTGTGCATAGCTTTCCTCGATGTAATTTGTTTTCTTGACGTTGTCGAAATTTCCACCCAAAAAGTCAGTGCTTACTCCTCCATTCGAGTTTGTGTCTGTTTTCAGGTTTGGCATGAGTTGCTTTGTGAAAAACAGGTCATGGTAGCCAGCTTCAATATAGCGAAGTAAGATCTCATAAGAAGCTTCATCGTAATCGTCTGGCTTTGTAAAAGGAATCTGATTGTCGGTTGTTTGTGTGAGGCTAAGCCGATAGTTGAAAGCCTGAAGCCGATAATTATCAGCTGTACCATTCAACGTCTTCGCTTCGTCGTCTGTGACAATGTGGTCGATTCCTTTAATAAGGCCACTATCAGGATCCCCAGGTGTAAGGTATGGATCCATTCCAAGGTAGCCTTCTTCTGCTGCAATTTGTACTCCGGCCAAGGATTCATCGAATTCAGATTGTGCTTCACGCCCTATTCTAAACGGTATTTGGGCCGCCGCCATGAAGTCTCCTTCGTAGCTAGCATCCATAAACATTAATGCGTCGTACACATGACCTGATTCTGTCGTTATGGAAGTGATTCGATTGTCTTTTATCGTTACACTGTCAGTCGACATAGGAAGAGTCTCGTTTCGAAAGATTGGTATGTTTAACTCTTCCATCCAGTCTTCGAATATTGATTCAGCAACGTGTGGCTCGAAAGTCCACTGTACTTGGTTTGTTACATCGATTGCTGGTCCCGGCTGTGCAGCTATTTGTTTGTTGATGTAATCTGTTCTTGTCTCCCTAGTCCACGCCGAGTCGGATAGGTAGTAATTATATACTCGACTATAGAACTCTCTGGCAATGCCTCCAATGGCATTTCCGTTTTTGGAGTCTGTCCAACCAAGGCCTGACGTGGTCATGCCACCAATATGATTTGATGGACTAACAATCGCAACGGTCCTATTCATACGAGTCGTCTGGATAGCTGCAACAAGTGCTGCCGGAGTGGATCCATATATGACGATGTCATAAGTTGTGGCCCCTGGTTGTGGGCAATCTGATCGTTTACCGATCTGGGAACGCAGGGGGAAGGGAGTACTAATATTAGGGAACATTGCAAAAATTAATAGGAAGATCATTGTGAAGTTAAAGTCAGAGAAGTATAACGGTTCGTACAATCGTTTAATTGTCATTTTGATGACTGGCCTCCATCAACTAACTGATGAGAAAATAGTAGCGAGGATAGCCGCTCTCAAACGCGGTGGGAGCGCGTTCGTGATGTATTTATATCCACGAAGGGAGGTTTAGTTTATGCCGTGCTCCCTCGATCTATGTGACCCTATACCCTGGCATCAGTTCACAGAAACCACGTGTTTCATGTCCCATGCCAATACATAAGGCTTTTGTTTTGTCCATATTTTGAACTCACTACTCTTCGGTCTCTTTGGCGTATAGTGCAGTAAATTAAACTTTTGCGCGGGGGATGGCTCTTTCAGGGTATCAAATATGTTCCTGTCTTCCGCATTAGCCGGCGTAGCTGCTGGTTTCTGCGCGCATGGCATCCTATACACCAGAGAGTTATCGCAGCGTGACCAGCTTGACACCACTATGTGCAGATTGTGTAGTAATTTTGGCCTCGGTATGCAACTCTGGGAATAGGATTCTTGTCAGCAGATGTGAGTCTGTGATAGTTTCCATTAATGAATATAGTGCGCCTGTAACCCGTGAGAGACTCTCAATACTCAAGGTCCTACTGCTTCTAGTTGTTGGGGTAAAATGAATGCACTGTTATACAGCGCGTTTCATCCCGACGTTAAGCAAGGGACACTTAGCGCTGCATAAGCTAAGCCCGGGATAATCAGCAAGCCAAGCAGCTGCGAGTCATAGAAGAAGCCATATTCACCAAGCAGTATTGTACTCACCCGCCTAACGTTGAACTAAATGCGCAGCGATTCAATGATTCCAGAAGATGTGACGAGAATACCGTGTGTGCAAAGAGTGAAGAGGTGACCTAACGTTCGGAGTCGGCCAGCTACTTTGCGGGGTTGAGGGAAACAACCGCACGAATTAAAAGTCTGAAGTAGTAAAGTGCCCCTCAGGCGATGGAAAGATCGCACTCTTGTCGCTGAGAGTTTGAACTGATCTGCAAGCCAAGATGCTTCCCCACCTCGCATGGTCTACCCCAGACATAAACACAAGATCCCATGACCAGATTGTCTCTTGGTTGATTCGCAAATTGCTCACCTGATGAAGGCTCTGATCAATGCATGACGTTTCTTCTATACCCGGCTGCATGAAAAGCATCATTGTGTCACCGATTAAATCGGCTATCCGCGATCCTCTGGCGGACGAGGGCGTGTAACACGAGCAGCAACTGTTCTTGAAATGAGCCAACAATCGTCAAAAGTTCTACTCAACGCGTCATATGAGCACTTATTATACGAGACCAGGGTTATAAACTGTAGTCGATGTGATGTGATCTCTGATCTCAGCCAATTACCTCTGTTGGATGAAGTAACCAGAGTTCGCATTCGCGCTGTTCACTTTGAGCTTGAATATTGATTGCAGCATCCGTTTTACGGTCATGGCAAGTAATATTGAATAGGACTCGACTTTCCTATCTATTTTAAATAATTTTGTTTACATACATAGGTGCGATTGCATGAGAAACTTGCAAATCTCTTTAGATACCGGGTAGCCTGTATGAGTAGTAGGTGGAATAAAAGCCTGCGGTTAATATTTTTATTCTCCTTATTTCTAGAAGAAAGTCTTAGATGCATCCGTCCCCAGAGAAATATCCCAATTCATGGCACCTGGGACGACATCATGGCCTTGGTTGGGGAATTCCAGATCGTAAATCCACTGGTGATATATGCCTGGCATTTCTTGAGGTGCGGAGAACCCTGATGCACTGATACTATCTAGTGCTGCAGTGTCTATGAAATTTCCAGCCAGTAAGACTCCGCCCCCTACTCCTCCGATTGCCGTTCCTGGCTCATCTTGCGTTGCTGTGTTTGTTACTCCTACTTGCGGTACTGGAGCAACATTGTCTTTTGGCGGGGAGTTTCGGGATCTCGCCGCACGAGCTTTTTCTATCAGCCTACGCAAGGGCTTATACGCATCGCAAGATGTTTCGTCAATTTCTGACAACCGCTTTGGCTCCGCGCCGGTTCTTTTATAGGAAGTGCTTGAGAGCTTGAGGCCCAGACGGAGAGTGGCATCTACTGCATTCCAAGCCCTTTCTACTTGTTCGCAGTCTGAGCGGACGCACAAAGCGGAGAGTAAAAACGTAAGTGCGTACCACTGAATGTACGTCTCACACAACCATCTCCATTTTCGGGTCTTCTTTTCCGTATTCAAGGCCAGCCAATATTCAAGAATTGTGATAGAGGATGTGAACAGTCGATCCTGCGTCTCTCGAGGCAGCTCTGCATAACCAGCACGACGCAAAGATGGATGGTGTGCAACAAGTCGCATTTTTGTGAAAACGATCTGCGCAATAGTATAGATATACCACGAGAAAGGATCTGACAAGTCGCAGTATTTCAAATAGAGCTCTTCAAGTCGCTGTTGGCTTTCAGAGACTTCCTTCATCTTTTCTGCAAGATCTTGGTCTTTATCACCTTTCTCAACAGGACTAGTGAAGGCGTATTGGAGTCGTCGAAATAAACTTGTTGCCTCGAAACGAACAAGACTGAAACTCATCTCTGTGAGACCAACCCTAGGCTGAGGAGGCTCCTTCATTTGCACAGTCAAATCTGTATCGTTGATGTTGAGCGGTATGTAAGTGTCCGCGCCACCATGTGGAAGCGTAGCATCATGGCCAGAGTCTTCGCAGGCGCGAGAGTCGAGAACACATATACTCCACCACAACCTCCGTCTCATTTCTACCGTGAATGGAGATAGATTGAAATGAGTGCCGTCGCGGTGAATGCCGGCATTCTGAGCAAGACGAACTACCAGAGCAGTGAGACTCCACATAAGTCGAATGCTGCAATGATTCCGTAGACTCATCAAAAATATGACGAAAGCTTGCAAAACGATTAATTCGTCCGTTTCGAGGAATTTTGCTCGAGCCAGTGCTTGCTCAGTCGCAAACTTGTACGTGTCGATGAGATCACCCTTGTGACTGCTAAAAATTTCACAGCATTCATCCTCTGAGAGGCTCTCCACGGCGGAAAAGTATATCGAGAATATGAGCGCCTCAAGGCCTTTCGGTATGCCAATTGGCTGCTTGACGGCTTGAAGAATCATCGGCTCAAATGTAGGGATGTGCAAAACTTTGATAAGGCGGTCACAATTTTCTTTGAATAGACGCCAGTATAGCAATGCGTGTTGCATGGGCGGATGCAATCGAGACAAAGACTGATGCTGAGCACCGGTTTCAAATATAAAACTTTGATTGGTAACTCCAATTTCCAAAGAATTAGGTGTATTCCACACCTTTTGATCATCTGGTAGTTCCATCAACAAACTCTTGAGATCATCTACCTGATGAAGGAAGGTCGAATTAGGTCAAATTTCTAATAAAGTCAATCGCGACAAGTCACGTACCTCTTCATCCAAGCTTGCCCAGAAGCTACTGCTGATATATCTACTACGTCCATCTCCGATCGCCAGCCTGCCAAGCTCTGTTCCCAGTTCGGTAACGGCATCGTTTTGCGTTCCTCTGTTGTTGGTCGGGCTAGATCGACGTGTAGCCTCTCTCCCTTCTATGATGGCATTCGCACGGACTTCTGTGGTCTTAGGGGACTGCTGCGTTGCTCCTTGGTTGTAATTGTCTCGCAAGTGACCAATGACTCCCTCAAGATGCTGAAGCCTCTCAAGCATACCTTGAGTCGTCTTTGGCCTAGTTGATGGCCGTCTCGGCACAAACAAGCAATCAGCACCAGCTTTGCGACAATTAACACAAGGGTACACTCTGTCGCATTTCTTTTTCTTCTTCCGACACGACAAGCACGAGTACGGATTCAATTGTGGGTGTCCAGCATATGATTCGGTTCCTCGGCCATCAGTTCGCGGGGAACCTGGCTCATCGGCTTTGGTGGGCTGGGCAATCTGAGCGGAACTCATCTCGTGGGCTTCGTGGGATTCTTCCATAGTTGTCTCGAAAGAAAATGCTGATTCACAGTTAGTTGCAGGTTGTCGGCCTTTTCGGAGTGCGATGTTCTTAGAGACAGCCTTACAAGACATGAGTTGAGAACTAACCTTGCCACACAGCTTTTTCGGGGCGGAGTCTTGGCAAACACCGCCAAACACATTTGCCGAAGTCTGTGGAGATCTACTAAGCCGAAAATCACAGTGGCTTGCTTGAGTCAGTTTAAGCTCGCCTTCTGTTGTGAAGGCCTTTTTGTTACCCCGCCAAGTTACGAGCAGTTTCTTAGGTCATCAGAAATGTTGGTTATATAAACAATAACTCTTGATTTGAAGCGACATTGGTTGTTTTGAATAAAGTTCTCTCGTAATCCTTCTAGTGTTACGTTGGAATCCAATCACAAGAGTCTGTTGAATGAGTTGTACGTAGTCTTAGTTAACTTCATGAAGATCATGTTAATTAGCTTCAATTAATCGTGAGGAACGAAGCAAATTAATCCCGCGGATGTTTGTCTATTAAAGGACAACAATCTCTCAATCAGTTTGCCGTAGCCTTCATTGCAATCATATCGACTTGTTTCCTCAACCACAGCGCGGCTGAAGACGCGGCTCTATTCCCTCTCCTCGAGCTACCCACTCATACCCACACCAACTTCAGCAACACGATTCGAAACAGCCACTTTTCCTGAATTAAGCTTATATTTTGGATCCTATCACATTCCAAACCATCACATTACACACAATGCCGGAGAGTTCCTATCGAGGTCGCTTAACGCGAGACAATGCAGTTTTGCTCATCGTGGACCATCAAGTGGGCCTCTACACTGGAGTTCGCGACATTGACACCCTAGAGCTTAAGCACAACATACTGGGTCTGACAAAGGCTGCTGTAGCCCTTAAAGTTCCGGTGGTTGTCACCACAACGACTGAGAGTATGTGGGGACCTCTGATCCCAGAACTCCAGGAAGTGCTACCTGGCATTGAACGAATTGAACGCACAACTGTCAATGCCTGGGGTGATCAGCGTGTCGTTGCAGCTGTGAAGGCTACGGGTCGGAAGAATCTGATTATTACTGGCATTTCGACCGACGTATGCTTAGCGTTTCCAGCAATGGCTGCTCTCGCAGACAACTATACGACTTATGCCGTTGTAGATGCCTCTGGTAGCTTTACGAAGCGACAATCGGAGATGGGTGTCCTCCGTATGACTCAAGCCGGTGTCATTCCTGTCTGTTATTCCAACGTCGCTGTTGAGATCTTGGCAGATAACGTTGCTTCTGAATCAGCTGAGGTTTATGCCGCTCTGGGTATGCCATTTGCTGGACTGGTATATGGGCTACAACAATACTTCTCAGTCAACTAGTATGGAACAGCGTCTGCGTCCAAGATAGAGTATAGTAGCTATAAATCTTGTAGATAGCAGGGAAATACTAAAAACTAAGTTGAATATATGTAATCTGATTGCCTACGGGAGTATTAATGTACTGTCTATACAACCGAGAGAAGCTTTTCATGCGTGGGCGCTTTTGTCGGATAGTTCGTCTGACATCAGGGGTGACTACCCAGAAGAATGCACATTAAAAATGACATTATATGAGTCATCTTGACTACATTGCTCTAGAGTACGCCAAACTTGAGAACGCTACTGCATTGTGTAGAACATACCAATATGATGGCTTGCGGACACGACTATTGCGCTTATCTAGCTAGGGATGAAACCATAATGGTGCGTAAGTTCAATCCTCCGAAAGAGCCCAGACGGAGAAGAATTGCTTGCACACCTCATTTTATAACTAAGACGTCTCTTAATTGGTTCTGTTTTCACGCCCCTGCATAATGTCACTTTAATAATGGACTATCACTTCTTGCTGTATTATAATTGTAAGCCGAATTTAATAGTGATATCAGTATAGCACGCTCACTGAGCGCAAGTATCTTGGCGAATGAGATAGTAAATGCAAACAAATAGATTCGAGGACTACCTATGCTGCGTAGTATGTACAACAAGGAATTGTACTGCTGTACATCAATCGGGTGAATGTTATGACCGCATTCAAACATATGCATGTTTTGCTACGCTAACTCTAGAAACTGCCGAGTTGATTAGTCCAAGCTTCGGATGAGACTCGATAAAATGGCCTTTAATATTGGGTTTTGCGCCCACCTTGTGATATTGCTAGCTTCATCCAATGTCCTTGGAATGCTGCCAAGGACTCCATCCACATGTGTAAGCCGCTGTCAGCGAGATCTTTTTTTAACGATTAAAACAACACAAGAATAAATATTTGATCACATCCGAGCCTCAGAGATCATCATAAAATAGTGATAATTAATCTCATTGCTGCGAAGATTGTATTTTGCTAAATTACTCCAGGCGATTTACGACAATCACGTCAAAGACAATTAGAAAGAACCTCATAGGATTATCTGCTTACTACTTTTGTCGGACAAGATGGATCGATAGGCATACCCCGAAAAATGCAACGTTCATATTCTGATGAATACAATACAACTATATATATCTCGATATGAAATCGAAGGATCAGTTGCCCACAGGCCGAAGGATAAGGTTTTAAGCATAAATGGAGCTAAATACCGCAGATCCTTCATGTATAAGCTGTTGAACTGTTGCTCTCATACTTTAAGAATCTTACATCATTTTTTTTCCGAGTGAACTCTCGCATTTGGCCTGTCGGTCTCGACTCCAGTTCTTAATGGCTCTAGCTTCGCGAAAATAATTACATGAATATGCTTGTTTGGCCATCTGAGCAGACAGCATTCATGCGAGACATCCAGCAGCACCATCGACGCTACTTTCTTCTAATAGTTGCAATTCGCATGATGAACAAACTAAATCTCGCCTATTCACAATAAAATATCCGAACTGTTTCTTCTATAATACTTTCGCATACAATGTTTTTGCTTTATACTGGCTTTATACTGCAGATTCCATTCTTTTTGTTTCATCCTTTTGTTTTGCCAAGATCTTGTGCTAAGATTGTCAGCTACACTTACTCCGCTTATGCCAAATGTCTGCGAAACGCGTGTACGCGCTAATACTCGTATGGGTATTCGGAGACTTCTGGCACTTTGGTGGTAGCTTGCATCAATTAACGTTACCTAATATAAGTATGCTCGTTATGTGCATAATTTTTTTCCATTTTCATGAATAAATAAATTGAAAGTTGACAGAACAATTTTTTTTTCTTTCATCTACTTGGTCTGCATTGAATTAAAATTGAGCAAGCCCCTGGTGTGTGTTACTTGGGAGCTACGTTTGTTGTGGTGTCCACACAAAGCCAATGAAATAGATGGAAGTGGATATACGAATGACTCCGAAACCCAAAAACCTATATGCAGAAAGTTGCTTAAGGTTAGATAATAGCGCCATCTATTCTCTACTAAATGCCGTCTATCCAGGTGAGCGAGAGCTTCCTATTTTAGAATTCGTGCACCCTACGGAGTTACCTGTGGATGCGCCTTATTTAAAGACGTGTCTTATATCAGCTTAGTTATCGGCCGGTACCCAAAGGATCACGAAATACAATGCTAGCGAATGCTCGGTCAGCATTACGGAGTCCACGAAGCACTAACGTATAGAGGGCCCCGATTCTAAGACCTCGACGATATATTATATAGCACGATGTCTCATTATTGCTCCAATGATATCCCTTTCTCAAATTGAGGCCTTTTTTTATAACATATCTGTTTCCGTCGCATGACCGGGACCCATGTAATCTCGCCGTTAGGAGGCTCTTTCATAAGATCCCTGTGCAACTCGTTTTCAAACTTCGTATTATGGGCCAATCCGAACTTCACAACTGTGTCAGTGGGCTTCCAAACACCTTGTCATAGTTGCAACAACCATGCAAACTACGCCTCGCACATGTGAAAGGATTCTTACCAGCCCTATGGACGCAATTGCGCTAGATCATATCGAGCAAGTAATCTTGTAGCCCGTAAAAGTTCTATTGGGCTTCTATGCTGCTGCCCTGGAATATTAAACGTATGATGTTTCCTCAGCGTTGTAAATGTTGTTTGGTGAGAAGACATAAGAGTCTCAGACCAGACTTAACTTCGGTTCAATTTTGACACCACATAACCCTCAACCTGTTGTACGGTTCAACTTTCACCCAAACCCTTGAAGATGCCCCTGCGCAAACATACGAAGCCTCCGCCGAGATTCACTTTTGTGACTCCGGAATTTGAAGGCAACCAAATGAGATGGTTAAAGACTCATTCAGACGCAACAAGAAGTCACGCCGCATATTGGAGTGGGCCTGCAAAACGTCGATGGCAATCCGGCAAAGAGAGCATCAAAAAGGAGGATAGCGCCAACGCTCGAGGGACTTTTGCAGATGAGCGCACTTACCCACACACCGCCCAAGTTGAGCATCGCTGTTCAGTTGCTCGGACTCTCCAATGCCAGGGGTCAACAGCGGCAACGGATAGAAAGATTTTACCCCAGAGAGGAGACTATTCGACATTTCGCCAGATAGAACCCACTGGTTCACGATGTACCCAAGGTCTTCCGCCAGGTTTGAAAGAGACCAATTCTCTTTCAGTCGACTTGACAGTTCTCAAATTCTATAACGAAGACTTTATGAAAAGGTTTGTCATGGTTGACAATGCCGACAGTACCCTGATTTTCACTAGCTGCCTTCTACTTGGCTACGCTTATCACCTGGCACTGACAGGGCAGGGGACCATGACCATGTTGCTAGAATTGAAGAGCCAGGTTATACGCCACCTGACAGCGAAGATGAATATTTCAGATGGACTGCTTAGCCCCCGATGCCTCATCGCAATATTGGCCCTGGGAGCTCCAATTGTCTGTCTAGTATCTAGAGACTTACCAAGATGCCTCAGAATTGGGGAATCTATCAACATGATGTTGGAGGAAGAGTGCTTATGCAGTGAAGAATCGGCAATGTTCTCTCCAGCCTCACTCCACGAGCAAGTTGTTCACCGGTCAGCATTACGCAGACTGTTCCTGAAAGCTAGGGCTAATTTCCAAGACCCGGAAAGCGTCGCATTACTGCAGTATATCTCTAATTATATGAATATGTGCGTACCTATAAGTTTTCTGTATACTTTTTTTGTTCTAACGAAGCTCTCAGATCAATGGCTATTGGGGACGCTGATTGTTTACACACTACTCCGCCGGAGATTAAGAAACTGTTCTCAGCTACCACTCCATGTCAGGGTTGTACTGTACCAGAACAGTGGATATCTCCTCTTACACCTCTTACTTCTCAATGGCAGGAAGACTCGTCTATGGTGTACATTGAAAGCCGAATGATGTTGCTTACAGCACTGATGCAGAAGTGGCTCGCGACATTCCTTGACGAAAACGATCAATTATTACCTCTCACACAGGAGCTGTTACAAAAGCGTGCAGACCTTCGTGAAAAGATTGAGAGTTTTGCGCCGGCAACAATGAAGTCTAATGCTGAAGAAGAAGCCATGTATGAATGTTGCCGGCACGTCACTTCGATACTATTAACCGCGGAAAAGCTACGCATCCCAATCCATGCTGCAGCGGACCATGTGGAATCTAAACTTAACCTTACAAAGTCGTTTCGTCAAACAGATCTCACAAATCTTTGGGGCAGGCACAAGGGTTTGCTGTTTTGGGTTGCTGCAACATGTCAGTTCGCAACAGCGAGTCAGTGCTCTCCTTTACTATATACAACGCTTCTTGCACGACTAGTACAGGAGCTCTCGATGTCAAACATTTACACTGAGATAGCTCTTGGCTCTTTAAAAAGACTAAAGCAATTCGAGGGCTTGTGCTGCTATCAGGAATCCCGGCCAAGCTGCGGCGAATAGATTACTAGAAATAAATACTACAAATCTCTGGTTTCGATATTCAGGATAAAGAGAGTCATACCATGACTATTGCACACATATGAAGTAATTTATGCACCACGAATGAACGTTGGTTCATGTTTGATATAAAATATCCATCCTCCAACTTGCTTTCACGGCGATCAGCAGTTAAAGCAGCGATCACACTTCGCAACACTTCGCAACTCTTCGGGATTAACAGCGGGGTCCTACACGAGGAGACTAACTGAATCGGTAAACCCATCCTTGGAGATTTCATATGACAGATGCATGGAGTAATATTTTAGTGTCCAAAGCTGATAGTTTGAAACTTTAACCTCTCTCTCTTTACTGGTGGGCTAGTTGAAAGCCTGCCAAGCCTGTCTACCCCAAGATAAGGCCCGAATGATTCCGCCCAACGGAGCACTACGTATCAGTCACGTTTGTCGTGGTGTTATAGGGAGCTCTACGAGATGATGATTTCATACCCCCGCACCACACAGACTTCGCTGGCGATAGTAGTACACAAATTGTTATAGTTTCAACTAATTATCTCAGGAGAGCGAGATCGATAGGTACAAGTTTTTATCCTTTCTATCCCAGATCTTTACCCAAAAATAGAAAAATCGTCTGACAATCACTACGTTTTGCATAGCAAAATACTCGCATATAATGAAAACTCTTCGTGGTGAAGTTTTAGCAAGCAGTGAAATAGATAAACTTTATATTGCATACCATCCAGCACGTTTTTCTTCTTGATCTTGGCGCAGCCACTACGGTGTACAAATGACAGCATACAAGTATGCACGTCGCTAGATTGGTATCGAATTTGTATTAGCCGGAGGATGAAAACTTTAGTATCACTATACCATTGCGTAGTTCTATCAGCCTCAGATGGTTAGACTCTGATTTAACATAAGGTTGTAGGCACGGCTGTTTCGGAGTATAAGAGTCTGAAGAGGTCCTCGCTAGATTCTCCTAGAACAATCAACACTGGGTTAAACTTTCATAGGTAACCCTGTACCTGATTTGACAATCTGAATTTGATCTTGTTCCTCACAAAATCTCTTTACAATGGTCATTCTCATAACCGGCAGCACTGGTTACCTTGGTGGCCATTTGGTCAATGAAGCATTGAAACGAGACCACAGTGTCCGCGCCGTTGTGCGAACTGAGTCCTCATTCAAGAAGCTTGCTGAGCAGTTTCCTCAGTACGCATCGAAGCTTTCACATGTCGTCGTATCTGATATCACCGTACCAGAGGCATTCGAGGGTGCGTTCGATGGCGTGGTCGGTGTGATTCATTCCGCCTCTCCATTTAACTTGGAGCCAAAGAACAACGAAGAAGATCTTCTCAAACCCGCCATCAAAGGCTCTGTAGCTATACTCGATGCCGCATTGCGTTACGGTAAAGATGTCAAGCGTGTAGTTGTTACATCTTCTCACGCCTCCGTCGCCGACACTTCCAAAGGATTGCGACCTGGTTATGTATACAACGAAAAGGACTGGAATCCTATGACCTACGAGCAGGCTGCTGACCAGTCCACCGATGGTGTGACGGCCTACTGTGCTTCAAAGGCTCTGGCTGAGCGCGCTGTGTGGAAGTGGGCTGATGAGCACAAGGATGCGCCATTCGACGTTGTTACAATCACTCCGCCGTGGATCTTTGGGCCGTATGTTACGGAGCTGACATCTACGGCTCATTTAAGTGAAAGCGTCCGATTGATTTACAATCTGCTAGGGGCCAAAGAAGTGCCAGTCTTCGATTTCGGTGGATATGCAGATGTCCGCGAAGTCGGTGCTGCCCATTTGCTTGCCCTCGAAGTGCCTGCCGCTGGTGGACAACGTTTCTGGGTTGGGCAGTCTCTCCGATGGCAGGCTGTGGTTGATGTCGGGCGAGAAGAGTTTCCAGAGCTAAGGTCAAGGTTACCAGAAGGAAAACCGGGGTGGAGAGAAGATGCTTACGGTGTGGATGGCAGCAAAGCAGAACGAGTGTTGGGTCTCAAATATCTCACATTCAAGGAAACTATCAGAGATACCTTTGCTCAGCTATTATCTGCGGAACGGGCTGAAGCTGCAGCATAGCTTGGTTTTAGTCCAAGTCTCTTATGATCATCTACAATAAAAAGTTATTGCTTACTGAAGTCTCCCCAACTTGTTTCACTTTTACTTTCTGTGAAACATTACACGCAAGATGCATAGCCTCATATCATGAGACTCATAGCCCAATTGATATACCTGGAGACGATGTGTTTCAGAGACAATGTTACTTGGAGAGTATTTAGTTAAGATGACATATAAGTACCATTACAGAGGGTCACCCGAGTCGAGGACGAGTATCTTGTATTGCCGTTGAGTCATCATCTCGCGAATATCACAATTTGTGGCCGAGAAGTTGTAATTTCCCACAACAAGGTATATCGCAGGTATAGAGATAGAAGCAATTAGGAGGAACATGCTCGCTATACAAACTATAGCAGATATCCGTGTCAATTTAGTGGCCGACTAGTCTTTGCAAGGTACAAATGGAAGAGGGAGAAGTATAGAGTAAGATCTCCTACAATGGGTTTGGTCTCATACCACTTTACGGACAACTGATAGAGCGCATTTAGGTTATACGAATAGTCGAACAGTAATAGTATTGTGGACGGCGCATCCTTTCTAAGTTCTATCTTGACGCCTTATGCAGCAATACTCTTATGTCTTATTAGATAATCAAATTTCCGGAGCTGTGACCTGCTTCATAAGGCAAAAGGGAGATCTTTGGCCTTGCTGCTTTTGTCGCAAGGCGCGAATTGCCAGCAGTCAGAGTGCTTTCCAAAATAAAGAAATTTTAGAATGAAGAAAAGGATAGACGGGACTGGCGGCCAACTGCCAACTTGTTCGAACGCAACCTCGTGATTATGTACCATAAATGGCAAATCCACAACCTAGAGAGAGTCGTCTTATCGTCAGAATTCGTTCATATGTACAAAGGGTTTTTGAAAAGACTATTTTATACTCCGTGGCAACAAGGGGAACAACAGAGCACGACGATATCAAGATAAACTTACCATGCCATCAGCAGTCTGAGTCGCTTTTATTGCCTTCGATGCTGTCTCCTTTGTCCATTTGGCCCAGTCGGTTTTATCCTTATACCTTTCAAAGGCTTTGAGAGTAAAGATCTCATCTTCCAAATGCTGCCTAAGAACAGGCATGAATGAGTCTATTATACTCTTGAGCTTAGCCCCATCGTACTTTTCCTTACCGGTTTCCGCATTCTCCAAATGAGCGTTGTACTCTTTGAGGCCATCGTCAAAGGCATGATGTTGCTCGACGTTGACGTTCATGATACCTTCCTCGCCAGTGATTGCCTCAATCTCGGGGAAAAACCATTCCTCTTCGGTTGTGTGATGTTCATGAAGAATGTGGCCCCATGCCTTTGCGTATTTAATGAAAGCCGGAACGCTATCTGGCGAACGTTCCACGTTGACGCACTGGAGATAGATGCTGTTGATGCCCCTTAATAAGCAATTATGGACGGTGATCATTTCCGCGGCCATGGAGTGGTATGGCGCGACTTTCTCCCCGGGCTGGCACTGGAGTGAGCGTTTGTTCTTTCGACCATGTACTGGCGTATTATCGTATAATCCAGGCTTACCTTGTACCCAAGAGATGTAATCGAAATCAGTTCAAAAGGTCCGTCGGCCCACGGCCGACTGCTGTTGGTCTCTGTGCTTGCCATTATACCGGGCACTAGGAAATTGATGGTAGCTATTTTGTGGCCCGCGAGGAAAAGGTAAGATCAACAGCGAAGCTATACCAACGAAGCTTTCGTGAAGGGCCGCTGCACTCACTTATAGGAGATGATCACACAGTGCACACTTCCAATGCAATTTAAATGTTTGAGCCGCATACCCCATGTCTTCAATTCGTTCGATTATTTGTACAACGGTGAGACTACTGACGCTATCATCCAACGAAACAATGCTCTTTGGGCCAAACATGCGGCTGAGCAGTGGTACATACTCCTGCTAAAATCTGACGCGCAGTTAATTATGGAGTGTTGGCAGCGCTGTAGCTACCGCTAGACGAAATTACCTGTAACTATAGGGCCATTAGGCGAAGTCATAGGGAAGTAAGTTGCGTGTGGTCTTCAGCCATTTGCTACTGCTCTTCGTGTTTAGCGAATGAAAAAGTCTAGACGTCTGACGAATACGACACACAGGTCAGCATAACAAATGACGTGTGATTTAAGCTCTCTCCTGCAAGGATAACAAGTACGGATAGATAAAGGGTTTCTCCCATCTTTACAGAGACTTATAAACAAATGAAAAGGGTACTCTCATTGTATCTATACGCACAATGGCGAAGAAAGCCTTCTTAAAACGTATTTGATGTTCTAGCCATCCAGATAAGATCTCACAAGCCTGATTCTTTAAATCGGTACCAAGTAGCGGTTATAATCGACCTCTTTTCTTCCATTGAGTTTAAGTGCTGGGAGCTACCCTGTTCCGGCCGCTTTTGAGATGACAGATCAATTGTCCGCCGCTGGGATAAAGATCGTATTTTTGCTGCCATAGTTGGTTGTAATGTAGTCGAATAATGCAGGTAGTTTAGATATTCGCTAGGCAATAGCGTTTGAAATGAGTTACAGGGACTCAACGGACTTTACCTGGCATTTTCTACAGGCAACAGATATTTGCCCCGCGCGTCGCGGATACTGTGCTGGGCCTTGTGGGGAGGGGAACACATTCCACGCCTTACTTTCGGATAAGAACAAAGTTGCAGAGATAGCGTAGGACTCATTCATGCAATTAATTACATCTGGCAAGCTCCTCGATCCTTCAGGATGCAAAGTAGGATTCCGCGCCAAAAAAAAAAAAAAAAAAAAAAAAAAAAAAAAAAAAAAAAAGTAATCCAAAACTCTGATATCGACATCGTCGATACATTTTGAGACTTTTAATTTACCGCTGCATACCTATTTGCCATCATGACAACCGAAGACGGTGATGCAGACGCTGCTTCTAAGCATGTTCTGCAACAGCTCTCAGACACAGTGTATGCATGCTCCTCACTGTCGCCGCTGTCTAGCAGGCCTGGTAATTTTGTTTACCGTGGTGTCTTGGTTCATCCCCTCTCCGCCAAAGATGAGGCCCCTGTTCGGACTGTTATAATCAAGCATTGCACCCTTTCTACGAGCGAAGATGCCCCGAACCACGTGGCTTGCCGTGTAGATGGACCAGTAGTTATTTTTCATTCAGGAGCGACGTAGGCATGAAACAAGATACTAATATTTACTACGTGGCAGAACTTCGAGGAGCTCTTGCTCAACTCAATCGCTCATTTTTCACCCCTCACCGATCCATCTATTCTGATCAAGGTACCGCGTTTAAATTTACTAGATGAAGCGAATAACATTCAAGTCCTGGAAGATTTCAATGATACCACAGGACTGAAATCCATGTTGCTTTCCGCTGAAGCCAGTAATCTTCTTACTTCCAGCTTAGAGGCCATTGGATTTGCCTTGGGTGCCTGGCTTCGGGCGTTTCATATGTGGGCGGCGGCGCCTGAGCAGGCCGCCCTCAGAGCGGAGATGTGGCAAAGTGATCCGATGCGAAAGACAAAATATCTCTTCACCTATCACGGCTTTCTGAAGGTGTTAGAGATGCATCCGGAAGTTCTAGAAGGTCACAGAGAAATCTTGGAGATAATCCGAGATACCATATCGAAGGAATATGAGAGACCCAGTACTGAAGACGATGAAGACTTGGGACTTATTCATGGGGACTTTTGGTCAGGAAAGTACGTTTTATCTCTGAAGCTACCTTGCAATTCATGTCAATCATGTTGGATTCTTTGGTCTAACGGAGCACGTATCAGCATCTTGCTTCCTGCCACGCCGTGGCGAGAGCCTCCACTATCAGATGTGCCTAACAAGTTGTTTATTATTGACTGGGAATTTGCGCAATTTGGCCACCGATCCAATGACATAGGTCAACTCATTGGTGACCTTTATGAAAGGAAGCTGTACGGTAATGTTGAAACTGTCGCACCTGTTATGGAGGGAGTCATCAGGGGATATGGCGAGTTAAGTGAGCAAATGGCGTTTCGGGTTGCCATTTATGTGGGTGTTCATTTAATCGGCTGGTATAACCGAAGGCCCCGAAAAGGCCCCAAAGTGGTTCCCTCACATGTCACCTTGGAGGGGTTGACGATTGGAAGGGATTTCATTATAAAGGGATGGGAGAAAGACAGAAAGTACTTCGGGAACAGTGCATTGGCATCATTATTCAGGAGAGCATGAGCGAAAGCTACGAAGATATCTACGGTTATCCTGAAATTGGAGATGGTTTGTTCCTATATCGCGTTCTATGGCTGACAACTTGTTTACATACTCAGTTCTCAAACTAAACTCTGCTCGTGATACAGAAGCCTGCGCGGTTTCCCACTGCAATAAGGCACCGGAATTTATCTACAAGTCCGGTCTATGCCTGCGAGCTTTACTTATTTGATGATCACGGGAGGCATTTCAAGTAGGCTTCATGTCTCAAGACACTGGCTGCATTGGGACACAAGAACCACAGATTCAAATCTTATCCCTAATGCGTAGGCAAAAGTTTAAATGCACTTATATCAATACTAATACTGATACTATCACTTGTAATCTGTAGTTGTCATAATTGGGCTTTTGTGTCTTTATTTGTCTTCGAAGTTCGTCGATTTTTGACTGGAGGCCTAATCATGTGTACCAGTGTACTTTGAGATTCCCAAGATAGTATAGTATATTATAGAGCAAGTACGCGTCTAGGCAGTGCTGAAGTGTGCTAAAACAATTGAATGTCAGCCCGATTCCCATTTCGAATCCATCGCCGCTGTGTCTGCGCATTCACACCGCGCCTTTATATGCTGAAACCATTGGCCACTTCTAGTTCTAGCAATCGCCGACATATCCTAAAATATGTTATTTTCAAGCTTAATCTCGATATTTCCCAGCGCTAACGGTTTCTGTCTACAACGTAGCCAAAATCTGATGGATTTGGATCCTCGCCATGCGAGATCCTGCAAGCTAATTTAGCCCCTGTAAGTCAGTTTCTGCATCAGAGCAATGACCGGGAGGTAAATGGACCTTTTTTCGTTCCGAGAACGAGAACGAAGTTACGTGGCATTGGTCGTGGCATTGGTGAGTAGGCAATTGTGTATAGCATCATACATTTAGACAGATGGTATCAAAATGTATGAATAGAATGAAAGCAATGTAAAAGATATATAAACGGCCAGTCGCTGTGAGGTCTAGTTTGTTCCCTCTCGTTACATTTACAACTGCAATCCTCATCAACACTTCAGAGATATCTCATACTCAATCATGTTCCCGCGACTTCTTATACTTATTGGCTCGGCCGCGACAGTCCTCGCGACCGGTGCTTGCGGTACTGGAATTTACCATTCGCCCATCGCCAAGTCATTTGTTACCATCGACCTGCTAGTTAACATTCCTGTGAATACAACCACCCCAGAAGGCGTAGTTGGTTCTGTTGGCATCCGTGGAGGCAGTATCAGTGGCCAGTTCAACGGGCATCTTGTATCGAACATCTCTTCTGAGATTGAGCATGTACTCCCTCTTACGAATGGAGAATTTACTGTGAGTTACGAATATCTTAATACAACATATGTTCACAAATACTAACGTGTTCAAGTCCGTTTCGAGTCAATGGATTTTCGAAAATGATAAAAATGAACACATTTTGGCTACACTTTCAGGTCTTACAACCTATGCTAACAATGCTCTGCATGGATTTGGCAACGCGTAATTATCCTTCATCCCTACAGAGTAAAATAGATGAACTAATAATTGCTTTAGTATCTTGGCTACTGAGGCAAAAGACTTTTACTGGGTCAACTCGGCCACTTTCCTTATTGAGTGGCAGGGCGATTTTAATACCGGGAAGGCTCAGTTTGAGTTTTTCCAAATTACTACAGGCGGTCGCCTCGACGGTCAGCCTATTACTGCTTTACTCCCGCCAGGTGGTAAATAAACGGCAATGGTGTATGACAACCACCCCATGTACCGGTTTCATCCAGATACCACATGATCCCGCCATAGATACCGATACATCTAGAACGTTTTGTTCTTGGGCACAGCTATTGCAATTTTTTGCCAGTGGATAACCACTGTCAAGTTGGATATACATCTAGTAGAAGGAATGTTCACAAGCGTAGCATAGTTTTATTTATTTAATTTTATATATCCATCAATTGTTTTACCTTATTATTAAACAAGCCATGAGCTTATCCGTGAGTCAACTTAATGCCTAATCATCTTCTACACAAGGGTTAGTAGATATTTCAGTATAGTACATGTTTAAACAGCTCTACAGATAAGTTTCGGGTATATATTCGCATTACATTGCTACACTTTTCGATACGTATGCTATTAGCACGTCATCTCAACTATAGTCCTGGAAGATAAACACATCATGCGGCCGTTTTACAGCGGAAGCGAGGAAATGGTGGGCAAAAATAGTTCCTAGGCAATAGTTGCTCTTATAAAAATACGCCATTGAATGTGAAACCAATTAATAACAATGAAATTGCACGTTTAGATTAGAAAACCTTAGTGCCCTTCTAGTACGATGTATTAAAACATCAGCGAAAAGGCATGGAGATAGGTAGATTACAATCTGAAAAAATGCACCATTTTCGATCCCGAACGGTCTCCCAGATACAAGGCACCGCATATAACCCTCTCGTGTTTGACCTTTCCCTCATGCGATTGGCTGTAACTTTCTCTATTTTTAACTTAGGATTCACAAATCCTTCCACTGTAGATGCGCCAAATTATTGGCTGCTAGTATCTTCATGGCGTCAAACACGTCTTACCCTGCATGTTTGGTCTACTCTACTAATATTAATTTGGTTAACCTCGTGCTGATTGAATTGAAGATTTATTTCATTTATCTCGCTGAAAGGGTCACCTTGGCAACTAATTCTATTTCATTGTTGCCTCATCTTTCACCATCTATACATGGCAGTATCCTGAGAGCGGCAACATGGCATCACCTCTCAGCAAATGGGCCGACGGCCCCCTTGAGCTCATTGAGACTCCCTCCTTTACGAAGCGTATAGTGAGTTGTGCCTTATTTTCCGGTGAAGCGTCAGAGTGCTCATGCGACCTCCAGGACGATCACCCGGCCCACTATATCGCCAACGAGATGGCCTTCGCCCACAACGCTATGCTTCGCGGCCTTAACGCCATCTATTTGCAGGCGCCCTACATACCAAAGGCTGACGTCTCCGATTTCCTCTTTTTTGTCGCCTCGTGGGCTGGTTGGGTACAGCATCATCACATTCTGGAGGAGACACGCATGTTTCCAGGCTTCGAGCGCATTCCCGGTATTAAGGCCGGGCAGCTCTCGCACAATATCGAACAACACCAGCTCTTCTCCACTGGCCTCGATGATCTTAAAAAGTACGCTACAAATTCAACTGAAGCAGATTATGACGGCGGAAGACTGCGTGAGCTCATTTCTAGCTTTTCTACATACATGCGCGAGCATTTAGCCGATGAAATCGACACTCTCTGGGGCCTCGAATGTTGTGAGAAGGGCCAGGAAGAAAACCTACTCAAGGTGTACAAGGACTGCGAAGCGGAAGCTGGAAAGCAAGACAAGACAGTAGTGCCACCTATGGTTCTGGGGCTATGCGACAAAACATTTCAGGGTGGCAATAGCTGGCCTGCCATGCCTATAGGCTCAGAATACATTGTCCACTATCTACTTGGCAGGAAACATAGGGGCGCATGGAGGTTTTTGCCGTCCGACACATTTCGAAGGCCAAGACCGTTACCTTTTTTAGGCGACGAGAGTTAATGAGCGAGGTAACTTGAGGGATCACCTCAGCAGCTGCTTGAAATGGCAGATGCCAGGCGGGTATCAGCGATGCTTAACAGAACTCAACAATTTCGTTTCCCCATTCATTATCACATTCTAATAAGACTCTGTAATTTGCAATTGTCAATTGCTGCTCTATATCTCTTTAACTAAGCTGAAGGCACCGTTATAGATGTGTTGAAGCTATATCTGAAATTTCGATATCTCTTTCATGAAGCATCAAGACAAGGTGGGAGTCGTCCAGTCAACCCACTGGCTCGGAGAGAATGTAAAATCGCTCTGGAATATCGCAGTATTTGTTGATTGATTGAGCAAGAACTTTTGGACAAATGCTGTAAGTTGAGACTGCTGGTTCGACGGGAATGCGCAGTGTGCGTGGGAGCCAATCTGTGAATAACCGATATTATTTGGCACACCTAGAGCTTGCCATGCCGAACGAGCCGCTGTCATACAGCCGAAACAACTCTGGGGGCCAAGCCAGTCAATGTTGTTGTCAATTACGAACAAGCCCCTCGGTGCAATAAGCGCTGCTAGCGAGTGATGATCGAATGGCAATGTTGGCACTTGATTGACATAACTGTTGAAAGCAGTGGCGAACCAAGGGTCTTCGCCAATGATCTCGGATGCCGTCTGAATGTTGGCTCCTTGAGATTTCAAGTAGTCTGAAATCCTCCAACAAGCAGAGCCCCCTGCACCTGATTCCTGGGGGAGCGTCAGCACGATGCGCTTCTCGAATGCGCCTGCAACCATGGCGCCCTTCCCGTTTCGTGAGCATCCCGTTACGCCAATTCTTGTGGTATCGATTCTTGCTGATGGCGTCAATTCGAGAGCATCAATAACACGGCTTACTCCCCATGCCCACGCGGTCATAGCACCCGCCGAATGCGTTTTCCCATAAAGATCATAGAATTTGCCCTGTCCTCGGCTACCTGTGTTGACTTGGGCGGCTATGTTATCATTGTTGAAGTTGATCATGGCGACACCCGCAGGTGCTGGCAGACTGCCACCTCCGTACCCAATGATGGCGGGATAGGGTGCCGATCCAGAAGAAGGATAGGTAATAGTTACGGTAAATGATATCGACTTTCCGGAATCACCGCAATTAATAGTCAAAGTATTTCCAGAGAAAGACGCGGTAACAGTGGCGGGACGACCTGGCAGAGTCCCAAGTTCATAGCGCTGGATGAGCTCTGACATCTCTGCCTGACGACATGCAAATTTGTCTTTCGTTGTTACTTTATCTCCATTAAACATTGTGAACAGGTCATTGAGCTTTGCGTTGGCTTTCAAACTAATTGAACCTGGTAATGCCGAGCACGTCGCCGCACTGGTAGAAGTAGCACGAGTTGCAGACGATGACGATGCACTCGAGGCAGGTGGTGGACTTGTAACAGATGTGACCAACGTGGTAGTTGGTATCGTCGACGATGCTTGTGTACTAGGAATGCATTGAGAGTAATAATCGCTGTATGATACGCAAGTTGTGCCCGCAACACAAGTTGTCGGACCGCCCCAGCCAATTCCGCCACCTATAATGCATGTGAGCGCTTTGTACTACAAATTTTGACTGATGAAGGCCACGAACATTGTCCCCATACTGGAGATTGCGCCTGAATGGGGATGGCCAGCAGGAGAAGAGCGAAAATGCGAGCAGCCATGTTGTTTACCTTCGTCAATGAGATGTTGACTTCTTACACGGCGTTTACATGTTGTCGTTGTTTGAGCGCTCTCGCAATCTCATTTATATCTGCTCGCAGCCGCTCGTCCGGCGTCTGACATCGCAAACGTTTACACCTATATCACTATTACAACATATTCTACTACATTCAATATTGCTTTCCTCTAAACTATTTCCACCACCATTGCTCACGCCAAGAACATATATCACAAAATGAGCGATGCTCCGTAAAGCCGACGACGGACTGATTGGAGGGAAAACACTCTCTTCACTCGCCACCTGGAATGGATAAATAGATTCGGACATTCAGCATAAAATATTGAATGGGAACTATGGATCAGACATCACATGGGGCAACATATGCTCGTGCCGTTTGCTTCTCCAATACTGTTCCGACACCTGGGCGCAAGATGTTCCCTAGCTTTTGTATATAGAGCCTGAAAGGAAATGCCGGGTCTAGAATTAAACATCTCGGCTAAATAAGGTTATGCATCAAGAAGTATTGGTATATTGTTGATGAGCCTATTAAATTCGAGGACTACCCGGTTGAGGTGGTTATGTAGGCTAACTTCCTTGATCAATAGCCGAGTAAGGTAACGGTTTTAATTCATCCTGGCGGTGAGTACAACCTCTCCATCAGAGCTGTCGTAGTAGTGATCCATATTACCCCAGATACACACACAATGGTTTCCGAGAGCTTAAATTTAAGAATACTTGATGCTTGGTTGTATTGGAGTAGTCATTGTGAACCTTCATTACATGTACCAGCTATGATGATCTCGCTGTGTCAAGATCATACGTTGACTGAGTATTGCGACATTCAATAGTGTGCCGAAATAGGCACGTATCGTTCTGAAAATACGGTAATTTCTGTCTCGGATCCTACCTGTTCCATCATCTGAATGCTAGTTCCTCCTACAAGTCTGGCTATGCCCCTTGATGCAAACGCCGTCGGACGGCTTGTGGGTGTCACCGAATTACAATCATCAGCAGAAGATGGGCCCTCTAAGATGTATCAGGTCTTAGAGGGATAGGGAGAACCATTCATTTTGTTACAAGGTAGATAGTACAGCATTCAGTACTTCGTTGAGTAGGGGTTCATCTCTACGAGAATACTCTCGAGAAGACAAAGAGTTGGACCTAGTTAATACATAGTCGAATACGTTCTGACTACTAGTTATATATCCTAGCACTATACGAAAGAAGGCTCTCTAGCCTCGACTTGTTAAAGCATCTAGATAGTAAGAACGCTAAGCGTCAAGTAACATAGGGATAATGGAATAAGCAAATAAAGACAGCATGATGTGTCTATCATCCGTCTAGGGGGGTCTAAAGGATAAGAAATGGCATCGACTGGCAGCTACAACGAGGTTACATTTGGATGGAGATCACAGACAGTACCCAATATTAGGCGGTATATCTCCCGAGATGCCGAAATGCTGCCAGCAGTCTCATAGGCGCCTAAACATGAGATTGCTTAGCTGCGCTAAATGTCTTCAACATTTTAAGCAAGCTTTCGTGAGATTATCTCAAACATCGATTGAAGCGCTGTTTGTGAAAGACTCTGGATCATCATGTCGGAAAATGATCATCATAAGAGTCCTAGTCTCCCTATAATTACCATATCAAATCGGTTTCCACATCTCGCATGCGGAGGCTAGTTGTCTTACATGAAGTTCTTCTCACCCCGACGTGGTATTCGGTTGATATATATAGGTTCAAGGATAAATGTAATTACCAACCAGGTTAATAAAGGTATCATTTAACCGTTTTATGCAGCATATTGTATGTAACGCTGGATAAATGGCTCCTCTGGAAAGGTGCCTCGTATTTATTAAGAATATAACATGCTTTCACATGATCACATTTTGAAGCTCCTGGAAGTCGTCTGTTTTATGCTGAGTCTAGCTAGCATGACAGTATGCCCAAAAGTACAGGGAGATGTGCGAATACACGGCTATATGTAGAATACTTGTGATATATACTAACAGCTGCTGTCCCCTCAGGACCGGCAGTTCTACTTTAGTGCATTCCTTCAGCGTGGCCTAATCCTTTCTCGTAATTCGAAAGGGACAGAACGATGACATTGAGACACTTATTGATCTTGGCAAATATTGCTACTCTGTCCGTAGCCCAAACCACCATCACAGTCAATGTTGGCACCAAATTCCAGCAAATTGATGGCTTCGGCTTTTCGCAAGCGTTCGGCCGTGCCAGTGAATTCCAGAATGCCAATGCCAATACTCAGAAGCAGGCCTTAGATTACCTTTTCAGCACGACCACTGGCGCCGGTTTCAGCATTATACGCAACCGTATCGGATCTGGAGGTTCCGGTGATAGCATCGAACCAAATAATCCCGGCTCACCATCAGCGAAGCCAAACTACGTTTGGGACAACAATGATAGCGGCCAATTATGGTTCACGAGACAGGCAGTCTCATATGGCGTGAAAACCATATATGCGGACGCATGGGGTGCCCCTGGGTTCATGAAAACCAGCGGCTCTGACTCGTCGCCGGGGTGAGTGAGCGCCATTAATATTCTCACATGTTCAATCGAGACTGACGTAGGTCATTGTAAAACAGATATCTTTGCGGCAGCACTGGTCATTCTTGTTCTTCCGGTGACTGGAGACAGGCATATGCCAACTTTCTTGTGCAGTATGTCATGTATTACGCAGCGGCAGGCTACAACATCACACACCTGGGATTCTTGAATGAGCCGGATTTCCAAACCACGTACTCTCAGATGCAAATCAGTTCAAACGCTCAAGAGGCCATCTCCTTCATTCCTATTCTCTCTAACACGGTGAAGGCAGCCGGCCTCAGCACCAAGCTCACCTGCTGCGATGCAGTTGGATGGACGACTCAGAGCACCTATACGACTAACTTGGTCAATGCTGGCTCAACTGGATATCTCAGTGTGATCACGTCCCATTCGTACAGCGCAGATGCAACTTCTCCACTGAGTCAGACATCTCTACCCAAATGGAACACAGAGGGCGGTCCAAGCACGCCGTTCGTGACGACGTGGTATGGGAATGGTGGTACCAACGAGGGCTTCACATGGGCCAACAAACTCGCCGTTGCAATGGTCAACGCACAGCTCTCAGCCTACCTGTTCTGGGAAGGCTTCGAGATTCAACAATCCCAGTCAGGTAGTCATTTGATCGATGCACTGGACAGGCAGACGGCTACCCCATCGGGTATCTTCTGGGCTTTTGCCATGTGGTCGAGATATATCCGCCCAGGAGCTTTTAGAGTAGCAACATCAGGATCCATATCCAGCGTTATTACCGGCGCCTTCCAGAACACTGATGGCTCCGTAGTTGTCGTATTCACAAACAGCGGTTCATCGGCTCAGTCAGCAAGAATTGCCTTCACTGGCTTTACTCCCCGTTCCGCAGCCGCATATGTCACGGACAATAGCCACACATTCGCATCTACATCTTCGGGGCTTTCTGGTAGTACTATTACAGTATCTGTACCCAGCAGGGGAGTTGTCACAGTGAAGTTGACTTGAGAAGGGGATGGTCTACTGGATTGCTATCTATAGCTTCCAGAATCTCTATAGTAGCAGGTAGTTTAGTAGTAGCTCAATATTGCAACAGCCAGTCTAAAACCATGTACACGCCCTCCGTTAGGACTTAGGGTAAGGTACACTCGAGGATATAATGTCACCAAGACGTAGCTTCATACCTGGTGGCACGCGACCCAATATCGTTACCTAGTACTTCAGCGTTGTTAATCACCATTAGAGTATAGAATCATTGAGGAATTAAGCCACGGTTGGCAATATATAGATTTTAGCTCTTTTCAATCGTTATCTTCGTATTATAACCCCTTTCTAGAATATGTGTGAGTACAGAGTTCTTAACAGTTTCCACAAGATGTTCTTCAGCATCACTATCCAATCCGCCGTGAGAGAGGAAATCAACATGCAGTTTCAGCTCGTCAAGTTCCTCATGCACTTCAAGTAGAGCCGCCCCGTCAACATCTATGGTATCAATCGCTTTATCACAGCTAGTACGCAAGTCCTCAAGTTCCTCTTTAAGATCCTTGTTCTCTTTCTCAAGTCGCTCGACTCGCTTTGCTAGCCTATGCATCTCCTTGCGCATATCGGATAATGCAGCCCAAACATCATGATCATTTTCAATCTCAGATGAAGTACTTGAATCGTTCAGTCGACGTCTCTTTTTGTCATTTCGCTCAATCGAGGGGCCGACAGGCGGCGGGGATTGGAATTTGGAATGTGATGATGGTTCGAGGTCGGGAGGAGGAGGGGGTTCTAGTTCGGCGTATGATGGTGGCTCATCATCTGGCAGTGTAGACGAGTTGTGTGGCGGCGAAGGAAGACTAATAATCTTGCCTCCCCTCCCGCCATAAAGCGAAGCCAGAGCAGCTAAAGTATCAGAATCGAGTGGTTGCAGAGTGTTTTGAGCGACAGCTTCGCGGATAGCCGACAGCTTGGCCTGAGAAACCTCTCTTGCTGAGATATAAACATCCAGGGCTGTCGCTTTGCTAAGCAAACGTAGAGAATCGAAAGCTTGGCCAGATAGCCGCTTCCTTGGCTGGATAGGTTCGGCTGCTGCGGTTGAAGCAACAAGATCAAGAGGTTGACGGAGATCGAAATGCAATCGGACAGCTTTACAGTTGAGTTTCTTTCGCACTATCTCGGGGACGTCTGGATTCTCGTCGTAGTCGAACAAAGCGATGGAATGTGTGTGGATCAAGCCGATGATGTGGGATTGAGATTCAATGCCTTTCACTCTGATGGGACAATGCAGTTGAAAACATGCCGACAACGTCTCCTGGGAGAACCGACTCTCGAACGTCACGCGGCCTCGTTGCGGATCAGGGTCGACCAGATACTGCGCCGCGTCGTCTGATCTCCATTCTACGCAGGCGGGCGTCTTCAAATCGAAATCGAGGCATGGAAATGTCGACATGGTTCATTCGTTTTGGCTCGTGGCGTACTACATAAGCAAAAACAGATGGGAACAACATACCAGGTTCAAGAATCACGCGCAACAGAGGGGACGAGTTTCGCAGACAGGCGGCCTGCTCAGAGCTCCAGAAAAACCTGCGAGCTCAAGCAGGTCCCTTCCCTCAGCCCCGGGTCTTCCAAAGAAGGAGAGCGAGTCTCGTTCAGTGGGTAGAAATCCGGAAGGCTGGCCAAGGGCGCGAAAGCACCGTTCCGTTCTAAGGGCGTGATTCGATGCAGGCGAGGAGAAACAAGATAGAAAAAAGATCAAAGGAGAAAGCGTTGCAGACAGGCGAACGGCCTAGAGCTCCAGAAAAACCTGCGAGCCCAGGCAGATCCCTTCTCTTGACCCCGGGTCTTCCAAAGAAGGAGATACAATCTCGTTCAGTGGGTAAAAATCCGGACAGCTGGCCAAGAGCGCAGTGCAGACTCCTTCGATGGCGATGATTGCTGAGAATGATGATGCACAAGCGATGCGCGTGAAATGGACAAAACAAGGAGGCTGGGAGGAGTTTCGCAAGATGCACGTGATCAATATTCAGCTTTGTCATCGCAGTCCCACTTTGACATTAGCCACCGCTTAGCTAAAATAGGAAAGGCACTTGTCAGCATGCCTCAACTGCTTTTACAGCGAGTTCTTCACTGTGAATATCTGCTACACACACTTCTTACGATAAAGACAATAAGAACTCTTAAACATCACCAGTTTTTATTTATTAAGAGAGTATCACGGTGATGAAAATCATACTATGTGGAGCTCAATTGCAATTTGCGAGTGACATTTACTTACAGAAAAGGATGCACTCTACTACGTAAGAAGAAACGTCCCTTCCCAGCTGCCCAGTAAGCATTCAAAAGTACCTAGTAGTAGCTGCTTGATGCCGTCCTCAATCCCGTTTTTAGCCGAGTATTCATCTTGAATTACGGCGTGCAAATCAAAAAAGGTACCGGCCGAGAGCAACTCAGTGGAACCGCGGTTAGGAACGCTGTCAGCAGGCTCTTTCATGTGAATCCTTCGAGTGAATAGACCTAGTTGCGTAGGCAGGTAGAGACGCCTCAACGCTTTCAACATTCAAAATTTCCCAATGTGGATGAAATCCGAACTTCTCGTCTCCACAAAACCCCGAATGGCCGGACTACTGGAAATGTCACAATGCATAATAAATGATGTGATAAGACTCAACGTGAGAGTGTTTTCTATATCATACCACTAATTCCGCTGTTCAATAGATCAATACATATATAACTTCAATGTATTAAATACAGAAACTAATGTCTTGTGTGTACGTTACAGTAAATCTTTGCCTAAGCTCCCATCGGTGGAGTACGCCGGGGCTTATTACGCCACGTCCGAGACGCCAACGGAGAAGGATTCACATCTTGACATATATAAGTGCTCCTTCAGTCATAGCCACTCATTCGAAATTACCGCGTTCCTAAATTCTGTAATCTCTCTGCATTAATACGCTCAATAACTCATTTCATCACTCTCACGCCGAAGCCTGGAAGCCAACTCTACCACACTCGCTCGCTACTATGGCTACTGATAATAATGCTGCTGAAGATCTCCAGAAGATCAACAACCAAACGCTGGGGACAGATGGGAATGCGTTTCCAGTTGTAACGCTTCCCGGCGGCCAAAAGGTCCCAACTGGCACTGTGGGAGCACTTCTCGTCAACATCAAGACATACGATGCAGGCAATGATGAGGAGAGAAAGAGCATAGAACCAGCAATTCGGGCCGCAATACCCGTACTCCGGAGCGTTGGCATGTTTGATCTCTTTAAGCCGCAGGAATGGGTTCAAGGGGGTAGCCCAGGGCGGGCTCTCGTCGGAAAACTAGCAATGGAGTGATACAACGTCATTTGTATATCGTCCAGGTGTGGCGTCACGTAAAACACTGCGAGCGTTAGCAAATCAGGTACAGAGTTAATTACACAAACAGTGTTTTTTTTTTTGAACGAATTGTTGCTGGGTTGGCTTTTGTGCTTAAAGGTGTATTGCTTCTGACCACTTGTCATCGTGGTGACGACGTCAAGACAACAGTATGATATGTATGGACAGCGGCATGATGGATATCATGACCAAAGAGTCATCTCGGCGGCAACAATTTTAATATATCAATATTTACGAGTAGCGCCAGATCTTCCACTAGCTGTATCTATATATTGAGATCCACGCTAATACTCGATGCAAGCCCAAGAGAAATTGTTCTGGTCCCATTTCTTCTTGTTATGCGTATGGTTGCAACGCTCACATCTCATCCAACAATTCCCCATACAGACCGTCCTATTGGTCCACCAAGTTTACATATCTAAGAAAAATGCTACTACCCAATTCGCCTTTGGAAGATATGACAACAGATATACACTGTATTTCTCACTGAGAAGGCAGTAACTGTGTTTAAGAAAAGGAATATAGACCAAATAGCTCCTGTAGCCCGTAGACACATAATACAGAGTGCTGTTGTATCAATCACGGCGGCGACCATGTCGATGTTCTCTTCGCTCGTGTCGCCTATACGCCTCTTTAGTAAACTGTCATATCATCCTAAGGTGAGATACGAGTCGACAAAATGAGATAAGGACCAATTCTCCTAACTAGAGAGCAGAAATCGAGATATCAAGGATATGATGCAAACGACGTACTTGTAGGCATGTTCGAGCATATTCGCGCCGATAGCACCCGCCGCCGCTCCACCAATTGCGCCAAGCAGCCCACCACCAGATTTCTTGGCCGCAAAGGCTCCGATGCCACCACCAACGACAGTAGCGCCGAGACCTCGCTCGCCAGTGGCCTCCTCGGAACCTGGAGCCGTGCCAAGAGGAAATTGCTGCGTGAATGTGACATTTTGATCCCTGTTATGGTCGTGTTGGGGCTGGCCATTTAGATTAGCGGGTGGACGGCTGTTAGCATCGTAGCCCTGGAAAGGCGGAGCTTGGCTCAGCTGCTATTGAGCGGTGGTTGATAAAACGTTTCACATGAGAGTCATCATCAGACATTGGAACACAAACCTGCTGAGGAGTGGTACCCTGCTGTGGGTAGTTTCCATTCGTGTTATATTGCTGTTGATCATAGTACTGAGGTTGCGACTGAGTACTGTCGCTGCTGGAGGCGCTGTTGTAGTATTCTTGTGCTGACATGATGGTGCTGGGATAGGCCTGGGCGCAGGGGACAGAAATCAATCGGATGACCTGGCCTAAAGAAGTAAAATGTTTTGGAAATAAAACGACAATATGAGAATAAGATAGAAGGAAAGAAGGAAAGAAATTCATCAACTACAGGCGACTTTATTTATATGTCCTATTCGTTCTATCGGCAGGACCACTCACCAACGATCGCTTCTTAGTATAATGCGTCGCTGCTCGTCGTTCTCGTTCTCGTTTGGGTGGAGGAGTCTAAGATTGATCGCCTCGCACAGAGTAATGGGATCTGACAGGTAAGCGGCCAATGATCCAAACAGATCTAAGATGGTCATCGTTGTGTAGGGGCGCTGAATCTGATATGTATTGAACTACACTGTCGATCGCACCTTTTTACGCAGTAGTTTGGTCAATCACCCTTCTCATCCACGAATCGAAATGCTATTTAGACAAGCACGCTAAGCGGATGATTCGGATAAGAACCTCGCAGCATCTCTTTTTCATAAAGCAATTATCAGCACTCATATACGTTAAGAACCATTTTCTATTTACACCAGTTTGTTCATACTGCACTTCACTTTAATGGCCTGCTCAGTGATCCATACAATATAAACTTTTCATTGCACCTTGACAGTTTAACTGCGATGCAATACTGTCTGTATCACAGAGGAAAAGAAAAATGCTGTACTTAGGCACTGCAATAGGGTAAGCAATATACAGGCTTACCTGCTACAGCCTACGATACAGATCATGTCTAATGATGCAATGCCAGCTAATATTACAACTTGCGCTCAAAGTGCTATTGAGAGGTGCTCATATCGTACAAGACTTGGTATCAATCTTTGGTTAGTTCATTTACGTTCGAATATGTACCCCACAAAGTATGTAGTGTGGAAAAGCGCCGGGCCACGTGTAATTCCCAATGCGTCCTACCTACATATCCTTAGCCTACTGAAGCTATGAGAGAGATATCGCAATCTATTGTTCCTCGACGACATGGAATGTTCGGCCTATCTCGGAAGCAATTAGTAACTATTTGCATGTTATTCTCAAGATCAATACAAAGTGGGTAGGATAAGGAAGTATGAACCTGCCCTTTTAAGAAGTGGCTACGCATATAAGTAGAAGGTCTGAAATTCTAACATGGGTATTAAACATTTTAGAGGTAGACTTTTTCCACCAATACCGCTGATAGAAAATGGAGCGACTTTGGCATAGACGGCAAGAAATGCGAGAAGTATTCTAAAGCACGGATACTTAATTAGCAATGCTAGAAATATGCATATATCATTTAGGAATTTAGAGTTAAAGCATTAAATGTTCCATGAAAGATACCGCATGGAAAGCTACACTTACTCACTTACTCTAGCGTCTGCATTCCAATCCGACACAGCTACCTAATCATCCTGAGAACATAAGAATAGTCCAATTGTATTTTATCAACATTTCCATATCGGTCCTTATTCATTGCCGGTTTGCGGATATTTTGGAATCCATTGGCGGTACATTGATCTTGGCATCACTTGCTTCAATAAACCGTTTGTGGTAGCTAGCACTAAACAAGAAGCTGGATCGGGAGAGTAATGGTAATTCTCTCCATTTGGCTATTTCTTGCTAGAAACCCGGAAATGCTGCAGGAAAACATACCACTTATCTCGGGAATATTATCCCTTCGACCGTCTATATATTGATGCCCATCTCCCAACATCATCATTCCTCATCCCATCTTCACTCTACAGTCCTCTGAATCACTCGATTATACTACCAGGCCAGACTCCTTACACAACACAATCTCAGCCATGGGTGTTATCAAATCGCTCGCCGTCGCTCTCGCGGCCTTGCCTCTCAGCTTCGCGACGCAAACTTTCCAGAATAGCGGCACTAAAGCTGGATTCGACTATGTCCTCACAGAGAACAAGGGCCAAGTCCTTGAGGTGTCTGACATCACATACAAAGGCTCCTCGGCTCTCCTGATGCAACAGACCTTTACACCGGGCTACACAGGCCGATACCACTCTGAGGTTTATCACAATCAGGGATATAAGCGTGGTGATGAGTTGTTCTACGGCTTCATGTTCCGATTGTCTTCAGCTTGGGAGTTTGATCAGCAATCATACAACATTGCTCAGTTCATTGCTGATCGACCTGGCGCTGGCTGTGAAGATGATGATTGGATGCCCTCATCGCTCATTTGGATCGAGGGCAACCAGCTTAACTCTCGAATTGTCAGCGGCAACTACAAACAGCCAGACTGCAGCCGCAGTTTCACCGGCACGGGAAACATTGCGACAGTATCTGCCGGCGTGTGGCACAAGGTCATCATCCAAGCCAAGTGGGCCAGCGACAGCTCGGGCTATTACAAGATGTGGTTCGATGGCAACAAGGTCTACCAGCACTACAACATTGCTACAACCACCAATGACGACTACGAGTTTGCATTCCGTGTCGGCCTTTACGCCAACGGCTGGCACGATAACAACCACCAGATGGTTGGCAATCAGGGATTCCGCCAAATCTGGTACGACGAGGTTGCCGTTGGTACCACTTTCAAGGATGTTGACCCCGATCAGTACGAGTAAGAGAATGATTACTCGAGTCCTGGGGTCTTCAACAGGCGACAGAGGGTGACATATTATGAAGTCTCTTTTTAGTTGCTAATGGTTCCCGCAACTTCAACGTCTTCCATTCTAAGTATAATCATTTTTGATAGTTTCCATAGGCTTGACACCGTGGATTAGGTACATACATATCAATTTATAAATATTTTACATATAGTGCAATCTTCACGAGAAATGATGACATTGTATCATGCCTTTTAGAGATCCTGTTTTCATTGGATTTGCACGGGAATGCAGCTTAACAGCCTTATATTCTATCTTGGAGCTTTTAAATTATACTTAATTGATAAGACGTCATCGGTGCTTACAAAGGCGATATGACTCCTCAAATTTGGTATTTACATTGTGAAGCACCATAAGTAGGCAGGAACTGTTTACTTCAAACGACCATCTACAGACTATAAGATAGCCTAATTTTTGAAGGAATCCAGATGCCCAAAAAGTATCTGAGAGTAACTGCATAATTGTGATTGAAAAGTGGCGGTAATATTCATGAGGTGTGTAAAGAGACACTCATGAGCCACAAAGACATGCTCATGATGTAGCGCCCATGCAGGTACTACCCTGGGCCACTTGCAGTTGACCATCCCGTGTCTACTTGGTAGGCGAAAAGATAGAAATGTGGATCCTATTTATCTCGGATCATGCAAGAGAAACATGTCTTCTGGTATATTCCCACTTTATCAGCTGCTGTAAATAATAATCTCCGGTGGACTTTCACCGTAGTAAATCCAGTATAAAATCAGCGCTTTGGCTGTAGAAGTGACAGTTACGTAACCCCCCATCCCATCTAGTGGGAAAATTGGGCCTACCCCAGGAAATTGTTTCTGCCCACTAAGGTAAGTGTCACAGCACGTGCTTCATGGCCTTATCTCATTCAGCCTCACGCCTCATCTTATGGATGATAACAATGGTTCATCTTGAGAAACATCTGTAAAAGTCTCATACATGGTTGGCACATGAATGTCTTTTCTATAATGGACTCAATTACCATCGCTGAAGATGACGCAGCACGAATACGGTCGCGCTCTGGTTTGTATCCCGCCTCACAGTGCACCAATCATCCATCGTAGTCAAGAGATCTGCCTAACAGCCGCCCCTAGGATGCCACACATGTCGATTACGAAAAGTACGATGCAAGGCCCGTTCTGGATCTCTGGAGGATGCTCGGAAACAAGCCTCTATATGCTCCAATTGCAACCGGCTAGGGCTTAGCTGCCGGTGGCAGCCCCCAGCTCCGGGCGAGAGATTCTCCCCTCCGCCAAAAAGGAGACACATGATCGGACGGCGTGTCTCGCGTCGTGCAGAAAAAGACAAGTCTTGTTCGCCATCTCTATCTACACAATTTTTGAAAGATGATGCTGCTGCCCATACTCTGGAAAAGAATGACAGTCTCTCTGTCTTCAAAGAGCAAACAGACCAGACCGGAACTCCTCTCTCAGACCAGAGCAATAATGCCTCGAGCCAGCCACAGAGTGACCCCTTTGAGCTACTCGAGGGCACTCAATTTTATTTCGACGCCGGTCTGGATTACAGGTCTCTGGAACTAGATCTCTCTGGTGAAGGTCTGGACCTCATTCCCTTGCCAGTTGTTCCTCCCTCTGCGCTGCACAGGCCGAACGATGCGCAAGCATTCGTCATGAATGATGCGTTTTCTTTAGAGGAAATTAGTAATGACGTTTGGCAAACTGGAGAGCTGTCAACAGACTCAGAAGAGCCAATGCTCCACGCTGCAAAAGCCAGAGGCCCCTCAGTGAACGAAGACAACAGGCAGTTGATTCAGCATTACTTGGAGGTCATGAAAGGATATGCCAAAGTGGACGATCGTTCCAAAGACACAAATAATCTCTTCATATCGGCCTTTTCAAAATCTTTATCCTTTCCACCACTATTTTATGCCATTCTGTCATTCTCAGCTTCTCATCTCTCTATGGAGACTCCTACCTACTGCGACCAAGCAAAGGTTTACGACCGTCTGGCACACGAGTCGTTTAACCAGTTCAGACATGATGAGAGCAGCACTATGGACGGGTTGCTCTCAGCTCTCTTCGTCAGAGTCAAACAAATACACGTAACGGCTGGAAGCATCGACACCTTTTTCGAGCTCATTGCCGCTGCCATCGACATTGTTCGTACCGAAGAAGTTGAAAAGGCGCTTGCAGATTCATCTAGTCTAATCAGACGTATTGTCATACGCCTGGCTATTTTGGATGCGCGAGCATCCCACTATGGGCTAGGTGGTGGGCAGCTCGTCCAGCATCTCCAGAATATTCCCACAATATCCTCCATTTTTAAAGGGGAGATTGGACAAACTGCAATAGTTGGTGATGTGAGCAGCCTCCTTCGAGCCGATTCTTTCCGCATGCATGTCGCAAAGCTTGATATGAGGATACAAGAACAGCTCAGAAATGAGTTTGCATCTCTTACCCCAGTACGAACAGAAGAGATCAAATCACTATACAAGTCTATCCAGCGACAGGCTGATCTATGGGAAGCAGAAATTGTAGAGGATAGCGAAGAAGACGATATAGAAGACGTAGTTGAGGAGGAACAGCTCAGCTCTGCCACATATGGTCGATTTACCGTCTTATCAGCTCTACACTCGGCTCTGCTATATCTCTATACGGTATATGTGAGTACTTTCCCTTTTGCCTTGTGAGTGCGAGTAAGTTTAACATCATCTAGCCGCTGCCTTCGTTTGATCCCGAAGCTTCCGTTTCTAGGATACTTCATTACCATCTTAAGATTCGATACGATCCGTCGAGAAGTAATTCTCCTTCTTCGATACTGCCATCTTCATTGTTCCTTGCCGGGATTTGTACCGGTGACCCAATTCGTCGAGATTGGGTGATTGAACGTTTTCGAGAGGGTGAAGCTTGGGGTGTCTATATTCGAAAAGCAAGAGAACTTCTTCAAGCAATTGTTAAGGTACGCAAAAAGGGAGGCAATGCTGATGTTCGCAGCGTGATGGACCAAGTAACTGGGAGGTTTATTATTTGACCTAATGGTCAGGTATATTTCATATGGCCACGTAATACAATAATATGCCTGATTTATCGGCCACTTTGCAAGAAATGTACTAGCTAAAAAGTACTACATCACTACTCACTATTAGAGGTAGCCTTCGAAAAGCTCAAGGCTGCACCATTTCTCAAATAATCGAAGTGGCAGGTCTCATTCTTTCTACGCCCTCTTCATTTCATCCATAGAAGGAGTTATGTAGACTATGTCGATAAGTTGAAAGCGAATAAACTTCATATACGACAGAAACATCCTCATATAATGGCTCTAGCAGTAAATTTCTATCTGCCGGATGTATTGTTTCATCAGTCCAGTTTATGTGAGTGGAAACTAACAAGGGCAGTCTCCAACGGGTAATACTGAAAAAACTTCGCGCAATTTCCAAACGACAGACGCAGTCGATAGTAGGTTCATACCCGCTCAATCATAAGATACTATGAACCTAAGGTTGAACCACCGCGCTGCTAGTTGACACCATGTGGCGACAAGAGTATAACATTTCACCGCGTAAACAACGAGCTGCGTTTCACTTTGACCGAAATACGTATCAAATTGTTATATGCACAAATAAATTTCACTGTCTTCCTCCACATGGCTCAGAAACTATCTCAACGGGGACAAATTGACAGCATTACAGCGTATACCTGAATGTCTGCCACCGCTCAAAGTCTGTCTTGTCGCTGAAATCCGTTCTGAGGACCTCATCTGCGCCACCTCCTTCTCTGGCCAGCTTCTGATCTCGTCGGTTATTTTCATGTCTGTACCAGAGATACTGCAGAATCGGGATAATTATCATCAACGCGTAACAGCCCACTATTTGCAAAGGTTAGAAAACAGTTTAGACGCCATATTTGGGAAAGATAACATACTGAGCATTCTGAAGGCCAAGTCATATACCGGTGCCTGACTATCAAGGAAGAATTCTAAGATACATGTAAGACACTGATCATATTCATTCTACCTCTGGAGTACTTACGAGGACCTGCAATGAGTCCAGCAGCCCATCCTGCGAAGATGATACCAGACGCAGTCGACTTCTTCGTGTTTCCCGCATAGTTGGAGGCCATTAATCCGGTGCTGAGCGTAAAAGACATTGTGTGCCTACTTCAACGTTATTTTATGTAACTGTGTCGTGCGACGTGATACTGACGTGAAGGTAAGATAATATCCTGCGAGACGACTAGCTCGGTTGCTTTCGGGGAGCGAATGAAGCAAAGACGCGCCGATTAAGGGTGGTATAGATGCTACAATGGAAAGTAGAAGCCGAATATTGTTTCGATGAGATGCTATATAGGAGAAACCGAGGAATGTACCAAGCTGAATTACTGCAGCCGGACACGCGGAAATAACCGTCGTTTGCAAAGCTGTAAAGCCAAAGCCTTGTACGATTTGGCTCGAAAACTAAACAGATTATCAGTTTTTAAAAGCTAAACCAATTGAAAAGAGATACTTACTTGACTAGCAAATGTTGAGGGCATCGTGTTGCCACTGTACAGAGAATCGTCAGCACTTTCAGAAGCAGGACGGTTAGATACATGTAGCTTACACTGCGGTTACGAAGAAGAAGATGGTTTGAGGGTCTCTTAATGCTTCCCAGAACTGAGACCACTTCCAATGATTATCAGTGGAGACAGTCTGGTTCTCTCTCACTCTGTCCCTTGCGACCTCTCTCTCACGCGGGGTGAGCCATCTCGCATTGGAGTAGTCGTCGGGCATAAGATATGCCAGAATAAGCGCAAATACAAAACTGAAAGATCCAAAAAAGAGGAAGAAGATCTTCCAAGTGGCAATTGATGAGTTATGAACTAAATACAATTAGCAAAAGATGCGCAAATGATGACTGAAGGATGAGTAGCCTACTTGAGCCAAGGCCGTATGAGAGAATACCACCGAAGAAATTTCCAATCTATACCTCATGAGTTTCAATTATTCGACATAGTAGGAAACATTGCTACTGATATGCTTACTGGAGTCCCGCCAAGCCAGAAGGCGGTCCTGAATGCTTGTTCCGGTCGAGTCCACCAGTTACTTGTGACAATGACGAAGACTGGTCCTATGACGCTTTCCACTAGTCCAAGAAAGAAACGTGCGGCCATGATGCCGGCGAAATTAAAGCATAAAGCTACAGATGTTAGCCCTTGTAAATGCTCAAATATTATCAGGACTTACGTGTGAGTAGCACTATGCTTGACCATGCCAGCACTGCCGCGGTAATGAGCTTCCCAGTATGTTGCGGCCATTTGTGAACCAGCTTGGCCCACGCAATCGAGCCAATCATATAACCGATGTAAAAGATGCTATGAGTTGTTAGCCTTTCGTAAAAGACAAGATGCCGGGGTGATTAACCTTCCCAGCCAACTGTATTGTGAGCCATGGAGGTGGAGTGCCAGTTTCAAGCCAAAGATTGAACTATAGTTGATAAGGGTCTTGTCCAAAAACTGCATGTACATGATTAGCACAAAGCAATAGGAATCACGTAGGAATTACCAACAGAGAAAATGTAACAACCACACAGAAGAGGCAAGATGATAAAGTCTATCTTTCTCTTGACACGGGCTGCTTCTTCTTTAGTAAAGAAGATCTCTTCGGACTCGCTGGCCAATTTTATATCCACATCTTGGCCTGAAGTAACCTTTTCAATATGATTAGGTGGCACATGGTCTTGCTCTTTGTCCATGTTTCCGGTTTCGATCGAATGTCTTGTGTCGGAGATCTCTCCTGTCGTAGTCATGATGAATAACGTAGGGAAGGCTCCCACTGAGTGAGTCTCGTTTGAAACGTATGCGATTTATAGGCCAATGAGATGACCGTATAAAAGATGCATATTAAAACGATCTTTTATTCCATTCCGAACCCATCAACGCCATTACTGCCTTTAAGTTGAAAACGATATGCTACCGTTGATGGCGAGTCTAGAGCCGACAGTATCGGCTCTTAGGCCCACGTGATCTTGTCGGCTGTTCTATTATCGCCAAGAAGCGACAGAGTCGGTATTTGAGGTCATGTGATCTTGTCGGCTGCGAATGTCGTGTAAGTCAAGGGAGATAAACAGGCCATGATCTCTGTGAACACTGCATAGACTGTTCCGAGTAGTGTCTCATCGGTAAGATAATCTAGACATCACCGTATCTTTACTACTATCAATTCAGAATGGCAATCGGCAAGGCGCAGCCCGCAGAAGAGCGTGTTTCTGAACCGCAAATTACACATCTTCCCGAAGTAGAAGACTCTAAGCCTGTGATTCTCGAGCCTTACCACGTCGATCTGCTTCCCGAATATGGCTATGTCAGTCGGGAGTATCTTGTAAGTGGTGTGGCTGCTGGCGAATCTTATTGCACGCGTCTCCTCCTACGATGCCCCGCAGATTCGAATCAATTCAGTGGATTAGTTGTGGAAGAGCCATCACATCTGTGGGGAGGGACAAGCATCTGGCGCCATATAAATCGATGGTTAATGAGAAAAGGTGAGATCTTGCTTCATACTACACTTTGGCAGACATCTAACAGAGAATTTGAACAGGTCATGCATGGCTGGAGGTTGATTCGCAGTCTCCCTCGGCGATTGGGAAAATCAAGAACCTCGATCCTGAACGATATAAAAATATGCATTTTATTCCCGGCCCCCTTGCAGATGAATTTATGGAAAACATACCATTCCTGACGAATGTCACACGGAGGATGTTGGAGCAATCATACGTTGACTTCAAGGAGAAGTGGTGGCCCGCAACAACTCAATCTCCAGAGATTCTCACAGCAGCTTCCTACGCGCTTCGTTCAGGAAAGTTGGGAATCACAGCCACCAGAGTTATTCTGACGGGCCTCTCTCAAACAGGAGGAGTTACCCGGCGCTTCATTACACACTCATCTCATCTCAGACTGCCCGACGGCGGTCTCCCATTTGAAGCGTATATTCCCTGTCAGTCTGGCGGAGCAGCTCTGCCAGACGTCGCAGGTGCCAAGATCATTGAACTTCTTGGAGAGTCAGAATTCCAGTCAGTTCGACTGCCATGTGGCGTTAGCGGCCAGATCCTCGGTGTCTCTCATCGACGCGCTGACAGTGATTCCTTCCGGCTCTACGAGATAGCAGGCATGGCTCATCGCGAATCACGTTATCCTTCGGACATTGACATTAAGAGGTGGTCAGTCGCAGAGCTCAATGGGGCGAAATGGAGTACCTTTGCCAATTCTTTCATTTACCACGCTGTATTTGATGCTATGGATCGCTGGACGAGCAATGATGAATTTGCCCCTCCTTGTAGCTCCACCATGCAAACGGTTGGCTTGAGTGATGAAATTGTTCGAGATGAACATGGCAACGCGGTGGGAGGAGTAAGGACGCTGCATACAGATGTGCCGCTGTCTCGAATTGTTGCGGCCACTCCCAAGGGCCGACCAAACTGGTACTGTGGTAGGTTATCGTCTTGAGTTTTATGTGTGCTTATAGGTGGCTAATTACTCTACGATAGGTTCTGAGTGGGTGTTTGAGCCCGAGCTCTTACGACGATTGTACGGCACGGTGGCCAACTATCGTCGTCTTGCCGGGCTAGCTATTAGCAAGCAAATACGGGCCGGATTTCTGCTCCCAGAGGATGCCGAAGTACTCCGGCGCGAAACTGTAGAAAGCGTCAGCTTTTAATATTTGTGTTCCTATCTCGATTCTCATCTCCCTTCGCCCCCCTCAGCCACAGGATCTGGAGTCTACTGCATACTCGCGATGTATCTATTAGGGAACGGTGCTGCAGGCGACACTCTTCGTTGTCGTATCGTAGTCAAAGTCTTTTCTATCCTGCCATGACAAATTGATAAGTGCGTTTTAACGATGTTGTTTTGTAGTCGATACTGTTTGAAGGGGGGTTGGACACGCTTTAGAGATCCTCATCGTGCTAGGAAGTTAAAGTAGATAGAATCTTTACATAATAACGTAAGCGCAAAATAATCAGGGATAAGAAATACATCAACATTTAGGAATTGTTGAATTCTCTTTTTGGAGCCATTGACAGCCATGTAAGCATGAGCTTTTATGAGAAGCATTCTTTTTATATATAACCAATGTCTATCTATGTACGAATCAAGGTAGGTATGTACATATATATATATACCAAATAATATGTGGCGGACGAAGCAAAAAAACATATCGATATTAAAAGAAAAGGGGAAAAGACACATCATTTCCCATGAAGTCATGCTCATTCGTTTAGAACAGAACGACACCGCAGCTGCTGGGGTTGCTGTCGCAAGTGCAGGCGCTGGGAGCGTTGACCCAACCAGTCAGACGGTTGGCAATGTCACTGGCGTAGCAGTGAGTGGCAATGTTGCTCTGGAGGTCTCCAGTGGAGGAGATGGAGCCCGAGTTGTAGATACGGGCGGCCTTGTAGAAGGCAGAGACGTCGTTGGCGCCAGACTCGTTGATGCAGTTGGCAAGGCCATCACCATCGTTGGTTCCAGCAGTTCCCTCGCTGATCATCTGGTAGATGGTAGCAGAAGGGCACGGGTTCTGCACATCACCGTTTTCGTTACAGGTCGCCGCACCATTATGGTCCTGCATGAGACCGCTGGAGTGAAGCTGGTCAGTATAAGAGCCAATGGAGTGGAGGGGGGGGACCCTCGGAGGGTTGGGGGGGACTCACGGGTTGCGGACACCAAAGTTGGTGGTCTGAACACGGACACAGCCGCCAGACTCCTGCATGATAACAGCCAGGATGAAGCGGTGGTCGACTCCGGTCGCAGCGCTTGCCTGCTGAATACCATCCCAGATAGCTCCAACCTCGGGGCCGGAGTCGTTGGCCTGGCCGGCGATGTTTGCGCAGGAGGAGAACATGGTGTCCTTGTAGTTGTTGAACATGTTCTCGAAAGAGACCCAGCGGCTCTGGTCAGGCCAGCCGGCGCCGGTGCTGCCGTCTCCGAGGTAGAGGGTGTAGGAGTCAACACCATCGCCAACACCGTCAGTGATGTTAGTGTTGTCGAAACGGGCCACAGAGTTGTTGACAGTCTCGCCAGTAGCGCGCTTGGAGGTGTCCTTGTCCTTGGCAGCGGCGGCAGAGGGAGCAGCGGAAGTCTTGGAAGTGCTGCCCTTGGTGGTGCGGGAAGGCATGTAGTTACCGCCATTGACCTTCTTGTGAGGGTAGGCGTGCTTGGGCACGGGGTGGCGAACACCATCGGTGGCAGAAGGAGGATAAGGCACAGCCATGGCAGCGCCGATGAGGAGAGAAGCAACAATAGCCTTGTTAACCATTTTGGCGGATTGGATTGGGTCTTTTGGAGAATTGGTCTGTTGGAGATGTCAAAAGACCGGTGGCTGTTGAGGAAAAAGTTGAGAGTGATGATGCTTGACTCGAGGAGCAGAATCACTGTCCATTATATACTCGTCTTGATGCCATGTCAACCCATGAGTACACTCTTGGACGCCAACAACAGCTTCCCTTTTCAGCAAGTAGTCTTCTTCGAATCGACACAAGCTCCGTCGGTACTCCATGTTTAGTTTTGCGATGTATGTATCGGCTTACGCTCTTAGCTCTGTACAATTATAGATGTGTCAGAGTGGCATCGGCCTTGCCATTGTCAGCTTGTTTCTCCATAGAGCCCCTGTACTTGAGGCTATCTTGCTCCCGGATATCGTTCATTGGGTGTTCTTCAGCTCTAGCCGTTATAGCCTGCAAAGTTTGGGGGTAGTTTCTACTTAGCATGTTGAGTGAACTGTCTCAAGCTGTGCCCACATGGGATATTCTTCTCTTACTCCGTGGCTTGAAGAACCCCTTACAATGATACTAAGCATTGACAGTTATTTGTTTCTTCCAGAGAATAGTCGTTTTAGCAGTCCAAACTTGCCTCCGGTATCACGGCTGCATTGATGGTGTTAGTCTAAAACGGGCCCACCGTATTACTATCTAATAACTAAAACGGAGTCGGGGATAGTAGCTCGAGTTTTACGGGGGATACATTGACTGCAATTACAAGTTACAAAACACGGGGGGCTAATGTTGTTTCCGCATCTGTTCTACTTGTATGTAATCGTATGAGTACACGGCCCGACACATTCTGCCTCGGTTGGACAACGTCGCATTGTCATCCGCATGCTACATTAAACTGCAAAGCTCTTACATGTATCCCATACACGTACCGGGAATATCTGCATCTGTTTGGCCGTTGAACCCAAATGCGGCCGTTCTAAGATCGCAACAGGGCGCGTGCTGCAATCCAGCGGGTCTCGAGGTTCAGGCAACACGTGGAGACTTAGCGCGGCTGTTCGGGTTTTTCTGCGGCCAAACAGTGAGAAAATTATTCCCAAAGCGGCAGGTAATGATGTTGAAACTGTAGCGTTTATAGCAGTTGGGACCTCATCTCATTTTACGCAGGGCAATTCGGCTCCGTCTTGTGCAGCCAGGAGAAGCTAGTCAAAGGAGGTCGTCCAATGCAGTCAACACAAGATGATGCTTGTCCGAGAACGAGAATAGCTACTACGAGCTCACGTAGTAGCCGTAGATTCTCAGCTCAGCCGTGCTTCGGAAATCGTCCTGCTGGCTGAGTGTCAAGTTTCGAGCTTACTTTATGCGGAAGGCACTGGCAATTGGGAGCCGATGCTCGTCGTTTGCTCCACGGGCGCAATTAATCTGCCTTGGCATGCGATTTCATCACTTTCAGCTACGGAGTACATGTCGATGAAATGGCTTCGAATGCAAAACAGCTTGATAGCCATTCCTTGCATACATAGGCGAGTAACGAAAATCCCATCAACCCACTGATCTTCCTGTGCCTCTCAACTTTATCGACGGTGAGTGCTGATCCGGCTGCATTGAGTTAAGGAAAGGGTTCATCCGTTCTTTATTTCGGCTCCGGGTACTCTATTGGCCACAATTGCGTAGGTAACACTCAGTGTCGCATTAAGCAGCTCTGGGCGAAATCTCCGTATCTTCGGCATTCCCATTTCGTGGCATCGTGAAGCCCCGTCCTATTTAGGGCTGTGATCGGCACTTGACGGCCGCCGCCCCATGTAAGCAACATATTGGGAATAGGCACCCTTGGCACAAATTGTATATTCCTTGTCTGGAGCATTGCCACGAACTGCGAATATGCGGAACAGTCAGACGTTGCATGGTAGGAGAAGATGGAAAGGCTAATGGATTACGAGCAAGGCGTGCACTTGCGACATCAGAAGCTATACACGCAGACAGAGTGTAGTTCTCCGTCGTAAACATGCATGTATTCTATCGGACAAAGATTCCCTATCCAGAAACATACATCTACATATATTACCTCAACATGAAATGTGTCTCAGGAACTTGATTCTCATACGTTGTCTGGCAGACAAATAGGTCCGTGTCGAGTAAGATTTAAGTCTTGCTCAACACAATTATTGTGATTGTGAGTGAAACTGTTGTCAGCCTGTGCGCTCCAACGTTACATTATTTCATTCTTTCTTCTCTCTTTCCTTAGAACGTAATGATTTGCACACGTGATTACAGAACGACCAGTAGAGTTGTCCCGTTAACATGGTTCTTCAGCATTTGCATTGCACTAAGTTGTACTATAACATGACAAAGGTTACCTGTGGACGGGCAACTCCGGAGAAAGATTCACCCCTGAGTGAATGGCACCGATTTGTTCCCAAGCGCCAAGCTAGGCAGCTGGATCTGGACTGGTAGATGCAGATCTACAACCACGTAGCCCATTTGGGAAGCTCTTTACCCTCCGGGTGATTTGTAAATTCTTCAGACAGAAAAGTTCGGCGAGAATCTGCAGAAGAGATTTCAACCATTTGTAAACCTTTTTTTAGCACATGTTACTTCACTACAAGCGTAGGCAACTAGTAACTTTGTGCTATCTCAAAGCGCTCATCTCCCGTTTAGGCGATACACAAAACTCATACGCGCGGCTTTACCCGGCAATGTAGTTGCTAGGATACCCTATACAACAACTTTGAAACTGAATTATATCGCCTCCCAGTATGAATGTTAAGTAAAGTCATCAAAAAGAATTAAGTGAGCTTTTTCTAATAAAATTAAATACAAGGCCGTGTGGTGCGAAATAAGCCGTCGGGAAAAAAAGCCTGAAGAGATATGCCGGGCTATGAAGACCATGCAAAGTATGACAGTATATTAATAAAACCATGAGATGTAATGGCTAAACCCATCAAATCATGTTCATTGCGACTTCATAAAAGCTCATGCTATGAAAACTGACGGAAGTCTATTGGCGATAGAAGGCTGATTTTGTGACCCCTATAATCGTGTTGTAATTATGATTATAGTTGATGTTGGGCTTCATGGCCGAAACACGTCAAGAAAGCCTCCCAGTTGTGATTCAGACTTCGGAACTTCTAATGGTATATTACGCCGAACTCACGGGTAAGACATGACTGCCGCTAACGTTACTAATATGGCGGACTATTAGATGTGCCGAGGTGATGTTCATAACATACCCTGGCTCTACTTATTTTTTTGGCATTTCACAAATCAGTCATAAAGACGCGATGGTGATGGGAATGCAGTTCGATGAGTCTATCCTGATCAAAAACGAAGGAACTTTGAAAGATATATTAAAAAAACACGACGTTCTTTTCTAGGCGCCATCCAAGCTTTTGTAACGCAGAAGAAACATTTGCCTCCATAGCCGGGGGTCCGCAAACTAGCGCCAGCGTATCCTCAAGATCTGCATCAGTGGGTGTAGAAGGTGCTGAAGGGAGGTGCTGTTGGAGACACTCTAATCCAACATGCCCTCGTCCCATCTTCCAGTCTGCATTCAGTTTCTTGGAACTCAGAACATGCCACATGTGGAAATTTCCCTTCATCACATGCGACAGCTGATTGAGCTCTTCGCGAATGAGAATGTCTTCTTCCTCCCGATTGGCATAGATGAGCCATACCTCGACTCGGTTGACCAGTTCAGACGACGCGCAAGCCGAGTACTCGTCTGCAATGGCCTTTAATGTGGTCCACATTGGGGTAATACCACTGCCGCCGGCAATCATGGCAAGCCTCTTGATATTGCGAATAGAATTGTTCGGCTTCCATTGCACCCGACTATCACCGATGTATGTAAAATGGCCGATGGGACCCTTCAATTCCACCGTGAACTCACTAGTATTTGTGTTTACTCCCATATTTTCGAGTAGCATGGTCATTTGTCCTCCTGCAAAAGGCGTACCCTTGTGCGATAACTCGTTTGATGGAAAGTACACTTTGATGAGAAGATCGATGAAACCACACTGGGTACTGCCGCTATATGGAGTATATGCTCGCTGCACAATCTCCGTTTTACCGGTTGTCTTGTCAAACTTCTTTATCCGAAGATACACGTGCTGCCCCACTGGCAGACCGAGTGGTTGATCTTCATGAGGCAGGGCGAAACGAAAGATTCGTGAGTCATGAGAGACCTCTCTCTTTTGTACCAGAAGAACTTTCTTCCACACCTTGGGTTCCAAAAATGGCTTGGATGGATCATCTTGAGTCTGAGGGATTGCCATTGCGGATCCTGATGATTCTGAAGGTTGTTCCAGCTTACCAATGTGGTAATCTCTCAACATCTTCTTGGCATCCATGGAGTGAATGGCCATGAAGTCTTCTGTAGCATCCTCTCCAGCTGCTAAGCGAATGGACTGTTCTCCGCCAGGGTGAGCCGAAAGAAAACCTGTGGAATCATATACGTGGCCTTCAACAACAAACCAAGGCGATGGACCTTCGCCGTCGGCGTGATCCGCCAGCTCGGCCGCAGTAACAAGCACTGACGCTTTGTCCGGGTTTATCATCACGCTCTTGGCATCTTCGTCCGCCTGGGGCCCCTGGGGCTTACTCGACTCTCCGACGATGGCGCTGGAAGTTGGGCTGTTTTCTCCTAGACGAGGGAACTTTGGGTTCATCCCCGCTTCCTTCATACGCTGCATCCAACCCCCACTTGCGTTGCCAGGCACGGTAGGATGTTCAAATCGAAGGTTCTGGCCGTTGTTCTCCCCGTGGACAGCGACTCGAAACCACCACGAATTCATCATAGAAGTAGCATTCCAATACATGTCCCGTGGCATGATGCTTAACGCTTCATCCATTGCTCGCACCATAATGAACCCAACATCTCGAATTGCTAGCAGTGACTTGACGTCAATCTCAACTTTCCAGAAGCACCAGGAAAAACTCATATCTGTCGTGCTCAAATCAAGCTTGCCAAAGTAAGGATGGTGTTCAATCGGGTAACTTCGGTATAGATCCTCTGGGTAAGTTATGTCACAGAGCTTCCAAGTGTCTCCATCGTCGAGTGTCGCCTCTACTCGAGTTATACGTCGTCCGCCCCCCGTGTACGCGTATCCCTCTACTGTAATTGTCTGCGTCATAGAGGCATCAGATGCCACTTGTAGTGTGTCATTGTGGGCTGGTGAACAAACTGCCGCGTTCACATTCAGCTCATTGATGATGTATTTGGGATCGTACCACCATTTGTCTTCATTCCTTGCTTGATCTGCTGTCACTGTGGTGGGAAGAAGCTTGTTGTCAAAGAAGTGCAAGTGATGCTGACTCTCACGGTCGGAAACTTCTATTCGTTGTAGCCATTTCACCATACGTCCACCAATCTGACCTGGGACAACCAATCTAAGAGGATAACCGTGATCCGGAGAAAGATCCTCGCCGTTGAGGCCCCAAGATATCAGCATGCTCTTGCTACGGTCCAATGCCCAGCTGAGCCTCTGAGATGTGCCGTACTTTCCTTTCGGAAGCTCATCAGCACCTTCAAAGATGACGTGACGGGCTCGTCCGGGGACAGGCTTGTCATAAGAGGGATAGGCGGAGAGAAGAGGGTTTTTCGGTTTGCAATAGGCGAGAATATCGGCCAAGTATACACCAGTAAAAAGGCCAGTAGATACACCAGCGGCACCCCAATTGAATCCTAGCCCCTTCACTACCATATTTTGCTCCTTCCGGCGGTTACCAGCACAGACGAGCGTCACGGGCAGCGTGACAACCGGGAACTTTTCTTTCAGATCCTGAATCGAGAATTCCAATTCCTCCTCAACAAGTCCATGGATTCGGAGTTTCCAGTCTTGTGCTTGCTTCAAGCTGATTCGTGGTGTATCTCCATGACTTCGAACATAGAATAGGTTCTGAGGAGTAAGGAACCCAGCTTTGAACAATGCAGACAAAGGAGCCTCGACATTACAGGGATGTTTTCCAGTCAGTCGAATCATCCGATCATCTCGTGCAATCCAATGGTCAGGCGTTTGAGAATCGGTGGAGAGTGGTTGAATAGGTTCGGTTTTCGGGATAGGAGGGCGCGAATTGTCGTCGTTGTCTGCCGTAGAAGAGTGTAACGGAGCATCATGGACAATTTGGACTGCTTGTAGTTTTGCCGTTAAGCGTGGACTATGTGATTGTGGTGTTGTTGGCGCCGATGATTCAGGAGATGAGGGTAGTGACGAAGACCAGTCCTCTCCACTCTCAGAGCGAGAGTCTGATACCAACTGATCCGTTGCCATATTTTTTGTACTGCAATAAACAAAAGGGAATTTGGTATGGCCTAATTCTCAATAAAAATTCTCTCAATGATAAATAGAGTTTAACGGATCTCTTAAAGAGATAAATGACAGTATCAGAGTGTCAGACGGCGAGAGAATCACCATATGAATCATAAATTGGTAGTTGCAAGAGGAGGAAGCACACAGGAATTCATGATGACCTAAAGATTGACAATGATAGTAGTATTATTTTGGCTAAACTTTGAGAATTTACTGACTTCATCCCATTATCCTACCGTATAGACGATATTGCAATCATGCCACCTAAAACGCGAGAGTCAATAATACCCATATTGCTGACACCCTTACGATTCGCATTCTCCGTGGACTATTTCGGCTAAAGCTTCAACTAAGCCCACCCTAGAGGTTTCCATCGACCCAACTTTCCCCGGTAGGGCTATGGCCAATAAGAGTCCAGCGATAACGTCCCAGCAAGTTGCTTGCTTATTTTGGTAGTTTCCCATTCGCCTCCTGTTAACAACGGCCAGCCCAGATAAACGGATGGAGCCTTTGCCAGACAACTTGGGAGTACGGACAAGCATACCCCATACTCTTGCTAAATCGCTATCTAGATTGGGTTTCTCCGCGGAACTACTAGCGCGGCAGCTCATGCAGTTAATATGCCAAAGTGTAATGGAATCTAGCCAGACGACAAATAGATAAGTGAATATCATGATCCAGCCTAAGCAAGAGATAACAATAGAGATCTCATCAAACGCGCGCTATGTGCATCATTATCACTGCAACCCTACCTATACTATCATCAATTACGACTGCTATCTCCAATCTATTGTCTATTAGTGATGATCTACTTGCTCCGGCGGGATGTTGTATCTTAGTTTATCTGACATTGGACACCTATCTAGTAGAGATAAATGATGAACTCAAAACTCTTCCGAGGAGATTGACGGACAAAGCTTATAATGCTACTGTGTACGGAAGAAGGATTCTAATCTGTCATACACAACTTGTGCAACACAAGTCCTCGGAGTGCTCATGTTGCCTTTGTGTCCCCCACGACAAGGAAGTTTGCGTTGTCTCGAATGCCTCGTTGCTGGAGGAGAGGGAGATGTCATGCCCACGCTTTTCAATAAAACTACTCACCTTGCCAGGGCAGTATATTCGACTTCTGAATAGGTGTCATGCTTTCTCCAGAGATTCCCGTCCTAAAGAAATAAAATGAATGGAGTCGTTCGCGCCACCCGCCCAGGGTCAGAGGCCCTTCTGCAACGGCCTAAGAAGCGTGCTGCTGTTGTCGGGCTTGGCATGGTTGGCATTGCCTTTATCGAAAAGCTTCTCAAGTACGATATCGACAGCGGCCGAGATGAGTGGGAGGTGACTGTTTTCGGCGAGGAGCCTCACATCGCATATAATCGTGTTGGCCTCACACAATACTTTACGAACCGCTCTACCGAGAGTCTTTACCTTAACCCGCTGCAATGGTATTCATCACATGCCGAGGGAAAACTCACCTATCATACATCGGATCCCGTCGTTTCGATTGACAACAACGCCAAATCTCTCAAAACCGCCAAGGGGTTGCATTTCCAATATGACGAGTGCATCCTTGCCACCGGTTCTAATGCGGCTCTGCCGCCATACATCTCACTGCAACAATTTCAGAATACCAGTGGCGCTTTTGTATACAGAACGATCAAGGATCTTGATGATATCATTGGGTATGCAGTAAATGCGCCCAACGTCATTGGGCGTCGCATTCGCAAAGCAGCCGTCATTGGCGGCGGTCTCCTTGGATTGGAAGCGGCCAAGGCTCTCCTTGATCTTGAAGAAGTAGATCAAGTTGTACTGGTAGAGCGAAACCGCTGGGTACTTAGTCGTCAGCTTGATCAAGAAGGTGGAACACTGGTACTGGAAAAAGTCAAGTCTCTTGGTGTTGAAGTTCTGCTTCAAGTTCGAGTGCGAAATCTCTTATGGAACGATGATGAGAGACTCGCTGGCCTCCTTCTTGAGGGTAAAGATGGGCTGCCGGACCAAAACTACGAAGTTGACATGGTTGTGTTTGCTGTCGGGATTAAACCTCGCGATGATCTCGCCGCAAGTACTCCCATATCTGTAGCCAGCCGAGGTGGTGGATTTGTTATCGATAATCACCTTCAGACCAACTTGCCTCACATCTATGCTATTGGAGAGTGTGCCAACTTTCTCGACGAAACATTTGGTTTAATCGCTCCCGGTGTCGAGATGGCTGAGGTCCTGGCGTTTAACTTGACGGAAGGACCCTACCACAGCATGAGAGAGTTGAAAGCTCCCAACATCAGCACCAAACTCAAGTTAATGGGAGTTGATGTCGCTTCCTTTGGCGATTTCTTTGCGGATCAGGGAAAGATCAGCAGACCACTGCCGGGCGCAATCAGTGCTCATGCAGCTCGCAAGGCTCAAGCAACGCCTCCGACTCCGGAAGAAATAAAGAAAAAAGTCAAAGCATTGACATATCGGGATCCTTTCTCGGACGTTTACAAGAAATACATCTTCACGGCAGACGGCAAATACATCCTCGGAGGCATGATGGTCGGCGACGTAAAAGACTATGTCAAACTCGTTGGCCTGTGTAATACAGGCAAACCCATCGAAAAGCCTCCAGCCGAATTCATCATTGGCGCCGCAAAGGAGGGAGAAGAAGAAGGTGACGATCTGCCCCATGATGCTCAGGTCTGCAGCTGCCACAATGTTAGCAAAGGCGACATTGTGGAGTGCGTCAAGACTGGTGGTATTCGTTCTTTTGGAGAGATGAAATCTTCAACAAAGTGCGGAATGGGATGCGGAGGTTGTGTGCCTTTGGCTACTAGCATCTTCAACAAAGCACTCAAGGACGCTGGTGTTGAAATCTCAAACCATCTCTGCAAGGATTTTGCCTACTCGCGCCAGGAACTATACCAAATCATCAAATTTAGGAAACTCAAAAAATTTACCGCAGTGATGGAAGCCGTCGGTAAAAAGGCTGGCGGCCTTGGCTGTGAAGTTTGTAAGCCGGCGGTTGGATCAATCCTTAGCTCGTTATACAACGAGAATATCATGAAACCTTCACTGCGCCAAACGCAAGATACAAATGATCGATACCTCGCCAATGTGCAGCGTGATGGTACTTATTCAGTGGTTCCACGTCTCCCCGCTGGTGAGATTACACCAGCAGGACTCAAGGTCATTGGAGAAGTCGCGGAAAAGTTCGGATTATATACCAAGATCACAGGTGGCCAGCGCATCGACATGTTTGGTGCAAAGAAGCAAGATCTGCCCCAAATTTGGGAATTGCTCATCAATGCTGGCTTTGAGAGCGGTCATGCTTACGGCAAGGCACTTCGCACAGTCAAATCATGTGTAGGCAATACCTGGTGCCGATTTGGAGTCGGCGATTCGGTCGGCCTTGCTGCTGAAGTCGAGAATCGCTACAAGGGCCTGCGGGCTCCTCATAAATTCAAGGGCGGTGTATCCGGATGCGTTCGTGAATGCGCCGAAGCACAAGGTAAAGACTTTGGCCTCATCGCGACGCCGAAGGGATGGAACATCTTCGTAGGCGGTAATGGTGGCGCAAAACCTCGCCACGCTGAACTGCTCGTTGAGGATGTTACCCGACGAGAAGCGATTAAAATCCTTGATCGCTTCCTTATTTTTTACATTCAATCAGCCGATAAGCTTGAGAGGACAGCTCGCTGGATTGAAAAGTACCCTGGCGGTCTCAAGGGCCTGAAAGAGGTTATTGTTGACGACAAGCTTGGCATATGTGCCGACTTGGAAAAGGAAATGGAAATACTTGTTGGTTCATACCACTGTGAATGGACCAATGTTGTGAACAATCCAGAGCGACGCAAAGCATTCAAACAGTTCGCCAACACAGATGAAACTCAGATCGTATCAGAGAAGATCACTGAGCGGGCACAGGAACGCCCCGTGGACTGGCCTGAGGACAGTTCACCCCTTCACTTCAGTCTGTTAGACATTGCTAAAGATGCCAAGTGGGAATGGCGATCTATCTGCAAACTTTCCAACCTGGACCGCCAGAGTGATGCGCCAACGTCAGTAGCTGTCAAATATGGCGAAGTTCAGTTGGCTGTGTGGAACATACCTGGCCGCGGTCTACGCGCATCACAAAATATGTGTCCTCATAAGAAAGCATTTGTGTTAGCAGACGGCCTCGTGGGTGAGGATGAGCAAGGCCGAGAGTATGTATCCTGTCCATTACACAAGAGGAATTACTTGTTGAATCCCAATCCCGCTGAGGGCGGTGGAAGCTGCTCGGACACCAACTACTCTATTATGACTTTTGAAGCCAAGGCAGACGAGGAGAACGAGGCTGTACTTCTCTATCTTCCTCCTACTGAAGCACTCGATGCAGTACTATCAACAACAAAGTGGATGCTACGAAAAGCAGGTGAAGAGCTGAGGCTCTTAGTGAAGGATTCAGATCAAGCGGTTGAGATTGTAGAGCCGCTTCCACTCGGCAAGATGATAGATCCGCTGTCAAGTGCGGCTCTGGCAACCCCAATTAAAGTTTGTGGTGGTAGCGGCGCACTTGATTGGTAGAAATGCTGACTGACCATGAACTTGCGGTATCTCGTCTGTTCAGGGCATTTTTCTGTACTTTACTATCGTATTAATGCGGGATTCATCTCTGCTATAATATTGGCACTTCTTGTAATCGTGAATGAAAACGCCCATTAGAACAACATCGGCTCAATAACTGCTCCTTAATATTGTGTTTACTGTAGCGCTTCATTACGGTCGGGTGCAATCCCACCGATGGCTGTCAAGCTGTGTATGGATGACTCTGAGACTAAGTAATCTTCTAGTGATACTGGCCATGAAAACTAAAATATCAGCACTACTCACCTCTTTGTTGGTTCTTGGCTCTTCTTATCTCTGCTCTACGGGAAGGAACTTACTTATCAGCACAAATTTCCACTACCACTACTACGACTTAGCTCTCCTAAGCCGGCATGGATTTGTTGTTCAACCCCCTCACTAGCCTATCACCGTATGTTCTCTTATCAGTGCTGCTATAACCTGCTCTTCACCCCTCCCTGTGATGATCCCGGAACATTCAGGGTAAATATTGCCGGGGAGTTAGAGACTCATACCCTCGATAACGTGTCAAGCAGGTGTGAGGAGGATCGGAGATTTTTACAACCATGTAGATATGCCGTGATGGAGGTGTCTTAGCCTTTGCCCCTGGTAAAAAGGGTACTATGTTACTACCCCTAGTGAGGGCTGTACGTGTTAGAGTTGAATTTTGCATCTCCGGTTGGACTTTCTCTGTATCAATAAGCGATAAGCACTCATGTGCTATTCTAGGCTCTTATCTGCCTTTGAGTTGTATCTTAGATGGGCCTCCTACGATGTATGCAATACGATATCACAGGCCTGCGTTTGCCATTATGATGTATAATATAGGATATTTAAGTCGACGATGGAATAGAATGAGAATATTGTCAATTCTGAGTAAGAGCAAATACTGTGTATCCCTAATTCACTCTTCTACTCGCATAATAATTGAAGCTCTTGTGAAGAACTGCAATATCTCTTCTATCAAAAGCAAGGTTAGTCTCTATATCCTACTTGAAGAGTTTCACAGTATTAACAACTCCGATGTGACAGCATCAAGAACGAGAAATAAGATATATCAACAAAAAGCTCTCGCGGACCCTCAATCTCTTCAACCTATAGACTGGATCTCAAGATTGCTCCTTATCTCTTTATAATACAGAACGGAAGGGAGACATGTCACGGACTTTGGATATGGAGGCAAACATTGCCTCCAGCACATCGCAGTCTACCATTCAAGATGACAAGAAGACATATCAAATCACCAACAACCAATCACCATCCATTACCAGTGGATCCCATCGCAGCGCATCCTTTTCGCAACACAACGGTATCGACACCACTGGTGATTCTGTTAACGGCCGAATAACAACAGAGAAGGGGAAAGAGTGGCAAAGCACATCAGGCGGTGACCATAAGTTCCGGTGGTCATCACTTTGGCGAAGAGCTGAAATCAACCCTTTAAATGGAAAAAGTCTTACGTTTCCTCTTTTTCGGGTATGGGACGATTCCTACTCCCAAGCATTCTGGCTCGCCACTCTGGGATTTTTTGTGGCCTTTCTTTCTTGGTTTGCCTTTTCTCCGCTTGTTCCTGAGGCTGTGAAGACGGATCTCAACCTTACCCAAGATCAAGTTACCAACTCCAACCTAGCTTCTCTCGGTGGCACAGCCCTCGTGCGTCTTATTGCTGGCCCAGCTTGTGATAAATTCGGTCCTCGAAAAGTGCTGGCTGCTTTACTCATTCTGGGTGCAATCCCATCCGGCTTGGCGGCGTTGGTAACGAATATTCAAGGCCTAGAGGCGGTGCGATTTTTCATCTCTATCCTTGGAGGCACCTTTGTTCCAACCCAGGCATATACAACTACCTTTTTCGATAAATCTATTGTTGGTACAGCAAACGCATTTTCGGGTGGCTGGGGTAACCTAGGTGGAGGTGTGACTGTTGCTGTGATGATCGGGCTATACCAGCGATACATTAAGGCCGGTTTAAGTTCCCACATTACGTGGCGTCTCTGCTTTGTTACGGTTCCCGTACCATGCCTTATCCTTGTCGCCGTCATCATTTTAATATTCGGAAAAGACCAACCGGGTGGCAAATGGTCAGCTCGCCGAAAAATCCAGACCACTGTCATGGAGGAAGGCAAAGGGAAACAAAATGGACTCGGACTTCAAGGAGCTGCCACTCAAGAACACATAATTGTGGATTCTGGCAACGAACTTACTCCAAATTCCACCAACCCCAAACCACTGAATGCAACATCTGACGAGCACGTCACCCGAGTCAGTGTTGAAAATGCACATTCTGAGCCGCTGACGATGGCAGCGCTGCTCGCTATCCTCATCGATCTCCGCGTCTGGGCGTGCGCTATGTGCTATTTACTCACTTTTGGTCTCGAGACAGCAATGGACGCGGCTCTCCCTGGTTTAATTTTTAGTTTGTTTGCCAGCGATTCATTTACCATCTCAGATGCCGCCTATGCAGCATCAACGTACGGTCTGATGAATCTGTTTGCTCGGCCGATGGGTGGAATTATATCAGACATTCTCTATGCTCGATTTGGACTGCGCGCTAAGATGTACTGGCTCCTTGGTACAGCTCTCTCACAAGGAATTGCCATGATCGGCCTAGGAGTCTATATCAACAAGAACCATGCAACTATTGGTGGTGTCATTGGTTTTATTGTGTTCATTGCCATAACTGGCTTTGCAGCCAACGGCGCCTGTTACTCAATCTACGGCCATCTGCGGCCGAAGAACATCGGCGCTGTTGCAGGCATTGTTGGTGCTGGCGGCAATATTGGGGGTCTGTTTTACACCTTAATATTCAAGTACCAGCCAGGAGTTCGCCTGCCACCATCTCAGATTCATCCTCATGGGTTCAATTCTCTAGGGAAAAAGTTTTGGATTGCAGGGGTATTCAACGCGGTGGCTGTAGTGCCACTTTTCCTTGTGCGGTTGGGTGATGCCGTATGAGGTGGTGGATTGGCGAGATGGGTATTGTGGAACAAAAGTAATGTTTTGTATACATGTAGTATTTCTTTATTGGATATTGATGGGTTCATAGTCAAATGGTTAAAAGTAGTTCAAGTTTCATATTAGGCATGTTGTCCACGAACTCTTTTCGCATCTCGCGTTTCGGCTTTGGAATGCTTAGACCCATATCGCTCGCTCGCTGTAGTTTAAATTATGGAGATGGACTGTCGCGTGTAATTGACGATGTGGTGTATAGCAACCCATACTTCCATGTTAATGAGATGACTAAACTTATTTGTGCATTTCGTACCTATAAATGCCATGGCCGATGATTTTAGTCAAATCGGAGAGGACGTGATAATTCTATTGTCTCGAGACAGTCAATTTCTTTGACTGAGACTCTTGCTCTTTGTTTGCAATACAACAAATTCTTTCAACACTTACTCCAATGGCTACTGCATCTATGAGTTGCTCTATTCCAATCTCTATGACGTTAGAAGAGACACCATATGTCCTATCTCTTCCATCACCGCAAAATCTGAAGCAGACAGCGACGACTACCTCCTCCTCCCCTGTTGACGACGGAGACGCCCCTGCCTTGCTCCATCGATCACTAGTTACTCGCCCTCATTTGGTTGATCATGCCGATGGCAGTTACCTCTATCTCGCCGATGGCCGCCCTATTCTCGATGCCTGTGGAGGAGCAGCCGTAGCTGTTATTGGTCATGGCAATGCCGAAGTAATCGCAGCCACTGCAGCTCAGATGCAACGAACAAGCTATATCCACACAGGCGCGTATACAACAACGGCAGCTGAAGACTTAGCCAAATTTATTCTCGAATGTGGCACTTATGTCGATGGTAAGGACAGTTGCTTCGCTCACGGCTTAACTAGGGCCTTTTTTGTCGGTAGTGGCAGTGAGGCAAACGAATCAGCTATGAAGATCGCGCGGCAGTACTTCTTTGAACGGGGCGAACTACAGCGACAGCATTACGTCTCGCGCCGACAGGCATACCATGGGAACACATTTGGTTCCATGTCCATATCATCGGTTCTGGGACGCCGAGTACCTTATGAAGACGTTCTTCTGCCGAATGTAACATTTGTCAATCCCGCATTTGAGTATCATTATCGCCACAGCAATGAGACAGAAGAGGAATATACAGAGCGATTAATCCATGAGCTGGAGGCACATTTCTTGGAAATTGGACCTGAAAAGATTATCTCCTTCATGTGAGTTTGCTCTTTAAATCTCCATACATCTTTCATGTCTAACGATCCTCACAACTTCAGAGCTGAGCCGGTAGTCGGTGCAACATCTGGCTGTGTGACCGCGCCCAAGGGTTACTTTAGTGGAGTTCGTTCTCTCTGCGACAAGTATGGTATCTTGCTGCATTTTGACGAGGTTATGTGTGGTGTGGGCCGCACGGGATCATATTTCGCTTTTGAACAAGAAGATGGTGGCGTCCTACCTGACATCGTTACCATTGGCAAAGGATTGGGTGGCGGATACGTGCCTCTTGCAGCCATGCTAGTTAACGACAGAATCGTCAACACTCTACGTCAAGGTACATCTGTGTTCAACCATGGACACACGTTCCAGGCGCATCCGACAGCATGTTCATCAGCACTCGCTGTACAGAAAATTATCCGACGGGACGGGCTGGTATCCAGATGCGCTGACTTGGGCACCAAATTTGGACAGCGTCTGCGTGCTGAGTTCGGATGTTGCAAGTATGTGGGCGATGTCCGTGGCCGCGGCCTGTTCTGGGCGCTTGAGTTTGTCAAGGATAAGAAAACGAAAACTCCATTTGAGGCGTCAGTTGGATTTGGGACCCAGATCCATCAAATGGCGTTCGACTTGGGTGTGGCGGCATATCCCTGTGTGGGAACATTGGATGGTGTTGTTGGAGATCATATTCTTCTTGCCCCACCGTTCAATATCTCAGACGATGAGCTCGGCATTATCATCTCGACAGTTCGGCGCGCTTATCATGAGGTGGAATTACACTACGACAGTGCAATGAGAGGAGAAGTGGCAGCCTAACGACCTAGATTAGGACCAAGAGGGGTATATTAAGGCAGGAGTATATCATGAAGTTATAATAGAGTTGTAACCACAGAAGTCTCTATACATGGCCGATTGAATAACGCAGCTGAATGATCAGCATCACAACATTGACGCTGAATTCGCAGCGTAATCCCACGGAGCATGTTCCGGTGCAAAAGAGACGCCTATTTGATCCTCCCACAAAGGCCAGATGGCATTCCATTCATTGCCATTCCCATCATAGTATAACATTGTGTCAACTTGTGGTTGTATCTGCTGCTGAAACTGGGTCGAGTTTCGAACGCTCATCACTTCTGAAACAGAGTGGTTTCCGGCAAGAGTCGCAAGCCCTTCGTTGACACTATTAGACCTAGGGGTTACTGGTAGATCTCTCAGATGATCTCGAGGCTCTATATGAGTATCAGTTTCCTCCTCGGAAGGGAAGCTGGATGCACTGTGATTTATGATCGCCTCTAACGCTAAAAAATCTGTTCGAGTCTTGCCAATAAATTTGGTCTGGTCACGGCCGGCCCGTTCCAATAGACGCTGGATAGTCTCTATGGCCGTCCACCAACGAGCTCCTATTGCCCACTGTGTACGAAATCGGTCAAGATACGCTCTGTCGGCGTTGAAGTCTGCCGCAGCTGTCGTACTTCGGCCCAGGTTCATTCGGGGGAAGTACAAGACGTATGCATTCATAGTTGCGGCTGAGAAGGCGCAGAAGCCTGAAAAGGGCGTAAAAAAGGGCGTCGCTGCAGCATCTAATCGGCGAAGAATATCGGTTATGTGTGCGGAAGATGCGAACAGCTCATATGATCTTTCTTCCCACCATCCTGAAGGCGCCTCCTGCGCCAAAAGTGGTGGATCTACCGGCCCTGAAGGTTGGGACGTCGGCGTCGGAAGGAAAGGGATGTATTCACGTCCCAGAAATAACCGGCTACCTTCCATAATTAGAAGATTTGACAGACAGAATGCAGAGAAGGACATTACCAGAGATGGTATATCAGATTCAGATATGCGAAAGAGTGTGCCTGTCCAAGACTTGCATGAACTTCTAACGCTGTATCTGGAAATCGGATACTAATTTCATGCCTGCCCCGCCACTCCTGCAATTCATCATATAGAGAAAGCCAGATGGAGCCAGGCTCCCACGGGCATACTATTTGCTGGCGAGTAGACGGTCGTCGACGGCCACCACCGGCTATCCACTGCAGGATCTTGGACCAAACATCATATCCTTGAACAATAAGGTTATATACTCTGTCCAGGTCATGATACTTGGCATGATCAATGATTCTGCCATGCTCAACGTTTGGGTAGATACGAGATGTCGTTTGGCCGAATGCAAAGTCTCGCTGTCCAATAGGCCAGTGTACATCCACTGAACGAAGGGGCAGAGCTAGTGGCTGAGGTTTTCCACAGAAGACGAGTCTGTCCATGACAAAGCAAGCCCAAAATGTGCGGTTCAGGACTTCACTCTGCAGTTCTGTAATGTCGCGTTGCTTTGGAAGGGCACTGAGTAGCTGAGCGGATCTTATAGCCATTCCTGTAACAGGTCTGAGCATCAAAGCTAGAATCAGTTTCTTCCACAGTTATGCAGAAGACAGGAGAGTCAACAGTTGGCAAAACTTACCACTATCTGCCCATGCCTTATATGTCCTACCACATCCCCACTCATACATGGCTATGACCAAGAGTGTCTGCACTGTGAAAACGTCTGGATGGTCGACCGCCGATAAGCTGGACCTTGCGGACGATATATAGTGCTCTGTGGAATCTTTATCCTCGCACCATTGAGCACAGAGAGCCAAAAGAGCGAAGCACAGACCTTTTAGTTTAGCTAAATGGTTGTCAGACTCTTGTTGACCCACGTTGTCAACTGCATGGTCATCTAGGTGTTTTAAATCCTGTAAGAAACTGGGAAGATGCAGAAAGTTTAGCTCTGGAAATTGTATCACAAATACGTTTGCCGCTTTGGCAACGCGGTGTACGAAATCCTTTTGTTGGCCATTCGGTCTTTCTTTATGGCCTATTTCCTCGTGGAGATTTGAAGAAGGACTTCTTGTCCTCTCTATTCGAGGGATAGGTGTAGCGTGATGTTCGGCCGAGCCACGTTCAGGTATACCGGTAGAAGGCTCGTGACTACCGGCGGTTTCATTCCTACTAGTTAGATACTTTTATTTTCTTTTACTCTTAGAATGGATGCGCTACATACGCGGCTGGTAATTTCTTCCGCTTGATGACGGGACGTGTAAGCGTGCAAGTATGGATAACTCTTGCCGAGCCCTCCTTTATGCAGCTTTGGCACGGCGGGGAGCCGTTATGGACACATTTGATCTTAGCCTTTCTTTGTAATGGTCAGTTGAACATTCTTGAAACACTGTATGATCTGAATTGTTGAGGCAGCGCTTAGAAGACAAAGACAGTGAATCCGGAAAGCGTATCCGAAACGGTATACTAACCTACACCGGGCACATGCAATTGTTGTCCGAACCATGTCTGCTTCACGCAGTCTTAGGCTGGGTCATTCATCAGATCCGGAAAATAGTTTTCTTCTCCCGTAGTAATTTTGCAGCCGATTTTCTTGCTTGAGTCACAAGGTGAGGGGATTACACTCGAGGATTGAAGGAAGACAAATCGGGACTCCGGCTTTCGCATTTGATTGTAAAACGAGAAACACGAGATAAGCATTTAGACTGGGGGCAGCTCTTCCTACGGAGTACTTGTAAGCACAGCGTAATTTGTACTACACCCGAAGTAGACGTACTTTTCACGCAGAGGAATGCTAAACCAAATAAAGAGCTAGCTCACAAGTATTAGCGTCGCGTTTCGGGTTTCCATGATATCGGCCAAGATTCTTGATGAAATGAGACTTTACAAGGCCACAACGTGGCAGGATATAACCCCTTGGCTTACCTGGCATTCATGGAGTTTAGCTAGTGAAATCCAACTTGCGCCGTGAGCTTAGTTTAACATATCACATGTCAACAATGATTGTCCCATCCGGAGACTCAACGAAGCCTCGAATTCGAGATCTAGGCTATGCGCCGGGACGGTTCCCACCAGGGCCCCAGAATTCTATCTTGGACGTTGATGGTAAAATCGCTGCCTTCTGTGAAACACCTGAAACAATTGCTTACCCTTACTCTACAGGTGTACAAGTTGGTCAAGTTACCATTCACGAGGAGCGCGGCATTCACACAGGAGTCACGGTCATCTTGCCCCGTGGCCCTGAAGAAACGGCTCTGTCGCCATGTTATGCGGCTACCCATGGCCTGAATGCAGCTGGTGAAATGACAGGCGCTCATATGATTTACGAATGGGGCCACCTTGCTTGTGTCAGTTCAGCTATTCGTCTCAGCAAGCGATGAACTCCATTGCTAATTCATCTCCAGCCAATTGCAATTACAAATACTGTTAGTATTGGCAAAGTTTACGATGCATTATTCCTATGGTGCATGGATCAATCTCGGAAGAGAGGAGAGAACGACTTAGAGGCTTTGCGCCGGTTTACGATCCCCGTCGTAGCAGAAACGTTTGATGGATATCTCAATGACATCTGCGCGTCAGTAATAGACAGGGATGTAGTTAACAAGGCAATAGCTGCAGCGCAACATCAGCCAAAAGTTCTTGAGGGCAATCACGGCGGGGGCACTGCTATGATTTGTTCAGGTTACAAAGGAGGCACAGGCACCAGCTCGCGTGTCGTTCCTGGTCCACAAAAGAACTATACTCTCGGTGTTGTTGTACAAGCCAATCACGGTGGGCGACCAGACTTGCGAATAGCCGACGTCCCAGTGGGAAGGCTTTTGATGGACGAGGATCGTAAGAGGTCAGCTGGTGAAGCCGAGAAGAAGGATGCGGCTCCAGAAGGGGGGAAAGCTATGGAAGGCAGTAAGTCGTTCTCACTATGAAGAGTATCCATGGAAAAAGACACTTACACCAAATTCAGGTATTATTGTGGTTATTGCGTAAGTCTTACCTTTTTGCTGTCAACCAAGAAGATGTCGATCACTGACTAGCTGCAGAACGGATGCACCATTGCTTCCACACCAACTTAAGAGGCTCGCCCAACATGCTGGAATGGGTGTAGCTCAGGTACATATGCCGTTTTTAAGCTTACCTTTAACGTTTATACTGATGCTTGTGCAGGTCAGTGGCCACTCGGCTGGACGAAACTTTTCTGGCGAAATCTTCTTGGCCTTTTCTACGGGAACATCACCTAATAAATTGGCCGAAGCATCGAACGGAATGTCCTATCTACCACCCGTAGAGACACAGGGAGTCGACACTGTAAGAAATGAAACCATTGACACATTACTATATGCAGTATCAGAGGCTACGGAGGAGGCTATTTTGAACGCTCTATGTCAGGCCGAAACCCTGACAGGCTTTCAAGGAAGAAAAATCGAAGCCCTACCGTTGGACAGAGTACAAGCTTTGTTGAACAAGTATATGGTGCCTAAATAGTGTAATTGAAGTAGACAGTGGTAATTATATAACGACTAATGCATATTGTTATTTTATATCCGCTCCCTTGATGATGCCGAGCTAACACCAATGTCTAACATTAGACGATTCATAGACAGAGTCTGCCATGTGCGACAATGCCGTCCTCTTGATGTACTCTCTCTAATCAAGCATCCAATAATTGCTTTGTAATGGCGAGCTTAGTTCGTAATGGGACCCGTATGCCTTTGTGCCAAGACCTGCATGAGGAAAAACAAGCCGTAGGATATTTCAAATGAGTTTAACCTTTCACGTTACAATGAGCCGATGTTTCGCATGAAACCGAAGTGATCATTTGATGTTTACATCAACAACACCCGACCACTTCGGCTTAGGCTAGCCCGGGAGCTCTGGAGCTCTCGTGGGCGTATTCCCGCAACCCCGCAATTTACACTGCAACACCCCGCATCTCATCGACGCTTGTGAGCCCACCGGTTGAACAAGAGCAACACGCAGGCATCGAGCAAATTTGGTCCCATGAGCCTGTGTATGCCTGTCTGTGTCTAGCTATTTGTGACCGGCTCAAGGGAATGTCAAAGTTCGAAGCGTTTAACGATATCAAGGCACATGGACTCAGTTAGGGTTGCTTTGCCGTTATTGCTGCAACCACCCCGCTCGCCATGAGAAAACTTTCAGCGTTGTGTTGTTGCATTGAAGTAGTAAAGGCTCCCATCCCGACCTGAATACAGTACATGTTTTGCCGATCGCAAGAAATTAAGCACAGCCGCCTGACTCCCGATGACGAAGTATGTCATGGTAGAGCCAGGGTAGACATGGCAGGTCTCCAGGCCCAATGGCCAATAATATCGACATCGATGCAGCTATAATCGTGCTAGAACGCGTTTCCTGATGTCATCTGCCGCCGTACCTGGGGCTACCAGCATCGGTTCGGGTTGCTATAAGACCGACAAACTTCAACATTTCTTTTTGCCTTTTCGCAATTATCGCACACCTGGTGGGCCCATGGGAAGTGCGCAACTCTTAGAGCTGAGGCGTATCGCATTTATATGAGCGCTGCTAAGATACCGCTATGAGGCTCATTTCGTCCATAGCAACGGTAGGAAGGACGGTAGCAGTGTTTGCGCAGCTTGCTGCAGCAGGAAAGAATGTCATTGATCTCTCCAAACAAAAATGGACACTCACAAGTCCCAATTTCAACAATATTTCGGTCCCTGGAAAAGTGCCATCGCATGCCCATGTTGACCTCTATGAGGCGAATATCATCAGCGACCCGTACGTATCGAGACTCCACTTACAAGAGCAAACGCCTGTGTGTATACTAACGGAACGTTTACAGTTTAATTGAACTCAATGATTTCGACCTTCGTTGGATCGGCAACAATAACTGGACCTACACCAGCGAGATTGAAGGCCTGTATGATCATGGAGCCAACAACGCCTTGCTTCATGTGCAGGATCTGACCGGGCGTAGGCAAACATCTGACCTCGCCAGCTATCTCGTCTTCAACGGTCTCGATACTTACGCTGCTGTCGAATTCTGCGGAGAGCATGTTGGCAATGCGGACAATCAGTTCCGACAGTGGGTTTTTGACATTTCTGAGGTCCTGGCATCATGCACGGCCGCTAAGCCCCAACTTACCGTCAAATTCGGTGCCACTCCCAACATTTCGGCAGCCATAGCCGCGGAGCCCGGGCAGGAGACATGGCCGAATGGCATCAACGAGGTGTATGAAATTCCAAATAGGTGGTTTGTGCGAAAGGAGCAGTCCGACTTTGGATGGTACGTTGCCTCATGTACGGTGATTGTTACATAATTGACCTTATTTCGATAGGGACTGGGGTCCTGCGTTTGTCCCGGTGGGCATTTGGCAGCCTGCCTACCTCGTCCAACTTGCCGGACCGAGTGCCGTATATGTGAAAAACTCAGCTTTTGACCTATATCGGAAAGGCCAATTGAACAATCTACCGCCAGATCAGACCGCTGACTGGATCTTCAACGCCAGCATTGACACTGTCGGAACTATTCCTGAGGGTGCGCAGATGAGATATACGATTATCGATTCAGACTCACATGATGAGGTGAGCTGTGGAAACTTCAGCAACGTCTCGAATGGAGGCAACGTCGTCACCGGTATTACGACCCTTGATGCTTCCAAATATGAGCTGTGGTGGCCCAATGGTCTCGGCCCGCAGAAGCTCTATAATATGAGTGTTGAGGTCACCTTTGAAGGGAAGACCATTGCCTCTGTCAATAAGCGAATGGGATTCAGAACAATCGTTCTCAACATGGAGCCCATCAGCGACTTGGAGCTGTCTCAAGGCATCATTAACGGTAGCAACTGTAAGAATACGCTCTCTCCCTATCCAGACTACAAGACAGGCTAACTCAGTATAGTCCATTTTGAGATCAACGGCAACGTATTTTATGCTAAAGGCAGCAACTTTGTGCCCCCAGATCCTTTTTGGCCTCGCGTCACGGTTGAGCATATCCATGAGATCCTCTCTGATGTAGTGGATGCCAACCAGAATATGCTGCGCGTGTGGTCTAGCGGAGCCTACTCCCCCGACTTCATGTACGATCTTGCTGATGAGATGGGTATCCTGCTGTGGTGCGAGTTTGAGTTCAGTGTTTCCCTATACCCTGTCGCGCCGGCCTTTCTCGAGAATGTCCGACAAGAGGCTGTCTATCAGGTGCGAAGGGCGAATCATCACCCTTCTCTGGCTCTTTGGGCTGGAGGAAATGAAATGGAGAAAGATGAGCTGCCTGCCGTCAGGTCGCAGGCCCCATCTCAGTATGAGCGGTATTTGAGCGAGTACCTCGAGTTGTTCCTCAACACATTGCTTCCTACTGTGTATGGCAACTCTCACAGCATCAGCTATATGCCTTGTAGCACCAACAATGGCTACCTTGAACTCAACTTCAGTCTACCCATTCCATTCGTTGATCGCCTTTACAACACCACGCCCGGATACCTCTACGGTGATAGCGACTTTTACGATTACAATGCAGCGGATGCTTTCAACATCAACAAGTACGTCCTTGGTCGATTTGCCAATGAATTTGGCTTCCACTCCATGCCTAGCCTCGAGACATGGCGCGAGGCCATTCCCGAAGATCAGCTTCACTTTAACTCAACCATGACCGTCTTACGCAACCACCACTATCCTCCCGGTAGTCTCACCACCAACAATACTGCTGATCCTCTGAGGGGTATGGGCGAGATGACTCTCGGTGTTACGCTTTGGTACCCGACACCGGCTAAGACTGATTCTGTCGCCAATTTTGCTGCTTGGTGCCACGCTACCCAAATCTTTCAGGCTGACTTTTATCATACAAAGATTCAGTACTACCGTGCCGGATCAGGAATGCCTCAGAGGCAGCTTGGCTCGCTCTATTGGCAGCTTAACGATATCTGGCAGGCGCCGACATGGTCAAGCAGGGAGTATGATGGCCGGTGGAAGGTCAACTTTTATGCAACAAAAGACATCTTCCAACCAGTCATTATTGCCCCGGTGTTCAACGTCACTACAGGTATCTTGGAAATGTACGTTGTATCAGACTTGTGGAGTGATGTTTCGGGAGAGGCAAGCTGGGAATGGCTCGGCTATGATGGAAGCCCAGTTGGCTCTTCTGATGCATCTGTGAAGTCGCAGCAGTTCACAGTCGGCCCCGTCAACTCCACTGTCTTGGCAAGGTTGAATATCACGGCACTTACAAGCAGCGGCAATCTTCCGGCCGCTAACGCAGTGTTGATTGCCAACATTACCGCGACAGGAACTCCCCCGAATTCTCAGGGCACAAAAACCTATTCGCACTCAAACTATTTCACAGCCACGCCTCTCAGTAAAGCTGAGTTGATCGATCCGGGATTGACAATTCGCCAAGATGGAAACGCCTTCACTGTCACGGCTGAGAAGGGTGTCAGTGCATTTACGTGGATCGCGTTGGACCCGAGCGATGCCGGTGCAATTGTCACTTTCGATGATAATGGGTTTTGGTTGCGACAGGGGCAGAGTAAGACAGTTGGATATAGTGTTCGTGGAGCAAGCGCTGGCTGGGAGAGTCGCGTCACTGTACAGAGCATCTGGAACGATACGCTTTCTTCTTAGCAAGATATTACTCATTGCATAGATTGAATTGCATAGATTAAATTGCATTAGCATCCATGTATGATCATCTTTTCCTCTTCCACCAGCTGTATTTTTCGGTGCCAGTCAATATCTACCGAGGCATATTAGTAATCTCATGTGTATAATGAGACGTTATAACATTGGGAGACTGGTGTACGTATTGATAGGCGCTACTCTTCGGTGGAAAGTTCAGTAGGGAAGCAGAGCTCATTATATATACACTCCAGCCGCCATAAAAACTCTTGATAGCTCTTAATTTTTTTTTATAAGTAAATTCGGCCCGTTCGTTCCCCTAGCAATCTGCCTATCTAACGTCTTTCCAGTAGTATTTACACTCGATATAGTGGTCTACTGACAAAGAACGATGCCTAAGTTTCTTGCGGGTCGTGAGCAACGGCTTCGATCTCCACACGCATACCAGGTAGTCCCAGCTTGGTCACACCGATGGCGGTCCAGATTGGTTTATGGTCCGGAATCCACTTCTTGAAATTCTCCGTCATATGGGCGATAACTTCATCTCCAAGGTTGGTATGGTACGACCTAATTTGGACGGCCTGAGAAAGTCCCTTGCTGCCTGCGTTTTTCAGCGTCAGATCAACATTTCGAAATGCTTGATCAATCTCTTCCTTGATATCCGCCGAGATTACGACATCTTCCGAATTGGGATCCCATCCACCTAGACATTATTAGTTTGTGTTTCTGCAATCTGTTGGGGAAAAAAAGCATATTATTGTATCACATACCTTGACCGCTAATGTCGACACGGCTGCCAATTCGGACAGCCTGGCTATACCCATACAGCTCAAATGCGTGGTCTCCAAATCCAGGGTAAGCCGAGAACTTTGGATTGTTAGACATGTTGATTGTTTTAAAGCTGCGTTTGATGACTATATGGCTTGTGTCGGATATTGAATGGCTTGATGGCTCTCAGAGGCTTCTTTTATAAATCTCCAAGTCAGTTGCTGCTGAGACAATCTGGGCTCACAGGCGACCATTGTGAGAATTAAATAGCCGTCCATATCATCCTAGATCTTTTACATCATCTCAAGATACTTACTCTCTAGAGAAACATTTTGAAGTGAGGCTGATTAATTTGCAAGTCCTTTGAAATCAGTTGACATACAAACATGCATTTGTAAGAGGCCATTCATAATGGCTCACTCAAGGACAGGGCTAGCTTCTGTGAGCCTAATGTTCCACTTCTCAATATGGAATTTTACGCGACCGACTGTCCCGTTAGCTGCTGTAGCCAGTTTCTGTCTGGGGTAGGGAAGACCCAGAACAGCAACCCATTTACCCTTTGGCCAGCCCCATCACCACTTGCTCTCACGGCTCCGTACTGTACTCGTACGAGCCTGTACAACTATTACTCCACAGAATCTCACGTAAGTACTACTAGAGAGGCGCTACGGAACATTCTCGATACACGCGGTGTTTAGTGCAGGTATACTTGCTCAGTATTACGAAGCATCCATAGCAAGGCAGCACAGGCTATATCCGTACAACACTCGGCTATACGTTTTATACCCCACTTCCGCCTCTACTAATACCAGTAATGCCAGTCATAGCAAAAACCCCCCAAGACCATCAGTTATTAAGTCGCGGACCATCGAAACTTTCTTTCATTTTCGGATGACCATATGTGAAATATTGTCTGTCAAACTCCATTGAGCGGTCTTTTCTTTGCTGCTTCCCCATGCCAACACCAAAAGTCTCCTTGCTCCTGGCGATGACTAGCAGATTGACATCCACAGCTTCCGACTACATCTGTGATTAGCCTCAATACAACACACTTACTCGATTATGATTAGAGGCTACGGGCAGCATTCGAAAAAGTCTACCCCCCATTACTGGACCTGATCAGAAAAAACAACAACGTTGGAGGTTAATCTGATCGGAAGGGCTCAATGACTTATCATTGGCTTTGATGGTACAGTTAGTGAGAGCTCTTAGATTTATAGCTGTGTCCGATCCGATTAGATGGGTTGAAACAGAATACGCTTGCTGGTTGGATATGCTGGTATGATGATTGAGAAAATTGAAAAGTCTCTATAAATCTCTTTCCAGATTCGAAGGGGAGTACCAAGCTGGTAGATCAGATCGGTCGAATAATCTGCCACCACCGGCCCTCATTTATGTGGCATTTCTATCCACAAGTAGTATTATACACTTCGAAGCTCGGTACCGCTCTCACGCTTTGGAGTACAGAGCCGGGCAAAAACACATGCTAAGATAATTTATAATTGTTTATTTTATTTTATTATTAACGTCCACTAAGTAATCTAGTTACATAAGTCCTTATTTAGGCACTAGGACAGTAGGAGCTGCTAAGTTTAAATTAGGCGTTTACTACATTTTAACGTAATAAAAGAAATAAAAAAGTATTAATTTATTTTATATATTTATTTCTATAAGGGGGGGGCTATATAAGCTTATTTCTTTTATTAATTTCTAAAAGTCCTTATACCCTTTATTACTAAGGAGGTATTAAATATAAGTAATTTTAAAATATACTTCCTTTTTTAATATATTAAAAAAAAAAAAGGTTATTATATAATACTTTATAAAATACTTTTATATTTTTAACTTTTTATATTTATAAATAAGCTTAATATTATATTTAAATTTTTTATAATATTTTATAAAATTTTTATATTTAAACTTTTTAATTAATAGTTTATATAAAATTAAATATAGGAAATATAATTTTAAAAATATAAAAGAAGTTTTATAAAAGTTTTATTTACTTACTTTATAAAACTTTAAGTAATTATTATTTTAATTATTATTTTATATTTTTTTATATTTTTTTTTTATTTACTTTTTAATAAAAGTAATAGTAAAATTATTTTTTAAGTAGTAAAAAAGTTTTAAACCTTTTTTTATTAATTAGTTAACTTTTTTATTTTTTAATATATTTTTATAACCTAAAACTTAAGCTACTTTTATAATTATTTATAAAAGTAGTTTTTAAGTAATTTAATATAGCCTTATATAAGCTCCTTAAAATAAAGTAAAGGTTAATTTTAGTATATTATTTACTATTATTAAATTATTTAAAAAAAGTAAAATTTTTTAAATATTTAAGTTTATAAAAGTATATATTTTAGCTAGCTTTATAACTTTAAAAATACTTACTACTTTAATATTATAAACTTTTATATTAGTAAAAGGATTATATATTATAATTTTTTTAAAATTATAATATATAATAGCTCTTTAGCTTATATTACCTTATTTATTTTATAAATTATTTAAGTAAATAAAAAAAGTAAACCTAAGGAGATTATTAAGTAATTTTAGGTATTTTTTTATTATTTTTAACTTTAGTAAGCCTTTAAAATTTAAGCTTACTTAAACTACTTTATTATTTTTAATAAAAAAGGAAAGTTAAATTATTTTCTTTATTAAGGTTATAGTATATTATAATTAAATAAGGGGAACTTTAAAAAGGAGTTTTTTATTAATATATTTACTAATTAAATAGTTTTTATTTAACTTTATAAAGTAAGCTACTATATAAAGTTTAATTTATATTACTTATATTAATATTAAAAAAACTCCTAATTTTTTATATATAATAAAAAAATTAATTATTTTTTATATAAGGATAACTACTTTAGCTACTACTTTAAATAAAGGTTTTAGAATTATAGTTAATTTTATTAAGCTTATTTTTATTTATTTATTTAAATTTATTATACTTTATTTACTTTTACTAAGTTAAAAAACCTCTGTTTTATATAAGGCTATAAAGGTAATATAAGCTTTAGTTATTATAGCTATTATATTTAGTAAGAATTCTTTTTATATTTTATTTAAAAATCTTAAAAAGTTAGCTACTTTAAGGGCTTTTTCTTTTATAATTTTAAAATATTTTTTAAAAAAGAGTTATAAATTTAAGTATACTCCTAGTTAATAAACTAAGTCCTAGGGGGCTATAGTTTTTCTTTTAAAATTTACTCCTTTATTATATACTTAAGATTTAGTTTTATAAAAGTATATAAGTTTAGCTTTATTTAAGTTAAAAAAAATTATATTTTTATTACCTTAGTTTAAGGTATTTTTTAGTTTTTACTAAAGCTTTTAAGTAATTTCCTTAGTATTATCCTTTACTATTATAATATTAATATTATTTATATACTTAAAGTAAATATTAAAATTATTAAGCTTTAGGTTAAGGGAAAAGTAAAATATAAAGATAATATGGAAAATAAAAAACCTTTATAAGACTTTATATTCTAGCTTTATTTTTAAAAAAGTAATCTTATAGCTATTTTAAATAAAAGCTTTATAGTTATTTATAAAAAAGTTAACCTATTTTATAAAAAAGGGGGGTTATTTTTATTTTTTAAGTTTATATATTAGGCAGTTATATATAATAATATTAAATATACCTAAGATATTAAGTATAAAAAGAAAAATAATAAAGCCCTAGGCTAAGGTAACTTTAGTATTATATAATAGGTAGGTAACTAGGTTTATTATAAACTATTTTAAAAAAGCTTTAAAATATTATTTTAGTAGTATTTTATATTTTATTATTAAAAAAAAAACTTTTTTAGCTAAAAGTTTCTTAAGGCTTTTATTTATATAGGAAAGTAAAAAGATAAGTCTATAGCTTTTATATATAGTATATACCTTTTTTAGCTTCCTAGGTTTAAAAATAATAATAATTTCTATATTTTAAAAAAAAAGTAAGTAATATTTTATTATTAAGTATTTATAAAAAGAATTAATTATATATTTATTAATAATAAGTTAAGTAAGTTATAGAAGGGTAATAAAAATATTATTTATACTAGGCGTAGTATTTTCTAATTTTATTATAGCTTTTTTAACCTTTAATTTTAATATTATTTAATCTTAATAAATATTTTTATTAATAAAAAAATCCTTTTCCTATAGATTTAAAATATCCTCTTTTATTATTTTATACTTAAGAAGTTTATTTTTAAAAAAAGTTACTTTTTTTATAAAGTTTAAAATACTTTTATCTTTATTTATTAAAAAAAGTAGTTAAAAATAATCTATTACCTTATACTATTTAACTATTAATTAAATATTCCTAGTAATATTAGCTTTTACTATAATTTTATTTTAGTAAATTTACTTACTATAGTATATAATATTTTTAAAGATTTTATAAGCTTTTTCTTAAGTAAAAGAGCTATTTATTACTTTTTTATAAATTTTATAAACTACTTTATACTTTTTTAACTACTATAATATACTATAATTATTTTAATATTTAATTTTACTAGCCCCTTTTATAGCTTATTTAAAAAGGTTTTATAAAGCCTTAGTATATTTATTAAAATTAATTTTTAATAATATAATTAAGTTAATTATAAAAAAAGTTTAAGTAAAAGAGTATATAAGTTAATTAAAATTTTTTTAATATTTTAGTAAAATATATTTTTTCTTTACCCTTAAGGTTATTTTAAAAAGCTTAAGTAGGTTTATAATTACTATATAATAGTTTAACTTTATATTAAAAAAGTATTTAACTTTAGTTAATATAAGGTAATTTATAAAAACTAAGTTAATATATTTTCCTAAGTATTAAGTAGGTATATTTATTAAAGCTAAAAGGAGATTATACTTTTTTATTTATTTTATAATTTTATTACCTACTAGGTTTATATTTTTATCTAAGTCCTAAAGTTAATATAAAATATTAAAGTTACCTATAATAATTAAGTAAAAGAGGGGAGGACTTTATTTAATAAAGGTTTTTATAATTAAATTTACTAAAGCCTTTTAGTAAATATTAATAATAATATAATTATATATTTTTATTTAATATATATATTTATTTTTTAAGCTTAGGGGAAAAAGTTATTTACTAAGGAAGTTTAAAATTTTTTTAATAAATATAAAAACTAAAGGTTTAGTATTTTTTTACCTATTTAAGGAGTTATATACTTAATATTTAAAATAATTTTTAATTTACTTTTTATTTAATACTTTATTTTATTAAATATAAAATTCTTAAATTAGTATAATATTATAATTACTTTTTTATATTAGTAATAAAGTAATATCTTAGTATAAATTACTTTTTTTAATATTAATTTAAAAAACTTT